AATTAGCATGCTAACCAGCTGCGTCCCGCACCATGTTGTAATACCACTTTATGACACTAGATGCTGTGTGAGCCAGTGTAGCATCTAGTCTGCCCTCAGTCCCATGAAGAAGCTTTAAGAGCTTTAAGTTACACTACACCCCCTGACTAGCATCACAGAAACAGAGATGGCTGAAGCTCCTGGAAAACGATCTTTATCTTGGGTGCCCTGGTGGCTGGCCTGGTGGAGTGCGCACCACAAATGCTTAGTCCTGGCCGCAGTGGCCTGGGTTCAAGTCGGACCCACTGCCCTTTGCTGCATGTCATCCCCCCTCTCTCTCCCTGACTTTCCTGTCTCTCTCTCACTGCAACTATCGGATTAAAAGCAAAAAATGCCCCAAAAAATAACTTAAAAAACAAAAACAATCTTTATCTTCATCCCAAAGGACCGCTCCGACAAGAAACCACATTCAACAGCAAAGGAAAGAAGCAAAACACTAGTAAATCTTGGTGTGGCTTCCAACCACTGGAGACAGCTCTTGGTGAATAAAGAGATGCGGTTTGATTGTTTGAAGTGTTCTTTTAGACTGGTGAGTAACATCTAATATTGGTCTTTAACGAAATGTATCATTAGTGCAACCAATGACAAACCATACTGACAAACATTTCAAGTGGCATAAATGAATGATATTGATGATGTCGACAGACGTTAGAGGTTCAGTAGAATTGAGCCTGTTCTTGTTGGCTGACAGAGTGAATACACGTTGATTGGTCCATAATATTTTAAACACTTTACATTACTATTATGAGATCAGGCAGGATTGAAAGTTCACTAGGCCTTTACATTTTTCTGAGGAGATTTCAGCATCCCTTTGTCTTTCTCAGGACCTGAGCCAGTACAGACACTGCCTCCACCTGTTCCACCAACACCAACGGCAGAGAGTGTACTGACACAGTGAGGAGGGTCCAGGTGAATCTATCACTTTTACAAGTGACACAAAGAGACTGTTTGATCCAGAACCAGCAGGTTCAGGATCTGCTTCTTGGCCTCAGCTGTCAACCTGCTCCACGCTGCACCACTTGTCTATACCACTGTGATTATATCAAAGCCACAGTGTATACATGTTCATACTGCTGATTCAGAATAATGAATATTTATACCATGGTTATACCACTGCCTAATACTGTATTGATTTTAGCATATTCATATCTATCCTTACTATTTATTATACACACACAACAGACCTAACATGTCTGAACGTAAAGAACTTGTATGATCTAAACTAAGTGTCCTCTCACATGTTTGTCTGTATCAGGACCAGAATTCCAGTCCAGTCCTCCCCAGTGATGGACCAGCACCTGCCTTTTCTTCTGTGTCTGGCCTCATCAATCATCAACAACCACATTACAGTAACACCTTGGAGTATTATTATATATTGTCTATACTATGATCTTTTGCACATCCCCTAATCAATTCCTTTTTCACTTCTTGCCCAGCAGGAGTTTCTCATTGTAAAACACATTTGTACATAGTTATAGTATTTTTTGTAGCATTTTTTCATTGTTTAATTTTTTATGTATCTATGTGTGTTTATCTTTTTGACTGTTGCAGTATTTTACCTTTTTATTGTTATTTCCTGTTAATATGTTTATTGGATACATACAGCAGGGGTTTAAAAATGTATCATATAATGCACCAAACACCAAGCCAGATATCTTGTAAGTAAAAACCTAACTGACAATAAACCTTATTTTCTGATTCTGCCTTTGTGATGATGTCATCATCCCTTCCTCATGCTGCTGTAGCCTGACACCCATGTGTCATGCAGTGTCCCCTTGCTTTCATATTTTTAATGATATAAACATACTGTTTACATTACAAGTATTCATAATTTGTTTCAGTGCTGTCAACAATTTTAACAATATCAACAATAAATGCATATGTAAATAATCATTTATAAAGAACATAGGAAAACAACTATATGATTTACTAGATGGGGCAAAGAGGTGAAATGCTGCCCCCTATGGGTGTGGAATAAGTGGCATGATCTTACACATTATACCTTTAAAGTCACAAAACCAAAGGACATTCAAAAGGATTTTTGAGAGAGATTGCAATGGATGGAGAATATAAACCAACTCTGAATAATAACACTTAAAAAATGGGCAGGTAAAGGTCTGACTAAATACATTGAGATAGTTACAGATAAAGGAATAGACAATTTATCAAAGTTATATGATCTACCTGATCGAGTTAACACGAAAAACAGACTAGGCTAGATTTACTGAATTTTGGAAGAAGAATCCAGAAACCAAGAAATTAAAGTAACCGTAAGCTGGGAGAAGGAATTGAATGTAATTATATCACCAAAAATATGCAAGGACATAAATAATAATAATAATACATGGAAAACCACTAGTTCAATAATTTAGAGAGGATTCTTGGAAAATTCAGTCATGGTTGTCACACCTGTCACCCAAGCAAAGTGCTCAAAGGACACAATTTTGCTGGACAAAAGGTGGGAAGGGTATAGAATAGCTTTATAGTTTAAAATGAGTTTTCTCTCTCTCTTCTTTTTTAAGTGGATTTATCTTGCTAAATTTACTTGTTTAATCAGCTATATATATATAGATATAGATATATCTATATCTATATAGATATATATATATATGTATGTATGTGTATATGCATATATGCAGCCTATGTGTCTGTGTATTTTATGGAGCTAGATAAATTTTTTGGGTGAGGTGGGGGGTGGGGGAATATTTCGTTGAGTTGTTGAGAGGTGGCCACTGTAAGGGATGGAAATTTGACAAATAAAGAGTATTAAAAAAAAGGAGGTTGGCTGCTATATGGAAAGATCTGTGTAGCAATGATCAAGTAGTTACTGGATTCATTATGCCATCTTGGTGCCAGTGGGCAATTTTTTTATATAGGTGCAGATTCTGCCACAAACTCAAGTGGTGTATTGACCACTTCTTTCCTCTTAGCATGTGCATTTAAAAAATAACAGGTCAAGACATGTTAACAGAGACTGATTAGAGGGCTCCATTTACTAAGGTCATGCAGATTGTGATTGTGCAATGAAAAAAATAACTGATGAACATTTTGATTACTGTAACAACAAACAGAAGAGTTGAAACTGTCTGAACTACAGATTGCAACTTCTGTCTTTTTTCTCTTATTAGAGATTCACAGTGAACAGCAGTGGCCTGTGTATATTTCTATTTGTCTTATCATTTCACTAACACTGGAGGGCAGCAAAGAGTGTGCACAGGGTAATGTCAGGACAAGGCTGTTGGTTCAGTTACTTCAGGGTACTCACATTTTGTTGTGTGTTTGTATGTACACTGTTGCACCACAATACATGCACAAAGAACACTGAGTGGCATTCCAGATGTTTAGTTTGACATCATTCTCTGTCAGTGTCTCTGAAAACACTATGTTGTAAAACTTCTTTACATTAAACATATTATATACATGATGTGTCTGTGATATTTACTGCTGAGTTGTACTCAGGTTTAGATACCACACTGTAAAATAATAATCAGTGTGTCAGTGTCTCTCATGTCTTTTGGATCCCTCAGGATCCTCAGCTAAACATCATTATTTTCAAAGCACTGTGTGAAATTTTCATGTTCAAAGTCACTACGGTCCTGATACAGATCTGCATACAGACATGAAGACCTTTTTACCTGCCCAGGGAATTCCCAGTGCTTTTTATCACAGCTGTGTATGTCCACCCTTGAGCTAGTGCTAAACTAGCTATGGGCAAACTGCATGATGTCATTAGCAGGCAACAAAACAAGCTACCAGGCAGTATTTTTAACCACACCAGTCTCCAGACTGTTTTACCTAAACTCCACAAGAACGTTGATGTTAAAACAAGGAAGTGCAAAACAGTGGACCAGGTTTATACAAATATGTCTGGAGCCTACAAAATACCCCAGCGAGAAAATCTGATCGTTTGTCTTTCTGACTGTAGTCTGAGAATACAAACCCCTCATCAACAGATCAAACTCTCAGATGAACCTGCAGATCTGGACCAAAGAATCCTGTTCAGCACTATGGGACACAATGTGCAGGACACATTGAATACTACACCTCCACATTGTTTGCATCCATCAACTTCTGTGTTGATAATGTTGGTATGAAAAAGTACACTAAGGTGTTCCCTAATCACACTGTTAAGACAAAAAGATCCTTGAGAGACATTTGGAGGTTCTTCAATTTGAAACTGTGGAGGAACCTCTTAAGGTGCTTTGAGGAACTTTCAAGAAAAGGTTATTAGAAGAACTCGCTTTTAAGGTTACTTAAGATGGTGGAACATTTATAATATGCTAAAGTAAATAAATAGAAAACTCATAAATATATAACACTGAGTAAATGTATTATTTCAATAATATATGAATCCAACTATTCAATTTAAAAATATGTGAAAGTGTGTACAGCTTTGGTTCAACAGCAGAGTGCAATTGCTACTTATCCTATGTATTTCTTGTTGGTTTCACACAAATTTAGATGTATCAGTGCAATCATGTTGACCTGACTGCAAAGGTGTGTAATAGTGAGAAACTGGTGAAAATATATATTTTTTGTGATTTGATTGAATGTGCATGAGTTGTATAATTTGGTGATTTCATTTATACTGGTAAACGCGGAATACAAATTCATTTGTGTACGTTTTGTCTTGAATAATTCAATGTTTGCCAGTAAACTTGACACCCTTTATAAACATGTGCTGGGTGAGGATGGTGGAGAAACTATTTGGGGAAGAGAAGCCTCAGTCAGTCTGTAGAAGATGAAAAGAGCTTGCGTTTAGTTCGGGTTCCATCTGATTCTGTTAGTGCAGACAATATGGACAGGAAAAGCACAGTGGGGCGAAATAAACTGGCCAGCATCCAAAATCCCCGCCTGTCCTGAAAGAGGCACGGTTGACGTACTACACATGGGCGGGGCTGAACACTGCCGCCCGTAACCACGACAACGACCGCACTAGCCGGTCTGCGTCTTTAAAAGGTGGGGTGAGTGCGTGACACGGCCACATAATGCTACGTAGCTAATGAGCCAATACACAACTTCCTGGAGTGGAGGCATTTATCAGAGCCAGGAGTCTGAGTCTGGAAATCAAAACTGAACGTCAGAGAAGCGCGTAGGCTGTATCTGTGATTAATTCACCACTAATACCCGAGCACAGCTTCTACTTAGCGGGGAAACAGCCGGGCGGACGCTGTTAGCCTTCTCCATTCTGACAGTTAGTTAGCTAGATAACGTCTCCTGTTTAAAATGGCCACAGATGAGCTCTCGTCCAAGCTCAGCCGTCGGCTGCAGATCGAAGAAGGAGCCGAGGACCCAGTTGCCGTGGACGCACCCGAAGACCAGAACGGGTCGGAGGAGAAACCCAGTACGGCCAACGCAGACTCGGAGCTGGGTGCCAAGCTTATGCGACGAGGAGAGCTGAACGAGGGGCAGGGTGAGCCCTCCCAGCCCAGCATGAAGGTCTTCAACCCCTACACCGAGTTCAAAGAGTTCTCCAGAAAGCAGATCAAAGACATGGAGAAGATGTTCAAAATGTGAGTGTGACAGTCTAGGTTTGTCTTGGTGGCTCCTGGCAGCTTGGAGGCCACATCTTAGACCTGCCTCCAGGCCAGTGGTTCCCCATTTTAATCTGACATGAGTCAGTTGCTTTTGTCAGGGAAGTTTGTTCATATAAGGAAGTTGAGCTGGCATGTTGCTCATGTAGTCACAACTTCACAAAACAGAAATTATAATCTCATATCATTTGTGTAATACCAGATAGCAACAAAGAACCACAAAATAACACAATCTGAATATTAATTTAAGGAAGGAGGAAATATTGTTACATAATACAAGCTTTACAACAGCACGCAGAGCTCAGGAACTGTTGATGTGATAGTTGTTGTACATTATGAGATGAACAGTTAATAAGAAAAAACACTAATTATAAAGAAAATAATGTTTGCAGCTTTACTATATGTTAAGCCTAATGTACTCACTGATTTCTGTAGCTGGAGTGATTGCAGGGTGGGGACGCAAGTAGGTTACAAGGAAATGAGATAAGCCTTTCTGTGTGTGTAAATTGTTCTCAGTTCAGGACCTGATGTGTGGTTAATAGATCAACTATTGTGGTGAACTGACCTCTTCAGTTTGTTACAGATTCAGTGAATGAATTATTCATTTTGACTGAGAATGAATAATTAATTTTAAATGTAATTATGCACATTAGTCCAACACTGAGGATAGTTTTGTCTTCACAAGATCAGACACAATGAAAGATTGAACATTCAGAAATCAGGAATCGCGAAACTCTGTTAAAGTTCAACTTAGTCTGGCTCTCTGGTTATCTGGTTTCACTGAGCCTAACATTGGCCATCCTGGTTTACTCTGGGTTTACCTGTCCACTACCAGCATGTTCATGAGAAAGAGATGAAGTGGTTAATAACAACCAACATCATCAGAACCATGAATGACTTATTGAATAAGACGGTGAATATGAAACAGTGATACCTGTGCGAAAATTAATTTATAGCAACAGCTCAACAATTGATATTCAGTGTGGAAACTAGAAAAAAATCTGTATTACTATTATTGTTATTATTATTATCTGTATTATAATACACAATTGTTGCACGTTTTTAGTTCAAAGTATTTTTCTCTGATGATGAACAAACTTAATGAATATGTGTTCCAGCTGAAAGTAACAACAGACTGTTTCTGTTGCCAGTGCATAGAGGAGAGGAGAGGAGAGGAGAGGAGAGGAGAGGAGTAGTTAACGATGAGGTCCATCTCACTGGCATTTATAATTATAGGAAACATTTAATGCATCAGGCTTATTTTGCTCATCAAAGTCATAAGAGGTTTAGTTTTTATTTCCAATTGTCATAACAGAGTCTCCTCATGTTATTCTGAGCTGCAGTGATGACGAAGAGAGTAAAAACATCAACACAGTATATTAAAGAAACTTTGTATACTTAAAATAGAGCTATAATAGTTATTATGTTGTTATTTAGTGCTATAAACACTCTTGTCCCTGTCGGGATGCTGTAGGAATGATGGCTCCATGTTTCCAGCGATCTGATTGGTCAGTAGTCAGGCTGTTGGAAGGTTTCATTTGGGTCCTCTGAAGTGAACCTGCAGTGGGGTAGGACAACATACAAAATATCGTTAGCAACAAGTTACATGACAGTGTTTCACTCACACTTGTACACTGATAATAGTGAACTTAACTGCATTAATTCAGCTCTGTGGTAACTGTTGAAGGCATCACTGGTTATACATATCTCTTGGTCTAATCGGAAATGAGTGTTGTTGAGGCTGCTTGACTGCACAGTGAGTCACATTCAGCAGCTGAGTTGGAGCTGAATGGCAGGAATTCAGGGTCAGCCAGCATTGAACATGATGCCTGGTAGCAGCAGCAGGCGGTGTGGGTGGTAGGTGTGGTGAAATGACCACTTCCTCTTACTTCTACTGTTCTCTGACTTGTGCAGGGAATTTAGTCTGAACCTGTGAAATCCTGAAAAGCACAGACAGTGGCAGTTATTGTTACTAGCAACTACTGCACATCTAGTAATACATCTTGGTCTAACAAAGAGTCTTCTGTTGAGACATGTCTTTCTAGTTGAAGAGCTCCAGTTTTCAGTCAGGTTGACTCTGAGGTTTTGTTTTTGCATGACCATAAATTTAGGGTGTTTTTGTGTGATGCTCTGCCCAGATTCTTCAGCTTCCTATCATGTCCAGGCCTGTCCAGGTATTTTAACTGCACTACTTTCTACACATACTTTCTGTACAGCCATCTTCAAAGGATTCAGACCCAATCAGACCTGTATGATTTCAGCATTTATCTCGTCACTTACACTCATTACAATTCACATTTTTCTTTTTAGTGTGATGGAGAGGAAGTGTGTCCCCAATCAAACTAATCAATAAATGGATAGATAATTAGACCGCCTGTGTTAGAGTGTAATACCCTATTAATCCTGCCCAGTCACAAAACTACAGTATAATTGCAGCCAATAGAGTGCTGTAGGGATGATGTTAGCATCACTCTGGTTCCTTCAGCAAAATGCCAATAGGATTGTTACACTGGTTTTTGAATGAACAAAAACTCTGTGACAAACAATAGTTTATGATCCTGATAGGTTTAGTCCAGCAGGATCATCTTCACCATTGAACACCACTTTATGATGTTTGAAGCCTAAATACAATCAGCAGAAGTAAAAAACTAATGCTAGGCTATAAACCAACTACACCACGGTCACATGACTTCAACGTCACCAGCGCTACACTTCAGCTTGTAGTTTGATTTAGCTCTGACCTCTTCTACAAAAGCCTTTCTTCTGACAGAGTTAGTGACAGTTTGTAGAAACACAATGAGGCTGTAAAGGTGGACTGGTGAGTAGATCAGTTTTCATGTTCAATGTGCCGATGTTTAACGTCCCCGACAACCTCTGTAGTGTCATTTAGACACTTGTTAGCAACCGGGACGTAAAAGCTTCAAGAAATCAGTTCCTGTGGCACTCTGATTTATATACTCTATATATTTGATTGGCAGCTGACCCAGCAAGGGCACCTAGACATAATGTAAATAATCTAGTGTGTAGGTAAATTATAGTCTCAGATTAAATTAAAATAATCATCTTTATGCACCGGACCAATCAGCACACACAGTGGTAGTAATTGTCGTACTGATGGATTTGGGTTGGCACAAAAATTGGGTGATGCTTGGGTTTGGCTGATAAAAAATGTGAAGGAGAACACTGAACATCCTCCTTCATGTGAAATAAAGCCCTCTTTATTTTTCTCAGAAGTCTCTTTGGAAAATGAACATCTTAAAATAGACTTGGAACTGTGCCAACCAGTGAGACCAAGTTAGAAAACTTAGATTTAAAAGTTCCTCAACTCGGACACCGGAGAAGGTCAACAATTGAAGAACTCATGCTCGCATGTATCTGGTCTGTGGGAGCAGGTCAGATAACAGACTATGTAAATAAAGTCCCACTATTGACTATGGAGTGAGTATACAGGAAGTAATTAACTTGTCTGCCTGCCAGAGAGGAAATGCACCCTGATGAGCACACACTTCCTGTAGCTGAGCGTAGAACTGACTACAGCTGTTAGCCCTGCGCTGTGCAGCACCTGTCCGTCTGTTGATCCCTCTGTTGAGGAAAGAGATATTTACAAGCCCTTTCATACACAGCGAGTCCAGAGCGTCTCTTTATATTATAGAACCTCAAACAGAACCAGACTCATGGTGGATGGTTCCATGGGGTGGTGGTGTAGTAATATCCCAATATTAATAACAAAAGACAATAATATGACAACTAATAGGACTAATAATAACATAATTGTTTAATGATAATTATAAGTGTAGCAGCAGTTGGTGGGGTGGGATCATGGGGTGGTGGTGGTCTGCAGCCACAGATCCAGACTTTACAGATTGCAAATTACAGCCTGTAGCTGCTAGGGCTGTGTATCGGCAAGCATCTAATACATAATTCAGTATTTTGTGATGTGTTCCCATATTGTAAGCAAGAGTGAACTTCTTTATGCAGTCAGAGCAGATTGCATTTGCATTTATCATGTCTCTGTAACATCCCGCGTCACAGCAGTGCTCTACGTTGTTTCCCAAACCAAGCAGGACATGGTCTCAGAGGTGCTCTCACAGTGTTCTGGTTTGTAGCAGTGGCAATGCAGTTCTTGTTAGGTCACCTTTGATCACTGTGATCCTTACACACTGATACGATGCTGCTGGAGAGAAAACATTTGTTTCAAATGAATGAAAGCTTTGGCAGAGAGATCAGATACTGCTCAGCTAAAATGGTCACAGCCTGAGAAACAAACTCCAGGCCTGTCCTCCGTAAACACACCACCCCAGCAGAGACCTTTGGAAAGTACCCATGAAGGGAGGGGCCTGGGAGCCTTTGTGTGCAGTGCATTCTGGGTTTTGTATGATTTTCTACTTTAAATATACAACCTTCCTCTCAGTTCCCTCCAGCTATAAGATCATTTAGTTTGTGAAAAATTCAAATTCTATAATAATATTATTCATCAGCAACAGGATCATCCACAGAACACACTTTCATTTTTCTCACAGAATCTATTAGCACTGTTTGACATTTAAAGTTGGGTTTATATATGACACAAGAAGATTTCAGCTGTTGATAGCATCACAACAGACAGTGGCAACAGTGGTGCTGACACTGTTCGATATTCTCTCACATTCACTTGAGCATGAGGTAACATCTGCTGATGGAGAACCCAGGTCCCTGCTGTACCTGCTCATACAAAGCCGTAAACCCAGGCTTGGTCACCGTGCTGAGAGGCATCGTATCTTTCTCTATGAACTGTTATTCCCTGAGTAATTTCCCCGTGCCATTTTGAATTACGTTCATATGGAGTTATGCTTTCAAACACTTCGGTCAGTGATCCTTGTCGGGTGGTATTTGGCTTACCGGACACACTGGTGGTCAGCATTGTAGCCGTGCAACTATGATACATGGCTTTGTGCTGATAGAGGTTAGTAGTGTTGCCTTGTGACGTAGCAACATTAGCAAGGCAGGTTCTGCACAATACCTGACGCTGTGCAGCATCTTCCTTTGTTAAAGCCAAAACACTTCCACACAGCCGATGTACTGCTCCTCTTAGACACTAAAGTTTCCTCAGTGCCAGGTTCTGTCGAGCCATAGGCCATTATACAACAGGTCAAAGTGTAGCGCGCCAAGCTGTTGCTCCCTTTTTAGCCAACTGCTCTACCCTCGCTTGCATGTTACGTGAACGGAGTGTAATTACAGCCTTTGTGGTTAGAAAATCACGTTTTATCATATTATCGCAAATGCGATTAATCGTTCAGCCGTATCTCAACCTTTTTTCAGCTCATCACATCATGTTTTTTTTTGGCTCACTCTATTGTTTGTTGTGGTTTCTTGATTTTTCTCTGATCTTGTTCCATCTTTTTATTTTTTTCCTGCACTGGTTATTTCTTATTGTTGTCTAACGTCTGGCTCCAGCTGGCCTCCTTTCCACAAATCCTTGTGGATGTGATGTGACTCGATCCATCTCAGTCCAGACCTGAGTGCACCTGGAGCCTGCATTCAGTGTCACCTCCTGAGTAGAGCCCTGATTTAGGTCCAGGGAGTTGTCCCACAGTGAGCAGCAGAACCAGAGAACAGATGCATCTTGGGTTGTTTAAGTTCCTGCAGTGGAGTGAACTGTTTTTATTCAGTATAAACACTTCCAGAGTAGCAGAAAACTGTTACTAAGAGATGTTGTATTTGAATCTTTAAGTATTTTTTCAGAGCTATGAGTATCACAAACTAAATGCCATTCACTGTCATTATATTGTCTGCTACCCTTCAACCTCTAAACCTGGATAAGTAAAACCCACTACCTGCATAGCTACACCTGGTCTTTCAGCTCTGTAACAAAGCAGTTTTCTCCCTTTCTCCATAATGTTCAGGTATGATGCTGGGAAAGACAACTACATCGACCTTATGGAGCTGAAGCTGATGATGGAGAAGCTTGGTGCTCCACAGACACACCTCGGCCTGAAGAACATGATCAAGGAGGTCGACGAGGACCTTGACAACAAACTCAGCTTCAGAGAGGTGAGAGGAGAGAGCCAGATCAGAATCAGTGATGTGATGCTCCTTCTATCTACATCATGTCTCAGTGTTCCCCCTGTCCTCTTCAGTTCCTGCTGATCTTCAGGAAGGCAGCAGCAGGAGAGCTGGCGGAGGACAGCGGTCTCAGTGTCCTCGCTCGCCTCTCTGAAATCGACGTCTCCACAGAGGGGGTCAAAGGAGCCAAGACCTTCTTTGAAGCCAAAGTAGGTTTACTCTCAACTTCTAAAACAAACAGACAATGTGTCATCAGTGAGTCAGACCTGGTGGTCCAGGAACCACCTCATCAAACACGAGCTTCATCAGGTTACTCAGATCATCTGCACAACATTTAGTGTCTCTGGTATATGTTTGATTAGAGATTTGTAGCTACAACTGCAGGTACATTTGATACAACAGGTTGTGTGGTGAAGATGAAGTGAAAAAGTCAAAGTGACAGAACAAAACTTGTGATTCAGTAAAGTGACCAGTGATGTGACTGTCCCACTGTAATTTAATACTTAATTAAAAGCTAATTTAAAGCTAATTACATCTAGCTTTCAAAGCATAGCACAGTATGTATGTTGCCTCCTGGTGATCTGACCAGAGTCACTGACATGAAACAAAACAAAACAAAATATTTTCTTCTTTCAAGCTCCCATGTTGTAGAAAGTGAGAATTGTCTTTTCCGATGTTTTTTGTTTATAAAAAGTCCAGCAGTTTGAGAAACAGTCAGACCAACAGTCATGTCGCAGTCAAAGTCACTGAGATCATCACTTAGTTATCGCTTTCTGTCTCATTTTTTCAAATACATGGTAGCAGTGAATCCTCACGGTCAAGTGTCATGCCAGCTCATTGTCCTGTGGGTGTTAGTGACGCACTCTGTGCCCCCCACTGTCAGTTACAGCTCATATCCACTCACCTCTCAGATGTTGTCCCTTCAAAGGTTCTTTTAAATCCATGCACTTTTCACACTTGTTTTCAAGCTCCACATTTCATCTGCAGTAACTGCAGCGTCATCTTCTGACGTTGATTTAAATTCGGATATGACTGTTGCATTGTTGGCCGACTTGTAGTCTTTGATATTCAGTGCAACACACAATGTTGTTGCTAATCACAAGATACAGGTTCCTCCCAAACCCAAGTGATTTGCCTTTACAGGCAACAGTTGTGATTCTCTGTCAGCTGACCACTGTGTGCTTCCTGTGGACAGGTCCAGGCCATCAGCGAGTCCAGTCGGTTTGAGGCAGAGATCCGCCAGGAGCAGGAGGCCAAGAAGAAGCAGGCCGAGGAGCAGAAACAGAGACGAGCTGCTTTCAAAGAACTGCAGTCGGCCTTCAAGTGACCCCCCCCCCTCCTCACCTCAGGACCTTTCACTCTCTGTGCTGTACTAATGCTGTTATTTTGTTAATGCTCCGTGTATGACAGTGGTAAACCTGAGTCAGCCACCGGCCAGAAGTCCCACACATGCTGATCACTAGTCTTTGATACAGTGGACTAGATACACACTGAAAAATCATCACTGTCCATGCTTATGCAGATAATCGATTAGGAATCAAAGATCATCTGTACATTTAGCTCAGTAACACCCTCAAACATCAAAATACAAGTGAAATAAAGGTTTAGTGTAACGACAGTCTGTACTGAGCTAAATGAACCGAAGACTCTTACAGTCTGACATTAGTCACTGTGTCTGCAACAGCAAAGAACCATTTTTACCCAGATATAAACTCTTTGGCCCCTGTGCTGGCACAGCGGGGCGCTGATAAAATTCATCATTTTATCATTATGGCCTCATGGGATCATAAACAGCTGCACATTCAGCCTTCATGATTAGTATTTGATTATCTTACCTGTACCTAAAACCACACACACACACACACACACACCGACACAGCCAGCTGTTGACTACCTGCTGTGTCTGGAGTCCAGTTCCCAGTATTTACGTACAGGTGATGAATGCACTTATTGCACTGTCCTGGCTACAGTGTTGACCTATATTTGATTGACTTCATTCATTCCAGAACTCATATTAAATCCACAGTAAGACTTTGCAGTCATTCGATTCATCTATCTATAGTGTTGCATGTTGAACAAAGAGCTGAGCTCCACAGTGTCACTCTCTGCTCTGTATTTTTGTGGGTGTAGATTGTGGTGGTTGTGGTTGGGGGTGGTAGTTGGTGGTGGTTTGTGGGACCTTTGATAAACAGACAGCTTTAGAATAAGGTTCTTTTAGGAAAATGGGTCTGTCTTGTCTAGTTCTGGTCATTATTCCCATCATGCATCATCTTATTCGCCAACCTCACTGCTGAAATGTGTGGATGTAGCGACTGTTCTCCAACCACAGGAACCACCACACACTTTGAAACTTTCACAATCAGTTGAAAGTGAAGTGTCTCCGTGGTCCATGAGCTACTTCCTGCTTCATCTGGATTCACTTTAGTTTTCATTTTCTGATCAGCGGTTTGGTCCGTGAGTAACATGCTTCTGTGCCTGATGGAAACGACAGCCAAACTGTGCAGATCATGTTCTCGTTTTGTCACCTGATGATGAACCTGGAGGTTCAGAACATCACCTGTGCCATTCCAGCAGTTAGACCAGTGCCACTCACAGCTTCACAGCTTCCACTGCTTTATGTTTCCCACTGTTCTCTCACTGTCAAGTTGTGACTAATGTGAAATCCTTCTTCCTGAATTGAAACCAGCCTTGAATGCTAATCCACTCGTTTCCTGTGGCCCTCACCAGTTGTGAGATCAGCTGGTGGGATCTGTGTATTTTCTGTAATCAGGTAAATCTTTTTAGCCAAGAGATTTGCACATTTTGCACTTACTTGGTCATTTGATGTAAGTGTGTTGATCAGTAGATAGTAGATTAAACTTTGGCATTGTTAAATTTAATTCAACATTGTCTTTGAGACTAGGTGTTAATCCTGAAGATTGTTAAATCGACAGTAGCACAATTACTGTTACACCAGAGATTAGACAGATAATGAAACATCATTGATTTGAAAGATAATCAGCACATGATGTTTGTAACATGAACTCATCTTTCACTAACATGTGGGACCTTTAACCTCTTGGTCATCTGTTGGTGTGTCTGTTAAAAATCAGTTCAAACAAATGAAGAACAACCACATCATTTGTTTGAACCGACTGTGAGGTAACCCACAGCTTGTTCATTCACTGTGATGGCTCCATGAATCCCTCACTGAGTGAGGAAGACTTTGTGTTAATAACCTCACCTCTCTCTGCAGTCGCACACTCTCTGGTGCCAAGTCACATTTTTCTTCACTTCTGGTTTACTCTCAGTGTGGCTTACTGGTTTCCTCCATGTTAAGAAAAGAGAAGAACAAATGGCGTCATGTCCTGCAGTAGATCAGAGTGATAATTTGAATGAAGGCTGCTCTGTGAGTGTAGTTATGTAATGGAGTAATGGGCCAATACAAATACACAGACCTGTATAAACTGTATGTGTGGGACTGATAACTAAATACGACTGAGTATTGTTGTATTGTATTATTCTGTGTGCTAATGTGTTGTAATGAAACACTGTCATACAGCCACATGACCTGACCCTGCATTTGTTTGAAATGATTCATAGAACAGATGTACTGTGTGTTGACAGGTGTTTCTTCAGAGAGACAAAGATTAGATTCGATCTTCAGGATTCTCACTCAGTCTATTAAATCTAAATCTGGGGACTTTAGTTTTTGTATTGTGGCACAGAACAATATCAATTATTTTATAGAAGATTTTTCTATTTTAACACTTTGCTGTTGAGCCACTTTGTAAATGTGTGAGGGAGGAACTTTTGGATACTGTATAAAATAATATGCAAGCTCCCTCAGTGTAGTTACTGACACAGCACTGTCTGTTGATGCCAGGACTCACCGCACCGTGACTGAAACGTTCTTCATGAGGAACCGAACAAATATTTCATCACAGTATGAAACACTGTCTCTGAAGCTTCCTCCCAGCTCATTGTTGATGACTCAACACTCTGGTTTCTGCAGCTTCATCAGTGAGCTGGGAGGACGTTTCGGGGGTTTCAGGGTCTTAGCTTGTTGCTTTGTTGTGTAAAGTGGAGGATGATTTTGTCAGATCATCCTGTTTTTCCTGTTATGTATCATTTATACAGTAAGGCTCATAGTTCAACAGAGGCCTGTCCCAGTCATTTCCTGTTGTAACTCAACACTGTCAGCTGTCACATTTGGATCATTATGTTGGTTTGTTGGTGCAGATTTTCAGTGCCAGTATTCAAGAGAAACACAGTTACTGTTCTTTAGTTCTTGATGAGCAAACCCTTCATCATCATGCCTCCTCTGTGGTTCTCCAGCAAACTTATACCAGCACTGTGTTATACTGGAGGTGTAACAGGAAACTAAAGTATTATTTATTTTAGACATCATCCCATTAAACCTCATTGATGGAGAACAGTGACTTCAGTGCACACACAGTGGAGTCCATGTGTCCTTCTACTGAATTCTCTTCATGTCCTTATTGTTAAAGTGCCAAATGTTTCGACTACTGTCATTATGTCCAGTTCAGTGGAGCTGTTCACTCCACAGCAACACAAATGTGAATGGAGATGATATTGATGATGAGATACAGTTATTCAGAGAGCTGTTGGCTGATGTCAGTGTTGTTGTTGGTGTTGTTGTCATGGATCTAACTTTGCCTCTGACAGACACATTTCCTCTTGTTGTTGCTGTGCCCTCCTCGCTCACTGCTGATGTTCAGAAACTCAACTGTGAACTGTGTTGAATGTGAAAACTTCACTGTGAGCCTGGAGGGAGTGTGTGGTCTCTGCTCTGTACGACATGATCAAGGAGGGTTTAACTAACATGTTTTCCTTCTATGTTTTCACTTCATTTTCTATTTTTGTTAGTATTGGCAGTTGTATTGTCTTGTATGCTGATAACAAATGAGGAGACTCTCTAATACATCTTCATTTTGATTTTCAATAAAACATCCTTTTGTCGCAGTAGATTGTAGTGTGTTGTCACTGTCTAATTGTTCACAATGTCAAGAAGAAACAAGACCAGGTCTAAACCTAGTACATGTCTGGACCACTTATGGTCAAATCCTAAATGTACACACTATAATTGAATCATAATTGGTCAGGTTTGTAGGCTTCACGTCAGCTCAACCTAGTAACTTCATTCAAAAAACTTCTTAGTAGGAAAAATTCCAAAACTCTGTTTAATTTTCAAAATTAGAATTTTATCAAAGACAGGGAGGAAGCTAACAGGCTAACAGCAGCAGCAGCATTTGTTTCTCATTGGTAACAACAGTGTTGGAAGCTACTTTGAAAGCAGTTTTGCAAGATACCAATTACTTTACACTGGGAGAAGTTGAACTACAGCAGAGCTACTGTAGGGAAAATCTAGTTAAGTGAAGCTACTTAGAAAAAGTAATTTAAACTACTTTGTAAGACAGTGATGAAATTGACAATGTACATGTGATACAAAATTTTAACAAACTATAATACAAAAGATTCCCATGCTGGCAAAACATGCCACTCAGTTGAGTTTATTGCAAAAAGTGCCAACTTGTTCACAGATTATAACATCAACCAACAAAATAAAATGCCCCAATATTCAAGGGAAAGTGCTGGAACGTCAGCTTTGGTATGACCATGGTGATTCTTCCTCATGCTGATTCAGGGGGTTTATCTACGATGATGTCCCTGCTGTGTGAGCACTGAGCTACATGGGCTGGTCAAAGGGGGTTCAATTACAGTAGAGAAGTAATGGTAAAACAAACAAGCAAACATTATTTTTCTTTTATGGCCCATAATTTATAGTTTCAACAGTTAACCACATAAAAATGGGAAAAAAAAGTTATTTAACTACTTGAATCATTATGATAGAGAAAATTTTTTCCTCATCCATGGCCCCAATAGTCCTTCATACTATGCAGATGTGAATGTAGTTGAACTACCAGCAAGCTACTGCAAAATGTAGTTAAACTACTAGTTTACTTACATGTAGTTCGCAGTATCAGTGTGCCTCCACTCACTGCAGCCTTGTCTGCTCTTTGTATTATTCACCTTCAGGTATAAAACGGGGATATAAAAAAACAATGTGTCCTGAACAGAGCCTCCTCCTCCGCCTGACACTCATCCATCAGCTGCACGTCACAGTTCAGTCACTGAATGGCCAATTGGCCATTCAGTCTGATATGGGACATACAGTAGATACCAGATTCAAAGATGAAGTCCACTCACTTGAACAGTGGCGTGAGTTCTCCACTAGGTGGAGCTGCTGCTTTCACTTCACACTCATCACCATGGCACTTCAATGAGCCCTGTGTCTCTGCTGCCTTCAGGGTTAAATGTTGTCTAATAATGACAATAATAATAACTGTTATTGTTATTATTGTTGTTTATCATAATAATGCTTCCGTGTTAAACAGCATTTAGTTGGTTGGATGTAGACTCCATAGGCGTGGAGGCATAAAAAAGGAAAAGGGATGAAGAAAGCGAACTGTTGTGTAAGCAGTGAAGAAGTGTAAAGGTGTGTCATGTTGTGTAAGTGAGTTGAAGTACACAGAGACTGAGCTGCATTGCTTCATACACACCCTAAGCCAAATTGCACTGATTATGAATGGCTTGAAATTTGCATGAAACCTATAAATATGAAGGTTGTGAAAAGCTGAATTAATGTGTAAGAATTCTTTCATTTACGACCTGTTTAAAGTTTGACGTATTTAAGGGAAAGTAAAAATGTGTAGAAAGAGACTAAATGACACTGGGTGTAAAAGTTTCTCTCACAGTCACTAAACTACATAGTTTCAGGAACAGCTGGAGCCAAACTACAATGATGAAAGGATGACTGGTGCTCTGATGCTGCTACCAGGTTGCTTGTACGTTTGTGTGAGAGTGTGTCTTTGTGTGTCTTTGTGTATCTCTTTGTATCTGTGCATGTGTATGTGTATTGCTTTTGCAGCAATCCCACCAATGATACTGAAGTGGAAGTGATATCTCTCCTGACATCTGATCTCAGAACAGCTTCTGTCCCATAAAGGACCTGATGCCTGTTTGATTCAGCGTGTAATGTACTGCCCTCTTGTGGTGGCATCAGGGTATTGTCTCTGAAAGCTGACTGCCAGCCGTTGTACCATTGTTGTCATTTTTGTTGGTGTGACCGTGTCCCGTTGACAAAGGCTGGAGCCATTCTGAGATCATTTATGATGTTAGGTAGGAGGTTCAGAATGCAAAGTGAACGATCATCATGGGCATAGGGTCAGGATGCATGGAAAGAACAAAGGCCACGAAACATCAATCAAAAAGTTGTAGCCTGTTATAATCTAATTTTCCTTTAAATGTGTTAACTTAACTTCTTGTGTACATATTATATTTCTATTCAAAATATATATATTTCAAAAGAAAATAGAAGGTGGCATCTTACCCCAGTTTACCCTAAATGCATGTGCAGATGTGTGTGGAAACTAAACTTGTGCTTTAAGCGTTAAGAGGCAGCTGTAACAAGTTAATGAGGGAATTACACTGATCCATCATGTGTGAGATCTGCTGTAAGGCTGAGAAGAGAGAGAGAGAGAGAGAGAGACAGAGACCACACCAAATGTGGTATGAACGAGTTCATTTAAATATTGGTAGGGACATGTCCCTATTGTCTATTTGCAAACCTACGTCCTTGCTACAAACAGTAGTGATCAACTGCAGTTCAGAGGAAACTGTGATGGAGCTCAGTATTCATCAGGCGGCTAATTTAGTCCAAACTGTCACAGTGAGAACATGGACTGTGCATGACAGCTGACCTGTTAGATGTGTTGTAGAGCACAGGACATTCATTTACATCAGGATGTTTGTTTATTTGTATTTCGACAATTTGAATGCCTGAAACAAACTACAGAATTTTGTTAATGAAGTGTGTGTTTAGATTATAGACCATCAGCATTCAGATGCTTACTATTTATATTCAAGTTTCTTTCTCATCTATCATGAGTCTGTCTCCAAACTAAACAATCAACTCATTTTCAGACATGTGAGGCTACATCTCATTAAATCATGTCAGAAATAAAAATGGCTGTCCACCATGAGTCTAGTTCTGTTCTACGTGAAAAGTGTCCTGTGACAGGACAACATTATCAGCATCAACATCAACACAGCATTATCACCAACAAAAAAACATAGGAAAGAACTGAGTTATCAATGATAAAATATGCAGATATAAATAAGTGCAGACATATACTTATTTATTTGTAAAGTAAATTACATGAGGTGAACTGGTTGTGCATAAATAATAAATTTGATAATAGTAAATGAGACTATGTGGTAATGCACACAGCAGCAGTGCACAGTGTATTTGCAGAATTGATCGATGACATCATAAAAGTTGTATAAGACATAGAAACAGGTAAAAGCTCAGTTGTTAGTGTAGCATTGTTGTGTCTTCCACAGGGAGACAGTGAGTGAGTGCCACACTGAAGGCTCTCAGGTAACACTACTCTGTAGTATCAGTGTGTGTCGGCTCCACGCGATGGCTAAAGTTCTCTGACAACAGCCTCTCATGACGGACCAGGACGACACAGGTAGGACTGAACTGTCATTATTCTCCTGTAGATTCTGCTGTGTTATTTGATGTGTAGTGGAGTGACCTCTTTACATTTCAACAGGCTCTGTAAACGCACGATCACACAATGATCAGGATATTATTGAAGCATGCAGCATATGCATTTTTTGAGTTCGTCATTTTTGTAAATATTGTAATTCTTTCCCCACATCAGTGATTAATATTATGAAAAACAAACCAAGAGAGCAACTGCAGGGCCGTTTGGAAATTCATACAATTACTAGTGTGTAGGCGACACAACTGTGTTTTTCTTTTTAATAGTTTAATACTTGTTATGCAGCCGGTCTTTCATCAGTTTCTACATTTTCTAGATGTGTAACCTGACACCAGGTCTTTTCTCCGTGCTCTCTCTCCTGTTCTTGTTCAGTGAGCTCGATGGTCATTTTGACACTGTCACAGTGTGTTTATCTGCTCTGTGACCAGTCATGTACATGTGCACCTGCTCACTGACATGACAAATATACATTTTACAGAGACTGTCCTCATATAAAAAAAGGTCTCTGTGCAGCAGGTTATTATGACCCATAGTTAGGTTTTGTTGCCAGGCGATGTCTAGTGGTCATAGTAATTATGACAGTAGCAAAGGGAAAAGTGCGGTGATGTAGTATACAGAGAGACAAAGTCCACGTCAGGAGGAGGTTGTAGTGGATGGATGAATATGATGATCCATGACCCCCCCCCCCCCTCTCAGCAGCTGCCCAGCATGCAGAAACAGCTGGGGCTCCATGTTAGGTCCTCAGGTGGCGCCATCTATCAAGTGTTTCCATGCTCTGACGACTACGACTGCTGCTGCTTCCTTCTGTCCTCCACCACTTCCACACCATCCCACCCCCTGTCCAACTGAATCACCTCAACTCTAAACCATCATGTCCATCAGTGGTTCATTACCCAACAACAATACTCACACACATAAGGACATCCAGCTGAACAACACTCATCCGCAGAGCAACAATCACAGAAAAGGTCAGTTCAACTTGTACAACACAGATATCTGTGATGGACGTGACAACGTGGGTAAGCCATTACACATCACTCATTACCCTCCTCATGTCATTATGTTACTCAGCATTCAGTTAGGAAAGTGACACTATTACTCAAGACTCTTTTTGTTGTTTTAAGATCTTAGCAGTTCATAAATGTCAGTAGCATCTTGTTCAGAATTTGTCTGACTGATTGTACCATATTCATGAGCAGCCTCATACAGTCTCTTAACTTCTCCCTGCTGCACAGCCAGGTCAGACTGATCAACAGCATCTGGTTACGATAGCTGCTTCCCACTTAGTAAAATAACTGGATTCATGTAGCTCTGCAGCCAATGAATTCTGTGTTGAATCTTTCATTTACACTCTGTTAGTCTTTGTTTCCTCCATCTCCGACACTACAGGCCAGTGAGCACTTTATTAGGAACACCACACTAACACTGGGTAGTTCCTAAGTTCTTCATGTCATCCGCAGTTCACTGAATTCACTGTCATGTTGATGAAACCAGTTTGAGACATGGAGCATTATCCTGCTGGAAGGAGCCATTAGAAGATGGTGAACTGTGTCCTTGAAAGGATGAACATAATCAGCAACAATACTCAGATAGACTGTGACATTCAGACCATGATTGATTGTTATTAAGAAGAAAACATTCCCCACACCATCACGACTCCACCACCAGCCTGGACAGGTTGGCTCCATGCATTCAGACTCTGACCCTACCATCTGCTGCCTTCAACTATCCAGTGTTCGTGGGTCTGTGTCTGCTGCAGCTTCAGGTTTCTGGTCTTGGTGACAGGAAGTGGAACCTGACGTGGTCTTCTGTTGTCGTAGTGTGGTTCATATACGTCAGGAGATCAGCAGTTTGAGAAACACTCAAACCAGCGTCTGACACAAACAATCATGTCACAGTCAAAGTCACCGAGTCACATTTCTCCTCATTCTGACGTTTGATGTGAACGTTACCTGAAGCTCCTCACCTGGATCTGCAGCGTTTTATTCACTGCTTCCACATGATTGGCTGATTGGATAACTGCATGAATAAGCAGGGGGACAGGTGTTCCTAATAAAGTGCTCAGTCAATATAGACAAATGTGTGATAAGTCAGCGATGCTGTTATCAACAGCATACATTGCAGATTGACTTAAATGTTCCAAAGTCAACAAAACAAAGATTTCGATTCGATGGAATGCTATTGAACCTCATCATCGAGTACTCAGTGCTGTTCTGATGATGTTCTGATGTGATTTCTCTGTCAGATAACGGAGTCCACACTGAAGCCTCTTCAGGTCATTCAAACCCCATCAAGACTTTAAGGACTCACAATGAGCTTCACAAGGAGCTGCTACTGGCCCACAAGAGGTAGGTACCATACAGGAGCAACAATATGGTCTCATCCTTTCTAAATTATGAATGGGTACCCTCTCATGTGGTTTCATTACAAACAAACATTATTCCTTTGTAAGATGAGGACAATGAACAAAGGGCCATTAACCTACCTTAACTCAGCTTTTTGTAAGAATTTATTTGCTTTTGTGTCCATCATCAAAATGCATCGAAGGCCTCTCTCCTCTCATTCTTCTCTAAAGCAGCTCTCATTAAGAATACATGAGAGTCTCTTTCTCTCACAAAGTTGCAATCATACACCTTCTCTCCATGCTGCTGCAGCCCTTCAGGCCATGGGAACCTGAAGCAGTGTAAAGTGATATCCTAATAGGAGGACAGACCTGGCTCCACCACTGGCTTGTCCTGATAGCAAACACAGTACCAGTGAAAGTACTGGATCTGTGTGTTGTGTCTGTTGATCTGACCTCACAGATTACAAAATTCATACCAGAAAGAGTTTTCAACAAAACACATTACTCTACTTTAACATCTTAAGTTTATAATATTCCTGTATTACTTCCACTTGGGGGGCAGCAGTCGCAAAGAAAGTGAACTGAACGTTCATACTACGTATTCGACATGTTAGTGTGTCAGAGGTGTTAGGAGAGGAGGTGCTCTCTGAAGAGAGGAGTCTTCAACAGGTTCTTGAAGATAGAGAGGGACGTCCTGCTCTGATAGACTTTGGTACCTTGTTCCACCATCAGAGAACCACAGACCAGAACAGTCTGGACTGAGACTGTCTTGTGTGCAGGGATGGTGATGCCAGACGACATTCATTGGAGGAATACAGTGAAAACTAGCATAAGGCTGAATGACTGAACTGAAGTAGATGGTGCAGACCCAGAAGTCACTCTGAAGGCAGCATTAGTGACTTAGTGAATTTAATTCAGGTGACCAGTGGTAGCCAATGGAGATCGATGAGTAGTGGAGTGACATGTGCCCTTTTGGGCTGATCAAAACCAGACAGGCAGCTGCATTCTGGACCATCTGCAAGGGTTTCACTGTGAGTGAAAGGAGGCCTGCCAGAAAAGCATTGCAGTAGTCGAGGTGAGAGATGGCCTGGACCAAGAGCTGGGTGGAGTAGTGAGTCAGGTAAGACCTGATTTGTCTGATGTTGCATAGAGCAATGACACAAAACTGGGAGAAGGATGAAACATGGTCAGAGAAGGAGAGCTGGTCATCAAACATGACACCCAGGTTTCTCTAGACCTTAGTTGGGGTAAGAGATGAAGAGGAGATTTTGATATTGCCATGGTGATGGAGAGACTGATTGGCTGGGATGGAGGTGCCCCAGTAACGATTCTTGGGGCACTCCTGTGAGGAGGGGACGGGATAAGGACGTGTCCTTACCATGACACACTGAAGCACAGTGAGATAGGAATCAACCAAGAAAGTTCCTTGCCTGAGATGCCCAGACAGCAGGATTTGGCGGTTCACTGTATCAAAGGCTGCTGATATGTCCAGCAAGATAAGAACCAAGGACCAAGGACTGAGCTGCAGCTCTTGCTGCAGGGCTTCTGTCACAGACAACGGATCCATTTTAGTGGAGTGGACATTCTTAAAGCCCAACAGATTTGGTTAGAGGAGATCATTCCATGAGAGGAATTCTGAGACCTGCTTGAAACCCGCCCTTTCAATAAACTTACACAAGAATGGAAGTAGTGAGACCAGTTGTTTGGTTACAGCAAATCAAAACAAAACACCTTCGAAACAGAAATCCATATCAAAAACACAATGAGCATGATGTATGGGTAAATTATTTTGTTAAATAAAATGACAGTTTGAACATTCAAATTTAAAGAATATTGGAAAAAAAAGAACTGAGCATAGCATCAGAGAAGCTAAAACACCATCTTGAAGAGCCACTATGTTAAAGGGATAGTTGGGGTTTTTGGACGTGGGGTTATGTGAGGTACTCATGAATAGGCAGTACATTACCTGCAGTAGATTCTGTTCACGTGCCCTCAGTTAGGAAAGCTGACCAGCAGCACCTGGCAGAGTGGCAGAGCTATGTGTTGCTGTGCAACAGAAAAAACGTGTTTTAGACACTTTTTCCACCAAAACAATCCAATATCCGTTTCAATACGCTTCACGTAGAATATTTTCTGCAGTTTATATTCCTGTGAAAACAGTAGGCTACTTTCCTTTGGTACTACATTTTCCAACCGCTGAACTACCTTACTCCTAAGTACAAGCTCACCTATGGAGTGCACTGTATTACGCTGCAGCCACAGGTCAGCTGAGTGACTCAGAAAGCGGTGTAATACTGTCATACTGTCTATGAGCCACCTGTCTTTTGGCTTTTCCACCATGTCTAACTACAGCTGTCTCTTCCTCTATGGGCTAAGGGGTCTGGCTCTGAGCAGCAGATCAGAGCTTCAGCAGGTACTAGAGAGGAGGAAGAGGGTGCAGAGTGACCAGGAAGAGGTGGGACAGAGCAGGACTCCTCTGGAAGATGTGCTCTTGAGACGTCAGCAGAAACAACTTGAGGTAATAGATTCTGTTTAAAGGTTATAAGGTTATCAACAATGGAAGAAGAAAGCCCTTCATTGAATCTTTTAATTCAAATGGACACTCACCGAACTGCCTTAAGAGATCAAGGAAAACATGAATAAGCTGCAGACAGCTGTGAGGGTCCAAGGCCATGGGGCAACTGTTGATAAAATGTTACTTGATATATTACAGTTTGGCTCTCTACACATAATCAGCAGTATGAGCTATGTTCCGAGCAAGGCAGCTTGAGATCCTATTTTAGCAAAGGTTTACTTCACCATTAGGTGGGAGCAGAAGAGTTTCATTGTTTACTGTTTCCCTGTCCACAAATGTGGTAGTTCTGCCTGACTTGAAATTCCACCATGCTATATAAGTATGATTTTTAGGTGGTGTTGTACAGTTCTGGTAAAACTAAAGTCAGAGAAGACATTTTTCATCCATTACACTTTGTGTTCAGGTAGGCATGGACAGCTGTCATCTTGTTCTGTGCTTAAAAGTTCACTGACATACAAGGATTTTTTCTTTTGTCGGGAGCTGTAGCATAACTTTAAGCTCTGGAGGAAGCTCTTCTTCTTTGTGGGACTGAGGGCAGACTAGACGCTACACTGACTCACACAGCATCTAGTGTCATAAAGTGGTATTACAACACGACCCAGGACGCAGCTAGTTGGTTAGCATGCTCATTTGAGTAGATATCTCTGAAATACAATAGATGAAGGTTTTGGTCATGACATCATCACTGGGGCTCCTTCACATACTGTTTGTAGTGTTAATTCATTTTTTGAACATTTTAAACAAAAATTCTGGCCAGATCTTATACGTTGCACCTTTCCAAGATGTCTGTCTTCCTCCAGCTGTACAACTATTGTGCAGTCAACCTTCATGCCTGTCTTTGACTATGGTGACATTCTGTATTGTCATGGTGCCCCATCCACACTGCTTTTAAACCCTTATGCATCACAGTGCATTATGCTTTATCACAAATGACAAATACTGTACTCATCGTTCTCTGAATCTCATCGTGGGCAGGACTTCCCTACAGTCAAGAAGAAACAGTCATCTCACATTATTCATTTATAAAGCTCTACTGTTAAAGCTTTCAAACTACCTCACATCTCTTCTCTCATTTAAATCCAGTATCCACAAACTACGATCCAGTAACTACCTAACCCTCCATATCCCTCGTGTCCGCACTAATATTGGCAGAACTGGTGTCAGGTACTATGCACCATTTAAATGGAACAAACTGCAAACTGCCCTAAAACCATACATTTCTCTTGGAGATTTTAAATCTTTATTATTTGATATATTTTATGACCACTGTAAGTTCTTTGTTTCTTAATTTCTTGTATTATGTAGTTCAGTAGTCTTTGTTGTTGATTGTCTCTTTTGACTGCTTCTTGTTCTCGTGTCTCTCTTGGAAAAAATATTTCAATGAGACTGCCTGCTTAAATAAAGAGTGAATAAATTGTCAGGATGTGACTTGTAGGCGAACCATTCTTAGCTGTAGGATGGTGCCGTCCTTGCCCCGCCCTGAGAATGGCCCTTGTCATCTGACTCACTATTGTGTCCATCTAAGATGTGAGATATAACTACCATTATCATCAAGTAGAGTATTTTTATTTATATAGCGCCAAATCACAACAGTTATTGTAAGGCACTTTTCAAATAGAGCACGTCTAGACCGTACTCTTTATAATATTGATTACAGAGACCTAACAGTTCCCACCATGAGCAGCTCCTGGCTCTTCCTTTTAAGAGGCAGGAGAGAGAGAGAGAGAGAGAGAGAGAGAGAGAGCAATCCATCTGTGCACATTATATGCCTCACCCTTGCCTTGAAGATCTTTTCCATCTCTACATGACTATGTAGTGTCAATGCTTCTCTTTTTCTCTTGTCAGAGGGCGAAGGAACAAGAGGAGAAGCTACAAGAGGAAGCCCAGTTGATGGAGTTTGTTAGAGTCCGACAGAACCTCAGAAAGATCCACTCAGTGATCCAGAACAAGACTGCGCATTTCTGAAACGCTGTAGAAGAATGCATCCACAATGAACCTTGTTCTCATCAAAGTCAACATCTACTGCCCCAAACATGCAAGAACAACAACATGGTTAAAGCTTAGAAACAATAAGTACAAATGTATTTAATACTGGCTTTTAAGATATAGATACATCAATACTTATGGAGACAGTCTGCTTTCATAGCTATATAAAGAAATTACACCTGCTGTTTTGTGTAAGTCAAATATTTGTAAGTAATTTTGCTTGATATAGTAGTTGTTCTATCAATAGTATGTTGTGAATACCTGATATTCTTTGACTTGTTATTGTCGTGATTGTGAAACTATGTCAAAGATTGGTTTATCATTTACTATTTATTGAACTACTGATATTTACAATTCAAATGCCAGAGTGGGACATTGTAGAAAACTGACAGTACCTTGAATTTGGTGGACATACTGTTGTGATAATACTTTGAAAGTATTATATCAGTTCATGCTTTGTGTTTATCTGCAGCTAAGGGCAAAACTTATACCCACAGTATCACAGGTGGCTCTCCAGCTATCCATTTTGATACTCCAGTTTTTGCCATGGATGTAATCTTTTAGTTTCAAGTTTACGTCTACAACATAAAAGTTCCTTGGCTTATCACAGTGACATGCCTTAATTTAAATTTTTTTTATATTTTTAAAGATAATTTCCTGTAAAATATTTAAAAACAATACATATATATACAGTCTTGACCAAGCAGCAACCTCTGAGGCAGAAAAATGTAGCCAACACTGAACTACCAAAATCTGCAGTTCTTGGAATGGCTGCTTGAGGCTGGCTCTTTGAGTGACAGGTGGGTGAGCATATGCTTGCCACAAACAGCATGCACCAAAGTGTCGGCTCCACATGTGCCCACTCGTCTTTGCCCATTTTTTGATTAGCCGGGAGTTCGGCAGAGTTAGGATCTAGGCACAAGGTGGCGACAGCAGAGCAGCTCGAGCAAAACTGCTCTTCAAAAACCTGTGGGTGATGCCACGGAGGCGACGTCCATCTTTATTTAGAGTCTAAGGTCCTGACGGCTGGTTTTACGGCTGTCTCTGAATACAGGCTGTGTGCATTTCGCTGTAATATTTTCACAGTATGAATATAGAACCTAGACCAAGAACACATCTACCTTTACAGTATATGGGACCTTTAATGGTCTGTGATCCAGTAATGCTAAGCTCAAGCAAAGTTTCCACAAGGGGACAAAGTATGTCCTATCTAGAGGCATCAAATGGCATCAAAATAGTTCACGCTATTCCATGCCCTGAGATAGTGATCATCAGCACAATAATTTCTTATATGTTTACACAAGTATTACACTGAAGTCAGTGAGAGTGAATAACCTAATTGTATCTACTGACTGATGTTAGCTATATCCATAATGATGGATGTGATTTTTATTTCCATGATGTCCCCACACATGCTACTTGCAGTGGTGCAGCCAGCTGACAATAGGGACTTTAAGCAGTGACGGTTAAAGTACCGGCTACGGTGCCCGTATACATTCCAATGTGTTCTCATCGTGATGGAAATCAAAGATCACTAAGCAACATTTAACTCTAACAATGGCTGCTTTACTACTTCAGGAAAGCGAGGCCGTTCTGAACATTGCTACAATATGCCTCTTAAAATGACCTGAGAGCTCTTGATATTTGCTTTAGAGACAATTTAACATCAAATAAAGAGTTTGTCTAAATCCATCTGTTCCTTCAGCACCACGGACATGGTTTCATCAAAACACAGACAATGGCAGGTTAACAACAGTTTGTGCTGACATGTCTATGAATAAACTGGAAAAATCTGTCAAATTAGCATGTATCTTAAACAAATACACTCACAATCCACTACTGACGGTATAATTGAAAATAAACAACATGACTGTGTCAACTATGACAACAACGTATAATTACCCACTAACTCTTTTATGTGTCACAGGGTACAGCAGACTAGTCTTTCTCCTGTCAGGAGAGCTGGTATCGTTGGAAGTTTTGACATAGAATCTACGTCATTGCATCATCATTCAACCGTCGCTGCTTAAAGTCCTTATTCTGCAGTACACATCATCAAATCATCATCACTCATACCTCGTCATCCACTCATCAGAGTGGCCTACTTTTTGTACAAAACACAAAACACAAAAGACAGCTAACTCTGCGAGGTGTTGAAAATGCATGGTTATTTGAGATTGTTAAGAATATCGGTTTGTTCAGCCACATCTCGAAAGCGTTGAGACATATGTCCCCACCATGTATATACAAATCTACACCTATGGCACTTTGTACCCCAGTAGTAGTAGTAGTAGTAATAGTAGTCCCTTTAATAAATACACAGAGAGTGTCTGAAAAAAACACATCCCTGTTGGAGCAAGCAGGATGACAGAGTTGTAGCTTGCTCTCTGCTGTTACAATCACAAGCTTTTAGTGCAGATGCTAGTTTTAGTGCCAAGATAAATAATTTACTTGTGAGATTATTTTCTGTCCTCTGCAGTGCAGACAGGGTTGCTCATAGGGCTCTTTGTGTGCCGTGTGACCAAGTAGGAGGGAGAGGAAAGCCATATTAACTCCTTCACCAACTACTTTTAAAGCAATCCAGAGCCAGCTCTGTTTGGCATTAGACTGAGTAAAAGACACACTGCTTCATCCAGCCATCACCGAGCTCTACCATGAGCAGTGTAGTCCAGAACCCCTACATCGGCCGAACGCCAACCAGTCGGGTGAGTAGCTCCTAGTGGTTAGGATGAATGGATGGACAGATGATGGGACAAACAGATTAATGTTGCATGGATGTACTACCCATGTCTGGAGTAATTATAAGGGAACACACATTCCATAGTGAAATGGCGAAGGTTGTGGTGGCCCAAGATAATTTGACATGTGGTTCACTAATGTTTTTTTCTCCCCTTATTCTGTTTCTTGAGACACCACTGTTCTTCTGTTCAGTCTCAGTGAAAGTAGCTGGATGATGTGTTCCATCATTGTCATCAGGATGCAGGAAGAGACTCTTCAATTATTGATTGGCTGTGGATTTAGCAGGCTAGGAAAATGGAGAGAGCAGCGATTGTACACTGGATTTCTTTGGATGGTTGAGGACATCATAAAGGTTATTATACAGCTGTATTTATAATCTGTGGGTTTGTGAGCATTTATTGCAGTGGATCTTTGCAATAAATATCACCTCTCTTAGGCTTGTGTTCTTGCGAGAGATGTTCTTGATTTGTACGTAGGGGATCATAATATATACTGGTAGTATTGGCTGTGTCTATAACCCCAACACTCCATACATTACTCCATGATACATAAACCTCACAGGAAAAGTGAAGGCAGAATTTTTCTAACCTCATCCAACAGCAGGAGAGTTGAGGTGCTGAGAGAAACAGACAGTCTATATATTAATGAATATTAAATATACTGATGGTTTTGATTATTATAACAGCATTTGCACCCATTTTAGAATGTTTTACTCCAGCATACTGTCTGCCTGAGCAGCTATAACAACTGAACTTAAGTCCTGTCAATGAGTGAGAGATGCCACCCATGACCAGTTCATCAGTTATAATAATTTAGGGCAGCGAGGTTACAACCAAGAGGAGACAAGTGTGTATGCTGATCTAATGATGTGCATTCAGCTCGGTCCGTTAGACCTGTTCTTATGAAACAGCTGGGAGTGTGTGACTCTAGTCTGTAGTTTAGTTCATACACTTCAGTGACAGACCTTTGGAACATACAGTATTGTAATTCTCTCCATATGCATGCTCCCCCTCTCTTGCATGTCCATGTGTGCACTCCCTCTTTGGTGAGTCAGTTAGATAACCTTTAACTAAATTATTACTCAGCCAGGACTCTAAAGTGATTTTAGATGTTGTAATTCAGGACCCAAAAACCTCTAAAACAACTGGCCTGTAAGTGCCACTGCACAGCGACAGTAATGTCAGTCATGTTGCTCTTTATATTTTATGTCTATAGTTGACTGCAGTGAGATGGTCAGTGCCCTGACACCTTTGGTTACTTTGATTCAATAGGACATTTGAGAAACTCTAACCTCTCCTTGTTAGTGTGTGATATAAATGGATAAAAAGTAAAAAATAAGTAAAACCACAAACAATGGAGCACTATGCATATATCCCTGTTACAATAAGGTAAAACCTCTAACATCCACCTGTTTTTTTTTAATGAAATTTGTATTTAAATTAAAAAGTTTAACAGTAAGGCCAAAATACATTTATAAGACATCATTTGAAAGGTAACATCTTCTAGTTTCTGTAATTTGCTTGTTTTGTATGTGACAAAAACCCAACCTAAGCTACATCAGCTCATACATGGTATTTTTTGTGTATTTTTGTCCTCACCTGAAAAAGTCATATTTGATAAAACTAGGATAACTACGATATACAGTGCATCTGGAAAGTATTCACACTCCTTCATTTTCCCCACATTTTCTTATCTTACAGCCTTATTCCAAAATGGATTAAAAATATAAATAAAAAACTATAATATTTCAGTTTTTTTATTTTTAATAAATTTGCAAAAATTTCTAAAAAACCTTTTTCGCTTTGTCATTATGGGGTATTGTGTGTAGATTGATGAGAAAATAAGGCTGTAACATAACAAAATGTGGGAAAAGTGAAGGGGTGTGAATACTTTCTGGATGCACTGTACCTAATACAAGAACATGAAAATCATCATATTCCTTCTACATCTTGTCAAAAAGTGTGAAGATTCAGTCCTCTGGGCCTAATATGGGAGCTGTGGACTCTGTAGTTTATTTTTTCACCTCTTTAAAAGGAAAAGTGGAAAAATGTGCTTAAACCCTTTAATCTGAACCAACAGAAAACACACTGAAGCATTTTGATGCCTAAAAAACCTTTCAAAATCATTCAAAACCTCATACATTTCTGCCTGCATCCTCAGAAGTGCCCATCCCCCTTTATGTAGTTTCATTTGACTGAGCTGACGCCTGTTTTCAAGTTAGAATGATTGACAAAGACAGTAACCAATAGGAACGATTTCTCTGACTGAAAAAATCGCGTCATAATTTTTTCATTGGGGTACACTCGCTGCCCTCACCCAGGCCTCCTGGAGGGAAATCTGACTGGATCTTTGCAGGGAGACCTCCATTGTGTAGCCAGAAAACAAAAGACAAGCATTCCCACTGACAGGAAGATGGAAGGAGAGAGAGGCCCAATCCCAATGTCCCCCCTGAACCCTGAGCCCTGAACTCTCACAGACTTAACTGACGTCATCTGGTGTGGCTCAGAATGGTATAAAGAGGGATGGGACAGCCCTTACATCACGTTACCTTTATGATGCCAAAACATTTACATTCAATTGTGTCAAATGGGATTGGACCAGAGAGAGAGAGCAAGATGGATGAGATCGGGGTCAGCTCAAGATGGCGACAAGACCAGTCATAATTTGAGACGCTAGTGGACTGTTGTGGGAATTTGCACAAACTGTTGATAGAACGTCCTTTGTTGCCAAAAATGTGAGAAACTTCTTAGAAGAAACACAAGGACCTTTCCTGTGAAGTATCTTATTGCTGTTTGTACCCTAGCACCCGTTAAGAACAAGGAGAAACAGAGTTAAAGTTGTCTAACTTTAAGCTGATGTGATGGAAAAGTCAGCGGAAGATATGTATGTTTATTAAGGAAAACAGAACATGAGAGTGACTCTTATGCTTGTCGAGCTGAACACGATGAAGAATGTACTTTGTCTCCGGACACACCAGGGAAGAAACCAACTACGGAGATAAAGGGGAACCAAAAAAGGTAACACTTTCCTCATACAAGGAACTGACGCTCTCTGAGCTACAGGACACTATAGTCACAGCTATTATTCAGAACATAAAAGAAAGAGCAGACCAAACTGACAAGGGAGAGCTCTACAACACTGTTCAAACAGGAAGTCTAACCAATCACTGGATTACTGCCATCAAGGAGTCGTGGATTTGAAAAAACAACGTGGCTCTAAAAAAAAAACACGTGAGCAGCTGCAGAAGAAAGTGGCTGACTGAACGAGTGTGATCGATACAGCCGACGTCATAACCAACCAACCAGTGTGACCAGTAATTATCAGGTTCCAGTCCAGAACAGCCAGAGACATACTGTGGAAAGTATCCAAGAAAACCAACTACATAAAGAACAACCAATTCCACTTCACAGAGGATTTGACTTCAGCAGACAGAGACACCTGCAGTCGTCTACAGACAGCGGTGGAGGCAGCTAGGAAGCAAGGAGATGAGGACTACTTTGCAGGAAACAAGGCATTTATAAACAAGAAGGAGTTGAAATGGACTGAAAGGAGAACTACAACAGAAACAGAGTGGGTTGAATTACAGTGAACTGAGACGCCAGCAGTCGATGGAAGCTCCTGAGTAAAATGGAATATCTAAGTTCTGTCTTAACCATAGAAGTATATAGTACATTGATAAGGCAACCAGTATTTGTCACTTGTGCAGTTATGCCTGCAATTAAGCAGAATTCTTTCTGTTAATGTCAGGGGTCTTAGAAACTAGTAAAAGAGAAAATAAAGTGAATTTTATATTGCCAAAACAAAGGTGCCGATTTTTATTTTATCTAAGAGACTAATGCTGCAGAAGCAGATGAGCCATTGAGGGAGAAGTCGGTGGGGAAAATACATGTGGTTTTCCTTAAGGAGGAATAGGTCAGGGGTTCCTATACTGCAAGGAAAGTTTAAAGAACATATTGTTAATCAACTAACATGGAAACAGTAGATGGATAATCCTTCTTTTATATTGACTGCTCTCAGTTTATTATTATAAATATCTACACCTCCAATAAAAAAAACTATATAATTACATTTGCAACAATTGAAAGCAAAACAAATCAACTAGGCCTATTATCAACTTTTGTGGGCAGGAGATTTCAACACAGCGATGGATAGAAACATAGATAGCTGGCCTCCGAAGGACAGAGCACTGAGTGATTTGGAAACTGCATGTATTAGAATGGCCCTCACTGATATCTGGAGACATAAACGCTTAAACCAAAGGATGTATACATGGAGTAATAGTGATAGATCTCAGCAATCTCACATAGACTTCCGGTTGATCTCCTCAGACATAGAATATAAACTAGATTCAGTGCTAATAGAATCCACAGCTCTGACAGATCATAAGGCTGTTTCATTAAAAATCAACATGAGATTGACTAAACAGAACTTTAACAGAGAGTACTGGAAACTAAATAAAACACTTTCACAAAATAAAGAATTTAAAAATGATCCCCAAAAAATAAGTGACAAATATGGGAGACAAGCAAATTTAATGAACAACCCTGGAAAATGTTGGGAAGTAATGAAATTTGAAATAAGAAATTTAGCTATAACATTTGCAAAAAAGATTGCCAAAGCAAACAGAGAAAGACAACCCCAGATAATTATATTTAATGGAGGAAAGAAGCTTATCTGGTGAATCATCTCTGCAACTCACACTGGAACAAATATATGAGCAAAAGGCCAGAGGGGCCTGTGTCAGATCAAGGAGGAAGTGGCTAGAACAAGGTGAAAAATGCAGCACTTCTTTATTCTGGAAGAGAGACAGCTTTAAAACAGTCTGTGACCAGAAAATTAGTCTAATCGAAGTGAAAAAATGTATTGGTTCTCTGAAAGAGAATAAATAAATCAACTCCTTGACAAAGTCTTATCAAATTCATCCCTAAACCAAAAAAAAAAAAAAATTTACATTGGTCTTTGCTAAAATCTTAGAAAAATCTTAAAATCATAAAAATTAGGATTGGATGATATCATTGATGAAGAGCAATCTGGTTTTATGACAGGAAGAAACATTTGCAATAACATAAGATTAATTTTGGACATGACTGACTACAATGAAGACATATTGGATGATAGTTTTTGTTGATTTGTTGATTTTTATAAAGCATTAAATACAATAAGCCACCAATTTATAATAAAAGCTATTAAGTATGTTTTGGATTTGGAAATCACTTTTTGAAAGCTGTGTGTTTTGAAAGCTTTGTTTCATTTCATTTGGAGGAACAGATATCATTATCTAAGAAAATATATCTTGACGCAACAGTAAAAGAAGTTTTGATATGTTAAACAGTACTTTCAAAGTGAAATGGTTCACTAATTTGATGAAGAACGAAGGAATACGTTCCCTAAACATGTTTTTAATTTGATGGATAATATTAATTTTCTGCCCAAGTGTGATTATAAAATGTGTGAGTTAGCTGCAAATCTATGTAACTTCCATGAACAAGTGCTGCTGGCCTGGAAACTCATTTACAAACATAATTTCTCCCCAACTAATTACTACATTTGGAATAATGAGAAGATTCTATATAAAACTAAATCTCTATATTAGGGAAAATGGGTTGAGAATTGTAGTAGTTAGACAACTTGCTGGAGGACAGTTACTAACATATAATGAATTCCTCTCTGAATTCAAGCTACAGCTTCTTTGAGGTTCAGAAATGATCCTCTTAACAGTGGTATATTTAATGGAGATATACTCCAATAAAAACATAAGGAACTGTATACAGACTGTAACTCTGCCCCCAGGAAGATTCTATTGGGCTTCAATTAATGGAGAAAGTAATTGGCTGAAAATTTGGATAATTCGAGACAAATTAAAATTAAAGAGGTTTCCTATAAAATTCTTCATTGGACATATCCAGCAAAAAAGACACTGGGAAGATTCAGGATTGATATGGAGTATTCTTGTCATTTCTCTACTGACCATGAAGCTTTTGAGTCATTAGTCTCCACACTAACTGCAATAAAGATTAAGCACAGGGCATGTTTGCACTTGGAAAATGACATTAGATTCTGCCTGTCAACCATAACTGTGTTCTGTTCTGTTATAATAATAATAATAATAATAATAATGTGCTTGGTACAACAGTTTGAAAGGGTTCCTTGGCCTGGAACTGTTTGAGGAACCCTGCATTAGAGGGATAAGCATATACTAATAGAACTGGGGATTATATCCAGGTAACTTGTTTTTCTGTTTGTGTGGAAGACACAGAGAAAGCTGTGTGCAGCATGCTCACTGTGTGATGCTGGTTAGCATCACAGCACTATCCTGTGCTGTGCTTCCAAACAGAGGAACTAAAAGTTTAAATGGGTTATTTTTAAACCTCTTGATCATCCCCACCCTGAGCCTGTAAAGCTACCTCCCAGTGCAGATCTCAATCAATTCCAGATTGTCCTGTCATCCTGTCATCCTGTCAGCTTGTCCTGTAATAACAGGCCTAAAGTATGAATTATATTCACTTATATTTCCAGAGGTGCACACTCAGACCTCACACAACAAACTGGATTACACAACTGGTGCATTCATGAATTATTTAAATCTTCAGATGCAGCATGTAACTGACTTTGGGACTTTTCTAACTAGCAAATCTCCAAATGCCGATTGTCCTCAGTATAAACACACAAGAGCTGATTTACAAATGCTGAGCTGACAAATATAAATGCAGGATGAGGAAAATTAAAAGAAATAAAACGGGAATAAAAATGTGAAAGATGGACGACCTTCCCTTCAGTACAAAGACAAAACACATAACCCCTCCCCCTCTACTGAGGCTCCTCCCCTCCCAACCATGAAATAATACTTCCCAAGACAGTGTCTGTGCACTCACCATGTGTATCTGCATCGATTACAATGGGAAGCATTTATAGAACAAATTAGCAGAGATTCTTAAGTTAATTGTGAGACTTTTAACTCTCAGAAGATTATCTTGTCTTTCAATTCTTCCTTCAGCAAACAGTGGTGTGTCTCCCCACAGTGAATTATCCTCATGCATGTCACAATACCATAGATGTCTACCCAGGCACCTAGTATGTGAGTATGGATCTTGTGATGTCATGTGCATGTGTGCGTGTTCATCTTTTCACCTGCACAGACAAACAACAAAGCACATATGTCCTTCACATACGACTTGTCACTCACCTAGAAATTACTTAGTGTACTTCAATAATGCAGAAACCATGAAACAGCTGTGATTATGATGCACATGGCAGATGGAAAGGTTGTGAAGAGTGTAAGGTTTGTCTGGACGACTGACTCAGCTCAGCATGCTAAGTGTAGGGCTGTCTGAGTCCCAGACCTGAACTCTGCCCATGGACCCAACAACCAGCTACTCTGTGTAGCCTCGCCTCATGATGTCACAAGTGCTCCCTTGCCTCATTCTCTTCTCTTCACTGCTCCTGCAGAGGGGGACTGGAGGGAAAATTGAGTTAGGGCCAAAAGTTGTATTTACAACCACAAAAAGCAAATAGGCTTTTTGTGGTTTCACGGTCTCAATCTGGGACGTCCTGGGGTGTGTTCCTGCACGATCTGGCACACATTAAGGGGAGCAACTGTAGTGACGGAGAAGTAGTAGGCTACAGCAGCTAGGAGTATGGTGGAGTCTATGGTGGAAAAAAACTATGAAGAGTCCACAAAAAGTTTCTGATGCTACAGATTAAAAAGAAAGAGGAAGGATTACAGTCTGGAAAAAAAAGCGATCGATGGCAAAGACAAACATGGATTACTATTAAAGAAAATAGGGAGACTGAGGGCAGATATGGATGTTGCCTTACTGGTAACTGTTATGTGTCTCTGACTACTCAAAATCTGACTACACCAATCAAAGTGGACCAACAACACATTTCTCTCAGTCACTCTCTCAGGTCCAGCTTCAGTTAGCTCAGTGTTTGTGTAATTACTCTCACTGCCAGAAGGGGGCAACAGTTGCACACTGCAGGTTAAACCTGGTACCTCAATGAATTGGCCTTAAACAAAGAAACACACTCTCTCTCCCACATGCCATCTTTGATTCTGCCATCTTTTGCTTATACTTTCCTTTGCTTTACCTTTCACATAGACAGCATGCTATCCATGATGCCTTTTTGAACCAGCCATTCTGTTTTTGTCTGTTTTCCTACACACACACACACACACACACACACACACACACACACACCTGTATATAGTAGCACTGTAACCTAACAATAATATCTAATCCAATCTAGAGATTGCATTACATGTTGCGTGTTTCACTCTCTTAGTTATATAAATGTTTTTGAATATACAGTATCTACTGGTCTATTTGATGTATGTCCCTCCAACCGTTCTAGCTATTGATATAGTAATTTTAGGTGTAGTTATTAAGTTAATTACTAGAGTTCCTTTTGGTTTTTGTATCCACTTCTAGATTCCCAAGCCTGGGGGCAGTGGAGGGGCGCAACCTGGAAGTCGAGACAGCGGTGGGATTTGTCGAAGCAGTAGCATCAGCAGTGGAAGTGGCGGGCCTGGAGGCAAGATAATGTCTCTGTCGTCCATGAGTGACAGTATGCACAGTGGCCTGAGCTGTTTCCTGTCAGAGCAAGCACTGGAGCAGGAAGAAAAGCAGCAGCGCAGTCGCCAGTTAGCAGAGTTTCAACGCCTGAAAGAGGTTCGTGCAGCTGCTCAGCTCAAAAACCTGGAGGATTTCCTCAGGATGAACCATGTGTCACTCAGGGAAAGCATGTCTTATTCCACTGGTATGATTTACAGGTAAGCTGAGGCCATATATACAGTAGACTATATATATATATATATATATATATATATACATATATATATATATATATGCACAACAACCCACTCTGAGTCCCCTAGTAGCAACATAGGTAAGTTAAATGAAAAAATATATTACCTCTCTTCCTGGTAAATGGGGGCCTGTACAGCAATGAGCTTAGCAGTGGCATTTTTTTCACAGTGAAACTTTGGTGAGCACTTTGTTCCTCAACGCATATAATGTTTGATTATAGCAGGCTTTATCTGATGCAGGGGTTTTGCATTCAAATATAACACTGTATTAATTATAGCCTATTTGGATTGTGATAGACAATTGTAATTAAATGCTGATGAGCAGCAGGAAGTAGAGAGAGAAGAAAGAGATTTACAGCCACACCCTGGAACCTGGTTTTAATGTTGTGGCTGATCATGTATACCCTACAGCAGTAGAGCCCACTGCTGCAGCCCACAAGTTGGGAACCACACACTGGTGGTCCGCAAAGGTATTGCAGGTGGGGCAACAAATAAATTGAAATTTAAAAAAAACTAATTACAAAAAAAAAGTATATATATATATATATATATATATGTATATATATATATATACTATCACCCATAAAGTTGGAATAATTTTGTTTTCAGACACAATCCTCTGTTTATTCCTATTTAAATGCATCAGTAATCACTTTTAACCAGGTGCAATGATTACATTATGTGACCCAATTACCCAGGTGAAATGAAATAAATCACATTGTCACAATCATTTCATGGAAAGAGGTAAAAATATTTTTTATTCCAACTTTATGAGCAACAGTGTATATATACACACACAGACACACACACACACATATATATTTTTTAAAACAAAATAATCTTTTAAAAAATTCAAAAGGGCTTTTTTGTTTGGACCTTAACACAGACGGTAGTTTAGAAGTAAAGATTAATTTATTAAGTCTATGGTTAGATGAAGGGATGATGTCAAGGTACAGGTAGGTAGAGGAGTGGACAGTTTCTTCTGGGATCTGGTGTCATGGTCATTAGTCCTGAACTCAACTATGGATGTTGAATGTTTGGTCAGCTTACATAACGAGATGGTATGAGGACTCCTTCTAGATGCCACTGACAACCATTCAACCTTTTCATATAACTCCAGTGGCGAGTTTGATAACTGTCTCATGTAATGTGTCCAGTGGCACAGTGGTAGACAGTGTCCAGTGTTGGTAAGGGTAGTGGCAGCAGCATGAGCAGACAGGATATCTCCATAATCCAATGTAGACAGTAGAGCATGGTGAATTGTACAACAGGTGTTGTTTAGTCTCATTGTAATCACCTGCGTAATTATTTAATAACAAAATACCAAGGGAGCTCCGAAGTAGTAAGACAATGATCTTCTGCTGGACAACATTTCAACATTTCCTAAAGTGCCTGACCAGCGTCTCTGAAACTCTTGCCAACTCTCCCTATTAAAAGATGCAACTTTAGATTTACCTTTGTCTCCATGTTGCTCCATTAATCTCAACTTCGACAGAGACTTCACCTCACCACACGCAGTAGCATAACTTTCTTTCTGCCAACTGGGTGAAAATATCTTCGCAAAGGGTGGGACTTAGCAAATATTGGCTCTAACTCATTAACCATTTGTCCAGTCATCATAAATGTTAACTTCAGTCAGCAATTGGGAGTAGGTCAATCATTTTGAGCCTGCCCCATGAGGGGTACCACAAATGCCACAATCATATATCTCATTGATTGGTGATTGGGCTGCAGTGGCCAGTCACATACATAAAACCACACATTCTTGGTGTATTACTTCTTATCATGTAACAGTGTATCTCTCTCTCTCTCTCTATTTCTCTGTATTCATTGGTCAAACTAAACTAAAATAAAAGTTGCTGCCATGTTAATGTTCCAGAGTTGTAAAATCATATCTCTGAATGTTATAAACTGTTGTGCAGTGTTGTGGCATCAGGTAAGCCTCTGAATGCTTAATCTTTTACTTCAACTGAACTTCTTATATTGGATTACATTGTCTCACACCTGAAGCAACATACTCCCACCACTACAGAGCCATCATTAATATTATTATTAAGACCTTTCCTGCTTTGACTAAGTCAAATTGTCTGCTGTGAAAATAGGCATATAACACAGTATGGAGGAGGCAAATGTGTGTTATTTTCAGTACACTTCATTGTGCTGCTCAGCAGGACACAGTGGTAGGGGCTATAGGGCCATGTACCAGGTATAGCCTATGTGAAAACAAACAGCAGAAATTCAATTATGAATTGCCCTCTCATTGCTCTTTGCTGATGTTTAAAGTAATATATATCATTAATATGATAAATATTTTATAATTAGCTGTTGTGCAGCTCACTTTTTTTTGTCTGCAGAAATCTGGGGAAATCGGGGCTGAGGGTGTCCTGTCTAGGATTAGGTAAGTGTGGCACATACATACAAGTGCATCAACAATAACAGTAAAACCATGAATATCTATGGAAGTACAGTACATAATGTAAAGATTAAACTGAATGAGCACCAAACAAATTCAATTGCTATTCAGTCTACAAGTTAGCTAGTCATGTGTGCAGTAATTCCTACACAGCTTTCACAGATGGAACTTCCTATTACTTGCTAACTATTAATGTCTTGCAAGCTTCATGAGGATGTGTCCATATCCAGATGTGTGAAATGTATGCACTATATAGTGCCCTTAAAAATCCCAGCAGTGGTGCAGATAAGTAGTGCCTACGCCATGTGTACTATTTTCTGCTCAAAATCTCACATGTGAAAGTGGAAGTGAAGATAAAATTCTTTATCTCTAAGAAACCAGCACATATATCCCTGGTGTTTGACACAGACCAACCGGGCCTGTTGCCTGTTCAGCACGTAGCCTCTTGAGCTCTGCCTCACCTTCTCTGCTGTAAAGGACAGGAGACTTGACCCCAGTGTGGAGGGAGTTGCAGCTGCAATGTCAGGTTGTGGAGGAGATGCCGTAGGAGAAGCTGCAGCTGAAGCAGTGGGAGAGAGACCAGGTGAGGCTGTGTCACACCTGTTGGAGAACAGGTTGAACTCATTGGCTTTGTCCACATCACCTGATGTTGCCTGGCTGTTCTTCTCTTTACAGCCAGTGATGGTCCTCATCCCCTTCCACACCTCTCTGGTCTTGTTGTGCTGCAGCTTCCTCTCTACTTTCTTTTTGTAGTCCTCCTTTGCCTGCTTTAATCTCCTCTTCAGCTCATGTTGCACACACCTGAGCTTCTCCCTGTCTCCATCCCTGAAGGCCTCCTTTTTCTGCTTGAGGAGGGTCTTGATGTTACTGGTGATCCAGGGTTTGTTGTTTGGAAAGCAGTGTACAGTCCTTGCTGGTTGTACATCCCAATCACTCACTCACTGGCCTCCAGGGTCCAGTTCCTGAATGAGCGGGTGGTTGCAGCCTGCCTCAGTACACAGGGCTTGTAAGAAGGCTGAAGAAAAAAACAGATTATGATCTGATCTGCCAAGTGGTGGTAGAGCTGAAGCAGTGTAGGCCTCCTAGGTTTGTGTTACGCCCATAAAGTTGAGTACTCCAGGGTGACATACTTGAGTGTTTGTGAGGATAAACACCAAAGGCGCTGTGGGTGAACTGCCAACTAAGTCAATAAAACCATCACAATAATCACAACATAAAACATCAATTCAATATCAAAATTACACTATTTCAAAAATACAATAAAACTATTCACCAAATATTTACAATGTTAATTTGATATTATTTTACTATTTACAATTATAATGTTCTGTAAAAATACAAAACATATATACATATAAAACAACACAGATTAATGAGTGGGCAATTAAATAAATATCCTATGTGCCGCACATACAACAGATCAAGTGTCTTGTTTTCCCTTGTGGGACAGTCAACATACTGAGTGAAGCCAGTCAGGTGAGAGGTGAGAGTGACATGGTTAAATGGGGCCGCATTATCCAATGGGCATTATCGGCATTATGGGCACGGGCCCAGGGGCACGCGCACTTGGGGCTCAAGCGAGCAGTTTGGGAAAGAAACATTTTTTTAAAATATTTCTTTTCTCTTTAAATTTCAGATAATGACACTATGTACAACCAGTAAACAGCACGCTGCTATTGAAGAAAAAAAAAACCTAAACAGAATGATATAATTGGTCAAGTGCAAGTTTGGAAACCATGGTAACAACCCGTCCCGCCCCAGCGCCCCAAATGACCCAGCGCTGAACCGACCGAACCGTGGGAGTAGTAACAGGCTAGTTCAAAATGAATGAAAGTAACAGAAGTGGATGTTTTAAACGCAAAAAGACAAAAAGAGGACAGGAAGGCGTCTTTATTAAGAAGTGTCCCATCTATTCACATGTTCTTTGTCAAACGGAGCCAGGAGAATCAGGATGATGAAGTGGAAGATGACGTGCAAGCTAACCGGAGGAGGCAACCGTTAGCAGCGCACCACAACCTGAGACTATCTCACAGTGGATTTAGCTGGTGTCTGACCCGGCGTTCTGAGGGGCAATCGACGAAGATGCTCACGCTGACCTTACATTTGTATTGATTTTTAACTGTCTCGCGATGCATCGTTACAACCTACATTGGATGAAACATGATATTATCACTATCAGAAAGCTAAAAAGCTCTGGATGCTTTAGTCACCCTTTACTTTAAGGCTTTTAGTCAAGTTGTATTGTAATGGTTACTTTTCATTTTCCTTTGAGGTACAGTGCTCTCCACAATGAAATAGAACTTTTTTATATTTGCCCTGTACTATGCCTGATTTGTTAAAGAAAGAAAGAAAAAGGCCTGACATCACAAAGTGGGACATTGGGTTAGATTTTGGTTGACCTATGCTGTTTGCATCCTTTTTTATCACTAGAAGAGGAGAGGAGGAGAGTAGAGAAAATAGGGGGAAAGGAGGAGACAGACCAAAAGAGCATCTGGAGACAGGAGAGGAGGAGACAGACAGACAGACAGACAGACAGGAAAGAAACATTAACAGGTGTGTGGATGTGTGTTTGTGTGTGAATTATGGAAGAATCAGAATCACAGAACTGGATTGGTGGAAGTGAGGCAGTATGTGTTTGCATATGCCAATAAGCTTAGGAAAGCACTGTTGCAATCATGTGGTGTAAATCCTGTATGATGGAGGATATCTACAGGTGTTGATCAGTGTAAATCCTGTATGATGAAGGAAATCTACAGGTGTTGATATTGTACTTCAGGTTGTGATCATAGGCTGTAGCCTGTCAGTGTACATCCTGTATAAGCTACAGGTGTTTCCAATAATCAGTAGCCTATAATTCAAAACCTTGACTTTGTAAACAACAATGGCAACGTTGTGAGAGAACTCCCTCGGTACATAGAAAGGTCTAAGACCAACTGCCAACAGTTCAATATACCGACAGCAGATCTTCTCCTTCACTGTGATATGATTGTTCACAAGCAGAACCAGTCCTCCACCTTAATGCTTCCCACCTCCTCTGGCGTGTCAGCGTGACAGCAATCTGAACATGATACATGCCCCTGCCCTCCGCTCACACAAACAGCAGGCAGAGAGAGAGAGCGCGACAGATCTCTCTTCTTCTGTGAGTATAGTAAAAATATGTCACACATAGACGGATATTTGACGGAGTTGGTGAAATAAATGTGTAAGATAACGTTTATCTTGTGGAGAAAAACAACAACAACAAAAAAACCGGAGCTTATTGATACTGCAGTCTTGAATAATGTAGCCCCGGGGCCCGTTCAATACCGGGGTTCGGTACCCATCCCTAAAAATAAATCAGGAATTAATTTATAATGAAAAGTATTTGCGTGATTCTCTGCAGTAGCTCAGTGACGTCGGTCGCCACAGTCACGTGACGCAGGCAGTGTGTTTCTGGCGTCACTCTGTCAGCTTCACCTTCACATACGACTACTGCGCTCGCTCTCTCTCGCTCCACCACTGAACCCTATGCAAAGAGCTATTCTTAAAGGAGCCACGCCTCTTGTGTACAACATTATCTGTATTGAAGTCAAATAGTGATAAATCACCTTCATGCATGGCTAAAAGTCACGCATCATCCATGTTGATGAGATACAAAAAAGTAGAAAATGCATAGCAAAATAACATTGTTAATATTTTTAGAACCCCCCTCCCCCCCAAAAAAAAAAAAAAATTTCACAAATCTTGTTTTATGTGCCACCCGTTCATGGCAAATTTTAACAACAGCATAAGATGGCAGATATTGATAAATTGGCCATGCCCATATTCATCAATCAGTACAGAACGACAGGTCCAGCTTTGTAGAGTCTAAGTAAAATTTCTCCCTGGGGACAATAAAGTATATAGCTATCCATCATGAGATCTATCCAACTTATGATATTGGTTAATACTTGCCCCCAGAGCATGTGTACCAAATTTGGTGAAATTCTGTCCCCAAGGCATTCAGGTACACAGGCTAATAATAAAACGACTAACGTTAATGTGGGAGCTCGGCAGCAAACGTTATCAATCCTGCCCATCTGTAACGTTAATAGACAGTGTTAATTTAACAGGACAATGTTATTTGTATTTTTGGTGTTTGTGTCGCCCCCTATGGGTCAAACAGACAAATGGTCAATGAGTTATGGCCAATATTCACTAGGAACCACCATTTCCTATTATATTTTGGTTGATGGCAGCCATCGTTTCCAACCGATCTTGTGCATTTACAACAAAAATATGTATCTCTGTCCAATCAACAGGAGGAAAAACAATAAGGTTCTATCCCTTTGGGATTAGAAATTAGAATAATGATAAACAAACACAGACACGAAATAAAGTGGTGCAAACACAGAAGGGTTCTAGCTCATCTGTCCACTAATCAGAAGGTTGGTTGCATGATCCCCAGCTCCTCCAGTCCATGTGAGAAAGCCCTGATGGCTGCTCCATAAGTGTGTGAATGGGTGAATGTAGCAAGTATTGTAAAGCGCTTAGAGTGGTTGATAAGACTAGAAAAGCTCCATATAAGTGCAGTCCATTTACCATTTATATTTTACACTACATCCAACAACAGTTTTAAAGTTTGCACTAGGAACATGGAGGATGTAAAGTGGAAAGTTTAATTGTGCCAAAAACAGATTAATTTTATGCCACAGGTCATCAACACAAACATTTTCAAACATTCTGTCAGACTCGAACTAGGACAGGACCCAAATGCACGACTCAAAAGATGAAAGTTCAACTAAATGATATTTATTGACAAAGTACAACAGAAAATCACTCTCAGAGAGGAAAAAACGGCAAACGCCAGAGAACAAAAAATCACTCGGTGAGGAAACAACAAAGTAACAAAATAACGTGACTAAGCACAAAGTAGTAGTCAAATGTCAAAATAAAACAGGAAGCGACGAGACAACATAGACACAAGACAGAAACCTAAACACAACCAGACACAGATCATGACACATTCACTAGCAAGAGCCCATACTGCTCGCTCAGATTTAGTGCCACAATTCTGCCTGCAAGTTCAAACCTTGTGTTAAACTACAGATTCTGTCTTAACTCATTCTTCTCACAGATCTGTGCACACTCTCAAATGTTGGCTTGCAAACTGAACAATACCCAGATTTGTTGCAGTTCAATAAAATTTGAATGTGTTTCAATCTTCTATTGTTTACTATAAATATCATTATTGTGTGCTGTGATCCCTGATCTTCTGTAGCAACACACACACACACACACACACATATACATTGTAATCATTTTTATTTTTGTGCAGGCACGTGGGTTACCTTTGGAGGACAGATAACGAATGAGGTAGGAGAGAACACCTACACAACTCTCTCATTTAATCCAGGCTCAATGAGAGAAGAGGTTCAACAAGTAAAGTATGAATCTGTGTTTTCACAGACCAGAGCAGTGCTCTGATTGTCAGGAACTGGCCTCTGAAGGGGAAGATGCAATAAACTGGAAAAAGCAGGAAATGAGACTTGGGTTTGGCTTGAAACTTTAAACATGTTGAAATAATGTTTGATGTTTCTGCTGAATGTCTTTGATGATACATTTACACAAATCATTCTAGCCGTGCTAATAGAGCTCACCACCTGGGCCAGACTCAAATGTATGTATCTACATATCTATTAGGGTTGTCAAAAAAATCGATACTCAGATACTAATTGATACTAAAAATTAGTATTGGATTAGATACACAGTATGGATACCAGCACTGCTGTCTTCTCCTCCTTCTGTTGACACAACTTCATACAGCAGCACTGCAGACAGGCAGGCACACAGCCCCTCCTCTCAATAGCATCTGAACACATGAAGTCTAGTTGACGTTCACAACACTGAGCTGGTGTCGCCAGCAAAGAAAACTACATTAACATGGCAAGTGCTGCTGCTGAAGGACCTTCGCATCCTGTTTTAGTTGAAATTGGAAAAAGTGCCGTTTGGAAATATTTAGCATTATTATTTTACCTGGCCGGCGGCACACAGTAACATTAGCTGTTTAACTAGATAACTAGACTATTTAACAGGATAACACAGTTATTTGTGTCTGAAAGGTGTTATTTTTATTACTATTAAGTCCCAGATTGAAGCTGAGAAAAGTCAACCAGCAACTAGACAGAAACAGTGGCAGCCTACCCTAACAACTCTATTTGATCAGCAATGAAATCATGGTGCCAAGTCACCAGGAGCACAGAAAATAAGCAGGGCTGTAGCTGAATACATTTGCATGTCATATATATATATATATATATTTGCATTACCTCAGACAACCTAAAAATAGTGTTCGAAATTCTAGCATTGTGACAACCCTAATATCTATTGGCTGAATTGCAATGAAATTTGATTTTGGCACCCACAGGATGAACTGTAAGAATTTGACTTTTCATTTAGCACGATTATCCGGTCAAAAAGATTTGACCAAACACCTGACAACAGAGACAGAGTCAGTGTTTTTGATGACTTACTAGTTACTTGGCTGTAAAGCTCCAATTCAAGTCCACTGTCAAAGTAAGTAGCAAGTCCCAAGACAAGATCCAAGTCTTTTAAGCCCTAACCAAGTGACTGTTGAATTAGGATGAATGACAGCATGAGGCTAAATTTATTGGCTAGCAATAAATTTATACTCATACAAAAAATCCACAGATGCCATTATCACACTGAATATGTCAAGGTTTGGGAATATGCCTGCCAATGCATTTTGACCCCAATCCATAAGATGTGCCACAACCGGAGGGAGAATTTTACCAAAATGGCTTAATAGCTAACTAAGCCATTCCTGTAGCCATGCCAACACTGTGGCAGAAAACAGGACATACTGTAGAGTGAAGCACTCTTCAACTTGTCAGCAGGGCTTTGAGAAGATATTTTCACACATTGCTCATCTTTCTCTTTATCAACTCAAATTTACTGTTGAAGGTGGCAGAGGAGCTGATGACTGTGGCATATGAAAATGGAATCAATCTTTTTGACACCGCTGAAGTGTATAATGCTGGAAAGTAAGTATGGCTCTATTTAAACTTAGTTTCACTAATCCACATTCTGTAAAAGCATCTGGCTAAATCACAAATCTGACTGTAGCTGTCCTGGGCCCTGTTCATGTACCTGGTATTAATATGCATCTTTGGTGATCTTAGGACAAGTGGACAGCTCTAAGTACGTCACTTCACACCCGGCATAATAATGTGCCTCCATGTGCGTCTCCGGTGACCCATTGTGATCAAATTAAGACAAAACTGGTTTAAACCTCTCTGGACTTAAGTGTGTTAGCCAACATGATCAACAGTCCATATCTGAGTGTAGGAGCCAAAATATGTTTTTGCTTATGTTTATATTTGCTTGGGCTGCACATATTGCGTCACCATCGTCATCATTATCACCATCGTCTTTTCATTACTTTATTCTCACAGTCGGATCACATCAGGTTTTATAGTTTTGTGGAACAGCTCCTTGTCAGTCCTTTTTGATTTTCATTCAATAAACTTCACTAAAACGTCATCTGGTTTTTAGTATGATTTTGTGGACGTGTCACAGACAAGAGCCTACTAAGTCTCTCAGCGGCTTTATGGAAAAGTAGTCGCTACACTGAGTTTAAGACAAAATACTTAATGCTGAAGTCACTTTCAGCTCATTATTCCTTCTATTGTCCAGGAAAGGGTATTCCATGTTATTGTTAAGTACCACCACTTTTCTCCCCTCTTCTGTTATCCTTTCACGTTGGTGACAGCCAGCTCAGTATCACCGTGATGGAACTTCAAACATTCACTTAGATTCAAGGATGAATTGATTAGAATTTGGTGGTCACAGGTCAACGATCAAGGTCACTGTGACATCATAATGTTCTGCAAAAACACTTCTGGACATTATTCAACGCTGTAACTCAGGAAGTAGATTGCGATGGTTTTTCTTGCAACTACAACTGCAAGGAGGTCATTCTAGTTTCTGGTTGTTGTTTATTATCAGGGAGAGAGGTTGGTCCCATCTAACCCAATACCGCCCCCCGCCGGGGCCCTGGCCCAGGAAGGTGGGGAACAGTTTTTCCAGACCCCTGAATAAAAGAAGAATAGAAGAATAAAAGGAAGAGATTGAATATTTTAATATGATAAAAATGAAGCAAGAGAAAGAGAAAAAGAAAGAAGCTAATGATAAGTAATAACTCATCCCATTTTATGATTCTATAACAGCCCTAAACTACATAGTAGATTCTAGAACATACCATCCCTTCATTATATGATATAGTAATGTTTCTTCACCTCATCTGTTCTATTTAGAACAACGCGAGCTGCACATTGAAACACCTGAGCATGGGTTTCATTGCATCTTTCTATTACTAGTCAAACTGTTAAATTGCTCTGGTGCTACTTTTTCTTTACATAATGTTGGTTTGTTTACAGATTATATTGCCTGTTCATTGTTTTGTTAATTAGTTAATTACAATACATTTCTATATAAGTGGCTGTTGAGAAACAGGTAAAGGGACAAATTGTACCTTATTCAGTGTGTTTTTATATATTAAAGAAACATCATCACCCCCCCCCCCCACCCCACCCCCTCTCCAGGGCTGAAATCCGTCTTGGGAAGTATCATAAAGAAGAAAGGATGGAGGTAGACTTTTCACATTGTGTGTCTTATTTGTGCAAATTAGAAATTGATATGCATTACTTATGAAAAAAATCATAATCACAATAATAATCATAATTAGTATTTAAGTATATATTCAATTCAACGGCATTACCCCAGTGGTGCAAAAATACAATTCAGTAGTTGATGCATAATTCACGTTTGGCCCCCTATTTTGAAACAATTGTTTTTTCTAGTAGAAAAGTAAGGCTTCATCTACAAGTAGTCTGGATCCAAGTGATCCAGGGGGAAGATATCAACCTAACCCTGTCCCCGTGTGGTCTTTCAGTCTGGTTGATGCATTGAGAAAATGGCTCCCATTCTATTCTATTGTTATTTCACACCAATGACAAGGGGGCAGTCTCAGACTCACTTCTTTGAGAGACATTCAAGATTGTAATGTAAAGACACATTATTTCACACCAGCCAGAAAAGCCTAAAAAGGATATTTTTCAATAAAAAATGACTGCTTGGTATTTGACAAATAAAATAAGGCAATATTGAATATTTTGTCATTGAAACATATTGTCATATTTGATAGTATGAAATTCCCAGTGTAATATCCACATTTATATCTGTTTTCTCATGCAGGCGTTCTAGTTTAGTCATCACCACCAAAATCTTCTGGGGTGGAAAGTAGGTATCATCTTTTTCTCCCCTTCTCTTTATCTCTTGTTTCTCTCAATGACGACAGTGAAACAGAATCTATTAGCCACAAGCTAAGGCATTAGAGGCAGGAGACATTACATGATGACTGAGGATTTTACTTTAAGTCCCTTACTTAGGATTTATTAGCTGAATATAGGCTAAATATTTTATGAATGGTTTATAACTCACTATAACGCAGCAGCAGAGACATACACACACACACACACACACATAGCACACTCATTGCCAGTAATTGCACTGTGTCAATCACTTGTAGTAAGACAGCCTGGTATATTTTAATCATCTCGATTCACACCTTTTGGTTCTCTGTGATTCGTGTCTCTGAGGTGTCAGTGCACTTTTTCTCTCTCTGAAGTTGTTCAAACTTGATTTCCTCACAGACCCAGTGTTTTTTTCTTCCTCAGATGTGATATTTTAGTTTTGTTTTCTTGAATCAGTGATTCCAGCTTGTCAGATCTCGTGCTGATCAGCTGAGCAGTAGACAAAGTGAGGAGGGTCGTTGGTGTCGGGTTTCTCCTTCTTACGTGGAGGTGGTTTGGTTTGAGTAATTGGCAGCTTGGAAAACTCTTTGTCTGTTACACTGAATTTCAGTTGGTCTCTTGCAGTATAATCATGACAGGTGTTTAGTTGTTCAGTTAGACAGGGTGTAGGCAAAAATCCACAAACCAGGAAACGAAGCAAAGTCATGAGCCAGGCCGGTCTGGATGGTGCTGGTGAAAATCCTGTCTGAAACAACACACACAACCAAAAAAAAAAATTACGACAATCAAACAGTAAAATGATGAATAAAAGTCAATAATAAAAGTCAGTTTAATGAAATAAAACTTTTAGCGCATTTTAGTGTCTATTAATGAGGTAGGGATGATTGTGTCTTTGCGTATGGTTTATTAAGTAGCTGTAGCTTTCAGGGCCACCATACCATAGACTTTTTGTAGGAGTATGAAGCTACATAAATCAAACAGCTGGCACTTACAGAATTAACAGCAGAATAAAGCAACAGGAAAAGCAGAGATGTATAAACTACATAAACTACAGCTGACAAATTCAGACAAAATGCCATGTTGCTCGACAACCCAGTAGTTGTTGATGTGTACAGTGTGCACACATCTGTCTGAACGCCACTCTGCGTCCTTCACAATCTACTCTAAATCCATCTTCCCTGCTGGTTCTCAGTCACAGCTGGAGGATCCACCGTCAGTATTTTAGCATTTAGAGTTAGCCGCACCCAGCATGCACCTGTGGGCGCCGAGTGGTGCCTCCAATCAGCAGCTTCTTCTCTGCTGCAGCTGCTGATCATTTGTTGCATTTTCACACAGTCAATCATTTCTTCATCACATGACTTTTGTTTTTACTCAGTAACAATTCCAACTTTAAATGTAGCGAAATAAAGTAATTGAGTCAAGAAATATATAAGTGTAGGTAACATTAATGAGTTTTAAAAATGTAACTCATTACTTCCACCGTTGAGTACATCGCACATGAAGTCGGCTTTCTGCCTGACATATTATCCACACACTGTATTTATAAAGGATGAACTGAGTTACACTGTAGAATTTGGTTCTGTGCTTTGTGTTTATGTATTTCAGTGACCAATATAAAAGAGACCCTTTGAAATGATCTAGTTTTGAGACCCTGAGTTGTGAAATTAAATTTTTGTTTTTCAGAGCAGAGATGGAAAGAGGACTGTCCAGAAAACATATCATTGAGGGTAAGGCTTTAAAGATCTCTGGGAATTATAATTAGACCTGCATTTATTTGTTTGAAAAATAGCACACACAAGTTGTTCAGAGCTGCATGTGCCACCACAGCCGCCCAACATCGGGATGCTTATATATGATAACACAATCAATATGTAATTATCTTTATGAAACAGGTCTAAGAGCATCACTAGAGAGACTTCAGCTCGAATATATAGATGTGATTTTTGCAAATCGACCAGATCCTAACACACCTATAGAAGGTGAGTATGTTTATCCTCCAAGAACTTCCTGTGGTGGTGAGACTATACTCATTAACTCATGTTTGACTGGTCCAACCTGGTGATGCTGGTTATTTACTTTATAATATTTAAGACATTAACAGTTTTTTAAAGGTGAACTCAAACATACAGACTCGACAGAGACAGACATGGAGAGAGAGACAGAGACACAAGCTGTGGCAGTAGTTACATACTCTGTTGTTCAAAGTATGTCACAGATATGTAACCATCATTGATATTCCTGTGTGTGTGCTTAAGAACTTTCTAAATGTCTGAGAAACTTGTGGAAAAGTCATTAAAAACATCAGACACACACACACACACACACACACACACACACACACACACAGCGAGATCAAGGCCTCTTTAAACACCTTTACATTCAGAAAACCTGGTTGTGCTCACTTATGCTACAAGCCCTTGTGCAACATTGCTGTGTTGTTTTTCTGATCTGGGGAGCTCAAGTCCAAGAGGTGGTTCTGTTGCAGTGAAGAGCATTCTATCTACCGTGTGCTGAACCCAGAACTTCTACAAGCAGCATCTCCTTTTTCTTCCTATAGCTGTTACTGCCTTTTGTCTGAGGTTTGCTGAATCTTTGTGACTTAGCTAATTTGGGCTGTTCTGGTAGAGACGGTGAGGGCAATGACCCATGTGATCAACCACGGGATGGCCATGTACTGGGGTACATCACGATGGACTTCCATGGAGATCATGGTGAGTTCGCACACAAGTTTCCTGCAAATCGTCTTATCAGCATCATATGTTCGGTTCTTTGTAACTAAGATTCACGTCCAAATTATGTTCAGTCTGAGCAGGTCGAGGGATGCTAGTGCTGGTCTCTCTGTCTGTTCAGGTTCAGATTATCCTTTGGTCTAATATAGACTTGTGTTGCTGCACATTGGGTTTGGGGGGGGGTTGTGATCAGGTGGAGATTCTTGGACCAATGAAGAACTGTATTGTGCACAGATGTTGACTAATTGCCCCCTCTGCTATAGGAGGCCTACTCTGTGGCACGACAGTTCAACCAGATTCCACCCATCTGCGAACAGGCAGAGTACCACATGTTCCAGAGGGACAAGGTTGAGGTGCTGCTCCCTGACCTCTTCCACAAGATCGGTGAGCAGCTGCCATAGAGGAAATAATGAAGAGCTCACAGTCCTCATCAGTGTTATGTATTATTATTTATTTGGTTTGTAAGATTGAATCAGCTGTGCTAAAAGCTGCCATTTCACTTTTGTTGAAGTCATTGAATTCTTTGTTACGTTATACCTTAAGCATATTAGTTAAAATTTAGTTTGTTTGTCCCTAAAATTGCAAATAAACCCCTCATGAATATGCGGCATTGCAGGTATTGGAGCTATGACCTGGTCTCCACTGGCTTGTGGGATTATCTCAGGGAAGTATAACAGTGGGATCCCCCCTCATTCACGTGCCTCGCTGAAGGTAACACTTGCGTCTTCCACTACTTATTATGTCAGACTGTTGTGTCACATTCTTCATCACCTCCATCTATACTCACAACACAACTCAAGTGTTTCCAAGGGACATTGATAAGTGATGAACCCAGCTGGGACGCACTTGTTCACTGCTCTGTGACTTTTGAAGTTAGGTGGGTTCGCCTCGGTGGCTCATCAGGTAGAGCTTGTACCGTTTAGGCTCTGTCCTTCCCGCAGCAGCCATTGGTTCGAGTCCAACCTGCGGCCCTTTGCTGCATGTCATCCCCTCTCTGTCTCCCTGACTTTCCTGTCTCTCTCTGTGCTATCACAATAAAAGTAAAAATACCAACAAAAAAAAAACTCATCAAGTGCGCATGGCTGTATTATAATACATCCATGCAAGTGTGTCCCAGCCGGGTTCATCACTTTTTTTTCCCCAAGTTTTTTTTAGGGGGCATTTTTTTTGCCTTTATTCCAACAGCGACAGTGAGAGAGACGGAAAGTCAGGGAGAGGGAGGGGATGACATGCAGCACAGGGGCATTTCGGACTCCTGCCCGTGCCGTTGCAGTTAGGACTACGCCTTCATGGCTTCATGGACCAGCGTCATCAGTCCATACATCACACACAGTACGCACCGATCAGGTGGCTGCTTGCAGCCAACCAGCAACGGGCATTATCAGCATGAAAACCAGCATTATGTTCAAAATAAAGAAAATGAAGTTTATTCATATTAGAACTGCATGTTTCCATGTATCAAGACTGACCTATTGTTATTAGGATTATCTAGAGAAGTTATCTGTTGTGGCAGTCATGGTCGAGTACCTGTCTTACCTTTAGGCCTGAGCTCTGCACTGTGCTGTCTACAGGGTTATCAGTGGATGAAGGACAAGATCCTGAGTGAGGAGGGACACCGTCAGCAGGAAAAACTGAAGGAGTTGCAAGCAGTTGCTGAGCGACTGGGCTGCACTCTGTCCCAACTAGCTATTGGTAAAACACAACTGAAATGTGTTGCTCTTTGTTTACATCCATCGTTCCCTACTACATTTTTATAACTGGAATACCTGACACTTCTGTAAATTCTATCCATGGTTTCTGCAGAACACCATCTTTGAGTTCCCATGTTTCATGGTGACCTCGAGTTTTATAGTCTTCCACTGTTATAACCTCAAAAAAGTCTTAGTTTTGTTTTTTTCATAAAAAATGACATGCAGACCACAAAATCTTCTTTACACAGCATGTAGAACAATAAAAAATACATGACTGCACTTACAATGCTTGTTGTAATTCCTTAGCCTGTGTTGTTGTCCACAAGACTTAACAACATGGCAGCTGATGGACTGCTTTCAGTCTTTTCTCTCTGTGTTGTAAATTCCAACAGCCTGGTGTTTGAGGAACGAAGGGGTGAATTCTGTGCTGCTGGGAGCTTCCAGGACCGACCAGCTGATGGAGAATATCAGAGCAATACAGGTCAATACAATTTGTTCATAGCTCCATAACTGCAGGTAACATTAAATGATACCAAACACCTGTTAAGTTTACTTGGTCCTGACCAAACAAATATATGATCCACTGTTGCCTTTTAATTCTGATCTGACTGACTTTGTACAGACAAACCCCAAGTGTAAAAACAAAATCATATGAACCCACAAGTAACTGATTTCCCCACAGCCTCAACCCCTGAACCTGAGAAACAACACAAACTGATGGATTTATTCTGAGTGCTTATATTATTATTATTATTATTATTATTATTATTAGTCAAGACTGCAACTGTACTTCATATGCCTTCAAGTCCTCTTGTACTGTAATGATATGGCTTTAATGAGGAACTGTAAAAATAGAGACTGTAAAAGTAGATGACAGTATTTTTTAGATCAGTTTTTGTGAATGAAATGTGTTCTGAGGGTTTGTTGTTTGTATTCTGAGACAAATTAGCATCCACTGCACCTCTTCCTGTTAGAGGCTGCTTTGACTTCCAGTGGTCACTTCACAGTATGTTGGTGCTCACTGTTGCCAGAGGATGCCCAAGCTCCTCAGCACCCAGCAGGTGGATTGTCCAAACACCTCTTGGTCTGGTTGTAGGCTACATCAGAGGTCAGAGGCCTCATACCAGCTGAAATGCCCATGACCAAACACACCTGCACACCAGAGATCTGTGCGACACTCGAAGTGAAGGCTTGTCTCAAATATAAGGCAGGAGGTAAACTGTTTGAGAAATGACAGTGACCGTTCTCTCTTGTCTCCACAGGTTCTTCCAAAGTTATCGCTGTCTGTTGTATCTGAGATGGATGGCATCTTGGGAAACAAGCCCTATAATAAAAAGGACTTCAGATCCTAGAAGCAGCGGCGATGAACTGTCACACTGTCCTCTGCTTCTGAACAAGCAGCGACGCACAGTAGCAACCATGAGTGATCTGGAATCTGTTTCCAATACAAAAGACACAACGAACAAAAACTGTGCCATCATTCATTTCACCAAGTCACTGTACTGTCACTGCACCTTCTTCGTCACATTTGCACTTATTGCCACCTAATATTATCAGTTTCTACAATTTGTAAAACTAATCAACTGAACAAGTGAATCATGGAGTTAGATCCGGCTTGGTGGACACAACCACTTCTACACAGTCTTGTTGCCTTAGCATGTTGCAGAGTCTGTAACTTCTGTGCAATGAAGCCGACTGACCACAAAACCTAATAGTGTGATATAATAACATTTTCACTGCAGTAACAACAAGCATGTTAAACGGTGTTAATTTTGGTATTTGGATTTATTTTCTGGGATGTTATTGTTACGAGGATGACAGAGGTCTGGTACGCTTCTGAGGGTCGGATCTGAAGGTAGGTCGTGAATTGGAGGACTTGTTGGATTGTATGTAAAATCTTAAAGTGAATGGTGCTGTTTAATACATTTAATGCGGTAGGTCTGGTCATAAAGTTGTCAATAAAGCTGAAATAGACAGAGCAGTGACTTATTAAATAACACATTTGGAAAAGGCGCACTTTTTACACAGGATGCCACACAGTGGGTTTTACACTTGAACATTATGTTGAATGTTAAATGTTGTTGATTTCACTGACTGGTGACTGTCAAAGCATCCAGTGTCCTTCACCTGTTCAGGCCCAGATAGCTACAACATATCCACAATTACCCCAAGTAATCCTCTGTAAGAATAAAGTAATACATTTAAACAAAAAGCTGCAGCAATATTTTGTGTCTGCCAGAGAGAGAGAGAAGGGAACATGACTTGAATTTGATATGACTGTTCAGACAACATTGAAATAAATGAGGCACAGGGGTCGACTTCAACTACATTTGAAGTCAGAAGTTTACATACACTACAAACTCTGCCTCTTTGATTGATGTCACGGGAAAATCTAAAGAAATCAGTCAATATGTCAGAAAAATAATGTGGATCCACAAGTGTGTGTTGGGGGGGTTAAAGCTTGGTCGCAAACTCATGTGGCTTAATATTTCATCAGTGTATAAGGTCAAATTCTGGAAACATGTCCTTGCTGAAGGGGGTCAACAATAAGAAACGTCCGAAACTGGAATAAAATGTCTGTAGAATGACATCTTCCACAAATATGGAGAGCTGCAACTAAAAGGTCTCACACACACACACACACACACACACACACCACTGTTGCACTGGGTTTAGATTCCACTTAGCCAAAATGTTCACAGTTGAGTTAAAATTTAGATTTTTTAAAAATCTGTTTTGCTATTAGTCCATTTCCACCAGAGGAACTTATCGACCTGTATCCTGGAGATTCCTATAACCTGAACCAAGACCCGTACGGCTTCTGGATGTGGGTGATGTTATAAATTCATGAGGTTAGTAAAAAGATAGGCTCTGCCTGTGATGAAGACGGAGCAGAGGAGCAGAATCTCTTCTCCCTATAAGATTTGTGAAGACTCACCACCTGCACTGTTCTGGATTTATTCTCACTGCCTTCGATTTTTAGTTCTTCAGGCCATGGCACACATCAAGTGGCTTCGCAGGAGATCAAGTTGTCTCTTCACTGGTCAGAGCAAGAGTAAGAGGCAGCTCTCGCTGCTCTATGTTTCATACCCTCACCTTACTTTTAGGAATAATTTTCTTTTCTGAAGGTGATGGAGACTTGGAACCAACTCACGCCCATGGGTTGTCGGAGACACCCATTCCAATGCAACCTCCCATGAATCTCTACAACAACGGGAAGTTCCTGAACTACCTAAAGTATCGATTTCAAATTGAAACTTTCAGCCATTACTTCCTCTGTGAATTTGCTAAAGACTTGAAACCAACTGCTACAGGAAGGGGTGGGGGGGTTGGGGGCATTTATATAGCGCTTTTCTAATCTAGTATACTGGCAATATATATTTCTATGTGTAGGAGCATGTAATGGACAAAGTAGTATAGTTAATGTTAGTGAATCTTTAACAGGCCTCGGCCTGAGGTCTGTAGGCAGATTATATTTGTTCTGGAAAGAACAGTAAAATGATGAGACAGGCAACAGGTAATGTGTTTCCTTCACTCGCTTCTGTTGCACTTTAATTATACATTCATATTTTAGCTACATTTTCCACATTTCTCTTCAGAAACTCTACCAGTTCACATAAGCATAACACAATCCAACATAAGAAACTTCAATTTCTTATAAAAATAATAATAATTTCCACACTGTATGTGTTCTGTTATTCTTCATATACAAATGAAATAAAAATACATTTTTCTCCCAAAAGTCTTTGGTTTGCTGCTTACAGCTTGACAACTGCACTGTTTAGTTTTCAGATAACTGGCTGATGGACACCATTCCACATCTAACATGAAGTTACATCACATCATCGATTACTTTTCGAAGAAAATATAAGAGAGCTAGCGAGGATAAATACACTATCAATTTAGAAGAAACATTACATTTGTCCAACAAACCCTCTTTCAAAACACATTCTAATAACATTATGGAAAGCCTTAAAATAAAACATCAACTTCAAAACACCCTTAGCATCCATGCACACGGAGCTAAGCTAAGCTAGCTCTTGTACCAAAGAAGTGAGATTCTGACTGACTGACGCTTAAACGAAACAACATAAACCTCCTGACAGATAAAACACAAGCAGGACTTTACCTATACATCACATCTATGCTTTATATGTGTGGTTTTACCAGCTACTAACCTGGAAAGAACAGTAAAATGATGAGACAGGCAACAGGTAATGTGTTTCCTCCGCTCGCTTCTGTTGCACTGAAGACGAGAGTTGGATATCAGCCTCATCAAACCGTCTCGCTACAGAGGCGATGCCCCCTTGTGGCGAAAACCAGGAATTGAGTCCAAATATACATTCCCATAAATTTAACTGAAAAAAGGCTCTGCAATAACAATAAACACATCAAAACTGCAACAATTAAATCACATAATCTAGGGCTCTAATCTAAGGCTAAATATGAGTAGGATGGTGGTGGTACTGGTTTCCAGGGAATGCGAACACTGTGTGTGTGTGTGTGGTCAGGCACAATGAGACACCAGGAGAAGTAACAGTTCAATTCCGGTCTTTACAGGTTCATTTGCACTCTTTTAAGGTTATTTATCGAGGTAACAGGAAGGTGGCTGACAACTGTGGCTCGTTTTTATCTATTAAACAGAAAATGTATTGATTGTATGTATTAATTCCATTAGAAATATATAAACTTAAGATTGTCATAAGCAACTACTAACATAACTTGAACATAACTAATAATCGTATATTGTAAAGTTTAAACAACAAAGGAACTCACATTACACTCAATAATGACAAAGTATATTGCTGATTAATTACAAAGTGTACTTTTTATTAACTGGAAGAAGATAAAAGTATAACAGAGCATACTTTTATTGCAATAATAATGTTTTAATGGTTTATTGCTTGTATATTTATAGGACTCCCACAATAATTTTTCATGTGTGAATGTTAGTACAAACACAGCCATACACTTAAGTGTACTAGGTATACTTTAGCATATAGAAGTACCTCTCTCTCAAATTAAATCGAAGGCAACTGGACTTGTATTTGTCTGTGGAAGACGTTTCGCCTCTTATCCAAGCGGCTTCATGAAGATTTGAGAGAGAGATAACTATGACCTGGACGAATGAGAACATTCACAGACATATAGAAGTACACTAAATACACTTCACATTGTGCTTTTCTACAGTTTAATTACAACAACAGTACTTAGTACAAAATTAGTTCTTTCAAAATATCAAACTTAAGGTTAATTAATCATTAACACACTTGAAGTACACTGATGATTAGTATGACTGCAAGTATACCTAAGAATGCTAAAATTTAATTTACTCAGCATATTTATTTTTCACCGGGGGTTCATTCTGTGTTCAGCATGATGTTAAGATGTCTTTTCTTCAATTCAGACTCATTTTTCAGTCCAACAGTCATTTGTCTACAGAGGGCCTCAAGTTGAGGTTTCCTGCCCGGTATGACAAATGTGAAGGGAAACATTCTTTTATCTCAGGTTGTGCTCAGGTCGCTCTGAAAACACACAGTTGTTCATGAGTGCGCTTCTCTCGCTCACAGCAGTTCATTCTGCATTAAAGATGATGTTGTATTTTCTTCAATTCAGATTCATGTTTCACTTTATTCACGTCATTTCTCTCCAGAAGGTTTCAGAATCAGATTTCCTGCCTGGCTACCCACCGTTTCTCAGCCCCCACCGCCCTGCGTGAGGCGTTGGCAACCGGGGGATACACCCTACAGGTAGAGACTCCCCCGGGCAGAAACTGCATAGAAACGTCATATGCAAAACTATTGTTGTCAAAATCTAAGAGCAGATGTTATTTGAAAGTAGCGTGGCTTGGGTATGTGATTGGAGTAAGAGTCTGTATCTCTGCAAACACTTTTGCATACACGCAACCCTGACCCCTATGTCAGCAATGTATGTATTGCACCCTGTTGTTCTAAGTGCGGATATTTATTTAAAACATTCAGCATTACCTCAATGATATGTGATCAAACTTGGGCTAATAAGCATAAGAAGAAGTCAACAGCGTGGAACAGCAACAGGAAATCAAACAAATCTTATTAATAATGCAAAGTCAGAATTTGTTGTTTCAGATAAAATGTTATTTTTAATGTTTCATTAGCTCACCAAATAAATGGATACTATTCAGCCAACGCTTTGTTTCCAACCATAAGTAGTTATTGGTGCGTAATTACGCGTCAATAATGTATTTGCAAAGAAAACAACCTATTCCATCTACTATGCATAAACCTCATTGTTTACTAACAGTGAACTAAATTGTTAACTATTTAATATGATGTAGACTAAATTTGAAAGTTTGCAGAACTTGCATTGGGTGAATGGGCCAAACATTAAGCTTCTTTACGCACTTATTTCTTCACAGCTCCTTGAGGCAGATTTAGTTTGATTTAGTTTATGGATCATAACGCAGACACGCACTGCAGTTGTTACGCTCGTTGCCCCCCTCCTGGCCTGGTGTGTGTGTCGGGGAGAGGGGGGTGTATTTGTAAATCCTGCCTCTGTCTGTGTGTATAAAACAAAGAGGCACAACTTTAGCTTGCTTGTAGCTTGACTGCAGGATTTATTCTGCAGCGCTGCCTCTGCGGGGTTTCTAAGGTCCTCACAGGCGCTGTGCGCCAACGATTGACCTGTTGGAGTATTGCTGTAACACAGTAACAAGTGAAATACAATCAAATTGGCATTTAACTAGTAATTACAGCATAAGGAAATTAAAAAATATATATTTACAAGGGTGTCTGTTTTTATCTATTTAACTTATCTTACCATATATACAACCATGAGTCACTTTTAGTTTTAGTTCGTTTATTTATTTAATATGGACGATGCAATAATACAAACCATGAACCTGATGTGTTGAACTGAGTTTATAGCTGTTGCTAATTTTTGGTAATTTTCAACTCAATCTGTTGGCCTATATTGTTTATGTCCACTGGCGTTAATTGTTAAAACTGTTATTTCTGCCAGACATTGCAGCGTATTGCAAACATGTTAATATCATATTCTTATAGAAGCAGTTTGTGTTGTATAAAAAGAGATGCATAGTTAAATCTGTAAGTTGAGTTCAAATTTATTTTGTTTATTACCTTTAAGTCGTTGTCATCAGAAAATAAACATGTTTGTGAATATTATGTGGCCTGATTACGAGGATTAAAAATGCTTGTTTGGACGCTGCTGTCTCTGACTTGTTGTTAAGGGACTTCTTGTGATATAATGATGTAAAAACAGCGACAGTCCTTGTTAACTACCCATATATTTCTAAGAAACAAGGCACACTACACTTTACAGGCAGTGGTGAGGTGATTATGGGTTAACCACGGTGACATTTCCAGCAGTCGCCACATCTACCACAACTGTTGCCGTGGCTACCACTCCTCCTGGCTCATTGAAAGTTAAGACTGTGGAAGTTACAAATACATTAGGTTTATTTCACTGAAAGTACTTGGCTGTGTGGAGGAAACTGCTGCTGTGTTTATATTAAGCGACAACAATGTTGACATGCTGCCGGTTAATATATGAGCCTTGGTATCACCTGCTAACAGCCTCTTCACAATGCAATAAGGGATATTAATACTATCGATATTAATGGCAGCTGATACAGAAACGCCCCTGCTGTCTTAGTGTGTATGTGATCTATACTACTTACTACAACAATTCCCATATAGTGACCGACCAACCCTCTTTATTCTGCTTCATCTTTACTCCATAATCAACCAATAATTCCCAGTGATTATACTACTACAACATTATTCTGACTTTGACTGTTATTTCTTGGCAATTTCTTTACATTACAATTAAAAGGCCTGTAAATTAAAGGGTTACCAAGACGGCATGAAAGGAATGATAGTTTAATTTAATACTGACGTTAGAATGACTTTTACTCAAGGAAAGTGACCCAAAAGAGAGACTGCAGACGATTTGAACTAATCAAAGTTACATGAAACCATCTCTTCCCTCATTGGCTGCCTGCCTTTAATGTTTTTGAACAGTAGCCTACATGTGTTTGTGAAACTACATGGATTGGAAAGACGGTTTAACGTCATACTGAACTCAGTACTGACAGAATTAGACATAAAAGCACATTTACCCTTATATTCTTTGGATTTTCAGTGTTTGCATGAGGAAATTTCCTTGTAAAGCCTTCTCTGATGCAAACACAGCTTGAAGTTTATACTGAGCTGAGAATTAATTTTTCTGAGCAAACGCAACTCAAACTTAATATATGTATATTAATAATAGTAATAAGCAAATATTTACAGAAATATCAACAAAAATGTTCAAGTTTCAATGCTTGTAAATAATAATACTGAGCTCACACTGATCTGCTCTTATTATCTTCAAAATTCTGTTACAATTTTATATCTGATATATTTGAATTTTGAGCTCACTCACATTCAGCTTTAATATTTTTTAATTTTTAGATTTAACATTTAGATTCATTTTAATATTTAGATTTCGATTTTGATTTAACATTCAACATTCATCATTTGGATTTAACATTTAGTTTTATAGTTAACATTAGATTTAACATTTAGTTTTATAGTTAACATTAGATTTAACATTTAGTTTTATAGTTAACATTAGATTTAACAATTAACATTAAGAGTTAGATTTAACATTTAGATTTAATATTTAGATTAACATTTAGGTTTTTACACTTTTAAAAACTACATATTTTTGTCTCACGTGAGCAAAATGAGTTAAATGTAAGCAAAGTGAGCTGAATATTCAAAATATATCAGCTATAAAATGTGAATTTTTACGTTCGGTGCCCCATACATGTAAACAATACATGTGATGGAAAATTCCACATACAAACATCAAAACTATCAACAGTCTTTCCCAAATATTAGAGATTTTTGGTTTGAGCTTTCTTATTACATTGATTCATTGAAAGCAGCAAAAAAACAATAAATAAATAAATAAATAAATACATATTATAATTGTTTGAAATATATGGAAATTATACTGCCAAATGTAACATAAAGATTGGAGCACATTTTTTGGATAATTTATTTTATTTGTTGATTTTTATTGTGTATTATTATTATTATTATTATTATTATTATTGGTTTTGTCATTGGCTGTATTTTGTTTGTATTTATTGTATTAATTCTCATTCTGATATTTAATTCCCCTACCTTTTGTTCAAGCTGTGATGTGTGATTGTACATTGTTTTACCAGCATGTTCCTGGAGTTAAAATCCAGTTTCCATAATCCACATATCAGTTCCATAATTCAGTCCAATACAACAGCAGAAACAGAGGCCTCAAAAATCAGCACAGGTGAATCATCATCAATCATTATAAGCTTCAGGTATCTTCAGGTATTTATTTGTGGGCTTTTTACTATTGTACAACTCTAGTGGATTTTATTGTTTGTGTGTTTGTTGAGGGCAACACAAGCACATTCTGAACTTTGGTGATTAAAGATTTATTTATTTTTTTCATTTTTCACTGTCTGAAAATATAATTATGGCTAAACATGAATTAGCCAACATTCTATTCAAGCAAGGCTGAGACATGTAATATAATGCAATATGGAAACAATGAATGACAAAATTCTGAGAGGGTCACTATATACAGAGTTTATATATATATTTGTATAGATAGATATAGACTATATATAGAAAAATCAAATGGCAATGACGTTTACATAATTTTCAATTTCAACATCATATGGCATCCGATGAAAGTGAATTTGAATATTTCCAAATGATTCCCAAACCAGGATCATGTCTTTCATGACGACATGTCTACACTCGATACCCTACATTTGTAAAAATGTACATCCAACATAATTTTAGTAAACATAAGGAATATTTTCTATAATGTGTCATATTCAGAAAGAGATATCGCCCATGATTGTTTGTTTCAGTTACTCTTAAATGTCAATGCACAGCTTCATGCTTTCATAACATTTAAAATCTACGCATCTCCTCAGTTCTGCCAAAAATATTCAACTCAGAATTTCCACATTGACTAATGAACGCCCAAAAAACGTGTGAATCGTGGGAATTCTTGAACACCTGGAACTGGGAGGAGCTATTTAGACCAGAGAAATTATGAATATTAAATTAGCTATATAATAATCAACTTGGCATTTGTGTCTACAGTTAATTATACAGTACTTTGTATAACCTTTGTTAATCATTTTTGTGATCAGATGTTTGCCTAAAGACATCGGGTTGAGTATTGAAACTGGACTCTTCACACTAGTTGCTGTAGATTACTAAAACACAACTGACATTATCTAAGGAACAGTACCTTTTTGATGTCACGGTTGTTTGTGGCAGGCAGGGTGCACGCTGTAAGCAGATCTGCTCATCAAACATTCATCCTCCAGGTTAGTGGGACAAAGGCCGGAGCAGCACACGGGACAAACTGATGTCTTTTCTCTACTTTTGCAATATTCAGTGTGTCCAGAGACGTCTGGCATAAGATGCTGCTCTTCACATGTGCATGTACTGTTTTTTAGAAAAGGCCATTTTCAAATAGATTGTACTCATATTTGTTTTTCTCTGAAAACCCAGGGCCCTGGGGGTCAAATGTGCTTAATAATACATCACAACATGCTTGATACGCATTATGCAACACATGCACACAACATTTCACTTTCATGATCACGATAGCTTGACATTTAGGTCACATATAGAAAAATTAAATTGGAACATTGCAGCTTTTTTTTTTCCAGTGACAATGAATAAAATTCGATTTGCACAGCTACATAATCCTTACATTATGTAAAATAGGATATACTGTATATCAATATTCCAAATCCACAGAGAAGTGACAACAAGCTTATCTAAAGAGACAGATGAGTTTGAGTTAGGATTACAACTCTGGCAGTAAAATGAAGCAATTTAGAAAGGGCTTCTATGAGTTTCATACAAAAATCTCATGACTAAAGACTCATGACTGTCTACATATACAATGCATTAGCTGCTTCAGGGTGTAATATGCCTTTGCTGGGTACGTTCATGCCATGTTTAGATGACAAAACTGTCCTGGAGCTACTATTCCATTCATTACTTAATAGTGAGTGGGGCTAATAAAGGTAAAATATAACGCAATAACAGGCTTTTTCCCCATGGTATACTCACCAGTAGCCCCTCCTCTATCTATCACAAGCTTCTTACACGTTCTAATGTATGTATAATAGCTTCTATTGATTTGCAGTAAAGCCAATGGAAGGATACTACAGATAATCTTAACTTGGTTCAGGACAGGTGCACATATAGCAAGTGTCTTAAGCAGGAGAATCCTTGCCATGAGTTTGTGTCCAGGAGACATTCAATGGGAGGTGGAGGGTCACACTGCTGTGTTTTACCCAAGCTGAGACTCAGAGCCCGTGGACAGCAGCGACCACAGCATGGTCCCGGGTTTCTGGAGGCCAAAGAGTGAGACAGGGTTTAAGGGAGACAAGCAAGCACTTCCCCACTGTCTGGTGTACAGTGCAGGGTGGAGGCTCGGGGGAAGGGGAGGCATTCAGTGAAGGCCTTGGGCTGAGTGTGTGAGGGTGGGGAGTGCTGCAGGGCAGAGGAGGGGAAGATGGCCCAGTTCACTGTTTGGCTATATCCCCTTTCTTCAAGATAATCTGCCGCTGCCAGGGCGCCAGCTTGGTCTCATCGTAGCCCAGTGTCCGCAGACGCTCCAGCTCCGTCTTCTCCTCATTCTCCTTCGCCTGTTTGGCCTGCTCCTCTGCTTTTCTAAAGGCGTCCAGGAAGAAAGGTTCAAAAACAAAACAGCAATTAGAATTTCTACAGGAAAAATACACGCTCTGTTTTTAGTCACATGAAATTTGGTCAATTTCCTGGACCACACCTGACTGAAGACATTGCTCATATTCATCCATTCATTTTTGTGTACTTTTAGTCTGCTGGACAACCAATACTTTTGGTAAAATAGTGTTTCTGCACTGATCTTCCTTGACACCTTTTTTTCTCAGCAGAGATTTTGACTTGTCATAAGAGGAAAAGCACAGGTGACACAAGTTTCGTTAAGGATGGCTCAATTCCATCAAGTGTCCCTGTGCGCCCTCCAGCACCATGAAGCTAACTTACCTAACTGTTATGTATGTGCTATACACCTGAACCTTTGCTGCTATTCCAAGCCAGAATGTCTACTGTGGAAGAAGGTCTATTTTAGATGATTTTAGATATTTTCGCACTGAGACGAACATGACATGGCCGTGGCTTGAGATGCTATAGGCCGCAGCCGGACCTTATTAGGCGTCGCTCAGTAATGAAGCCATAGGATTGGTTGTTTAAGCAGGCAAAATTGAGAAACTGAATAAAACAGCAGTGTTGAAACCGGGGCTGCTATACTGAACTTGTAGAAGTAACTACAAGAAGTTCTGGAAAACATTTGATTTATTTTTGTGTCAGTATATAGCACACATGTACACTCATGTGTGCGTGTGCACAATGTGACCTGGTCCAGAGTGTTTTAGGGCTCAATGCAAGTTAGCTTAGTTTTGAGAGCAACTGTGGAGGAGGATTTATCCAGGCTCACGTTTTCCCTTTATAAGAGAAGGGCACCGTCTGCTGGCATTAGTCCTTACAACAACAAAACCACTGCACCTCTCCAGCCTGTGTGTGACTGCTGGAGAGCCTCCTCTGTGCCTTTTACTTTTAACACAGGTTTGTGTAGTATCTGGTCTCTGGCTGCTTCTGTAGATAAGGAGTTGTCTCTGTTGTTTCCCGGTATCAGTTTTGATTAATCTTCATAATCTTGTGTAATTTAACAGTAAGGCATGGGACATGATGTGACCATTTTTGACCACTAGATGGGATCCTTGATCTCAGATTCATACATACATTCACATTATGAAATTCTGGAGACTTTTTATATTATCATTTAAGTCATTTCACAAGAGGCTTAATGTGATATAAACATTAATGTGTGGATTATATAATGTGTCCTTACCTTTTTTGTTCCCTGTCACATCAGGATGACGTAAGCACAAGAAGAAAAGGTGTAAATATCTTAAACGGCAACAACAGTTATTCCACAATATAAAACAATGTGGAAATAGTAATACAGTATACAGAAATGAAGAAACATTTCCAAACAGATCCACAAAACATTTGATGCAACAGTCTAGGGAGAGATGAAGACAGCAGAACACAAGGTTGTAACAGAACAAATCCATCATCTTTTTTTCAGATAAAAAACTAGAAGTTAGATGTCTCCAACATTCTGCCTCAGTAAACCATGTGAACCAGAAATCCAGACACTGCCTGACTTACATTACATTCCAGTGGACAAGAGCTGTCAAAAAAAGCATTAATTGTTCAAGATAACAGGCACTGCATAAGAATACTGCTAATGAAATGATCAGTGCAACAGTGTGGTGCAGGATGGCCTCTGGGAGTGCAAAGTATGAGTACATAAAAGAGACACGCTAACATACACAAACGCAATGAGCACAATCTTCCCTTGCTGGCTCAGGATATAATAAATTTGAAAACAAGATGAGATGAAAATCACATGTGCAGAGTAACACAGCTTTGTTACTCACCTCTCTTCATCCATTTTCTTCTTCATCATGTCTCTCCTCCAGGCCGGCATCGATGCCAGGCGTGCTGCCTCCTCCTCCACCTGCAGATGGACAAATAGGAGAGATAGATAGGGGGCCCATCCCAATTGGTAAAGGACTGTGATAGTAACGGAAGCCCCACTTTCCTGCTTTGCATGACCTCATCCCCTAATGAAGAGATCAGCCTCCATGACCAAGGTTCTTTTATCATTTAAGGATCTAACTGAATACCTGGCCAGCGTCAGCTTCAAATGCATTGCCTCTCTAACCCTCCTCTGCGTGTGAAATATAGTCTTTATTGCTGCAGCACAAAAGCTGTTTAGCAAAATGATCACTGTCTTGTAGCTTCACAGGTTAAATCATCAGTCTAAATTTAAACTATTAAATTAACTATATAAAAATATACATGCAAAATCAAGTAAAACATGATCTAACTGATATTCACTGTGTGCCATGGCATTCCATCAGAAACACTTTACGTGTGTAAAACAGAGCCACTTATTAGTTTTTTAAATACTTCAATCAATTTGTGTTTTTTTTTTTGGCATTTCCAGGTTTTTACCCTCTGAATGGATAACACAGATAGATCTGGAGTTAATTGGATTTTCTAGCTGGTTGTAACATTTTTTACAATAACTTTCGTTTGTGTCATGGGCTTTGAAACCACAAACCAATCACAATCTATCAAAGGTGCGATTGAGGTGTTTCATGCCTGCAGTGTCACATAATGCCTCTCTAAATGTTGTAGGGGGCAGGTGAGCACCTGAATAGAGAGAAAACTGAAATGTTAGTCCACCTATTATTTCAACCAAAACAGACATTCTCGAATTTTAGACAAATAGCTTTTATGGAAGACTCTGAAGACTAAAGACAACTACAGCATACTGTGTAAACTGCTGTATCTACCTAAAACAGCAGACAGAAATCACAACAGGTAGTCTTCTCCTGTGTCTTTGAATTAAAATAAAGCCTTTTAAAATGGGCAGGACACTGTTTACAGGATGCTCTCTCAGACAGTGCACACACACAGTAACTGGATCCTTTACTCTCTTTCAGGCTGTAATTGGAGGTGGAGCAACCAGAGGGCAGCCATCTTGGATATCCCATCTTCACAAGATACATTACCCTTTTGCATTCCTTTTACTAAAGCATTTCACTCGCCCTGGCAAACAAGAATCCAGGTAAAATTATCCACACAGTGAATTTTTAATGATTCCCCTGGAAATTACAGAACAGGAAAAAAATCTAAACAAAGAATGGCTGATAGATTTGCTGGAATTATAATTTGCTATTAGTCAAATACGGCTTGCATTACAACTGGAATAAGGCTACTTACTGTTTATCCTTTAGTAACATGAAACTAGTCAAGAGTCAGATTCCTCGTGAGTGCTTTCTTAGAATGGGTTATGTGGGCCAATAAGGCCAATAGCATGGCACCTATGTTGCATAGATGATAGAGTCACCATACTTTTGTCACATTTTGGGAAAAGGCTTATTGAGCTCTGTCATATCCGCTAAATGCAGCTTGTTAGCGTACAATGCCATTAAGCTAATGGATCCTTGGGGCTACAAGCCACATGTATTGATAACAAGCTACATGCAGACATGCTTATGTTCAACCAGTGACGTCTTGAACCTATAGCCTTGGCAATGTCACTGTTGTGCTCTGATCATTTAACTCACATGACATCACTCACATAAATACCTCAGAATCAAAACCCTCAATTCACACAACTGTCTGGAGCAGGAAGCTACGGAAGTGAATGGGCTCCTCACAAGAATTGAACCCATGACCTTCTTGTGATAGGTTAACAGTTAGAAGCACCACGTCAGTTTTATTTCTGAAATCAATAACTGCTATCAATGCTCTGTTGCTTTAAAATTGAACCATGTTTCAATTAACTCCCTAAAAATGAAAAAGTAATGGCAAAAGTTAAGCTAATAAAAGTAGCTGATAAATGATTGTTGAGGTCCTGCTAAAAGGTATTGGCTTGTGGGTCAGGTTAGTGTCATCTATTGTGCCAGCGGACTGCATCCACATGAGTGACAGCACACTGCACTAGCCTGACAAACATCATTTACAATCAATAATACAGTAGATGCAATAATGAAAAAACAGCTAAGCTTCTTAAAATTCTCACTGAGTCTGGCAAAACTTGTATGACGATAGTAACAGATAAGGCAGATGCTTTCTTATTATGATATTATGAATTGTCATGTGCTGGTTATTTGTGGTAGTTTGTGTGGTGATATTAACACTAAATATGAGGAATAGCTTATTGACAATTGTAAGCTACGTGTATTTTGTGCTTGTGGGTCATTGTTGGTTGAATCTGAAAGACGTGGGTGTGGCAAGACTGGGGTATCTATATCATGCCTCAGGAGACCTTTAGTTTGAATCAACTCTAAACAGTGGCCTATTAACAGTTTTTACTGCACAGATAACTGTATGAAACAATACGTATAACTCTGTACAATCTGGACACACTGTTGAATTGGGCAGAGAACTGTAAAATAAGTTTAATTAATGGATTATTTGTGTCATTTGCTAATGCTCTTCATTACTTAGTCTTTTGACTGCACACAACTTCACTGCCATAATTAAACTCACACTCTTTAGTGGGGTGGTTATACATTCATCAAATCTGACAGAAATACTGTACATAAAAACAAATCTGCCTTTAAGTTTACCAGCTGACGGCCTTCCTTTTTGAGCTGTGAGTTTATCAAGATTCACTGTAACCTCCTTATGGCTCCTGTAAGCCATAGATAGCATGACAGCGGGTGGTGCTAAGAGGGTTATTTGAAGGTAATCTTGATGCTGCAGAGAATGCACTATTAGAATACTGTGGTTCTTCCCAGTGAAGGATGACACATTCACGAGCTCAGTGTTTGACAGTGGCCCTTTTCATTGGTACATGTATAAGAGTGATTATTAAGGTTCTCACTGTGATAGAAAATATGTTAATTTTATTAATCGATCGTTTATCGATAGATTAACCTCCAGCAGTTAGAACTACTCGGAAAGAACTACTGAAATCCTATAATCACAAAAATGTCAACAAACTTTATTTCTAACGGCAAACTAGAAATAAAAAAAAAAATACAGGAACACAAATGAAATTATGGAAAGTTTGAGCAAATCTCTCCAAAACACTCAACAATTATAAATAGTAACAAAACGATGGGACATTCTTCATAAAACAACTACAAACTCTTAATTTAGATAATAGCATTGTCAGGTGAACGCTTCCATTTGCTGACGACAATTTGCAGTTTTCAAGTTCTGAATTACTAATGATAAAAGTAACAAAATGCCTTGCACTTACCACACTGTATACTGAAAGGCACACATTGCATAAACAAAATCAAAGACTTTAAAACAAGGACCATCTGTGAACCAGTTAGTAACCTGAAACTCTTACAAACCACCTTTGATTGCATTGCCCTTGAATCAAGCAGCAAAGGGAACTTAAAATAATGCCGTTTTGAAATAATGAAAGATTAAGTTTTATTAAACTGCTTTATTTCTATCAAGTGTTTAATCAGGTACTGAGTTCACTTGTGTAGCCCCTTGCCTTTCTGAAATAGTGATCTCAATATGAAATGGAATCTGAATTACTCAATATAAACAAAGTGTGCAGAGTTTAACCAGTTATGTCCTTCATTACAAAGATGATCTAAAACACAATACACTATAACTTTTATGGCAAATCTTTTCCTTTAAAAACTTGTTTTCCCAGAAGCAGTGTACCATGGCAATTGATCATACTAGATTCAAAAAGCTCTTGGTTCAACACAATTCAAAATTAAATGGTTGCAGCAAATGTATGTCTCTTTGACATCACATGCTTTCTATTCATCCACTTAAGCAAATGCAAATGATAAAGTCAGTACAGCTAAGTGGATGCTCTTTGCTTTGCTGCAGTTAAGTCCCTTATGTGGCCTAAACACTAACACACCAGATTAGTTTCCCTGATCCTGCTCTTTCCTCTTTGGTTGTACAGGTGAACTGGGCTTTTAGTGGACCCTTAATCCATAGTTGTTAGATATCAAAAAGCTCAGCTTCCTTTTCTTTCCAGAAAGCGAAGCTTCGGTCAATATATCTGATGATTTCTTCATTGCTAAACTCTTTTAGGTCATAGATCACTTTGATTGAGTCTTCATTAGGTTCATCTCTTGGTGGGGGTTTATCAACATGAGGTTCCTCTATGACTTTAACAGTGACAGGTGGAACATCTTTCACTGGATGTAGTTCTGAGCTTTCTCTTGTGTCCTGTATTGTGTTGACTTTTGCTGTTGGATCAGTGTGTTGTACAGTTTCAGTTGCCAAGCTCTGCATTTGGTCCTGCTCTGAACGTTTCCCATTAGAAACCGCAGACTCATTTGATGATGTTTGCTCACTGGCTTTTACATGCCCCTGACCATTGTCCTCCAGTGAGTTCTTCAGGCTTCTCTTATCCACACAATGGCCATTGTTGAATACACCATCGTGGGCTGCAGGAGGTGGTGGTAATGATGATGACGATGATGATGATGGAGAAGCAAGTGATTGTGAGGTTGGTGGGTAAGGTTGCGGTGATGATGCAGGTGAAGTAGACTGAGCATTTGGAGGTGGGGGTGCAGGATGTGTGGGTGGGGGAGGAGGTGGAGGATGTGAAGGTCGGGGAGGGAGTGATTCCTGCATTGGAATAATGGGCATGTCAGGAGACATGGAACGTAGAGAAGCCGTCATTACACCTCCCCCCTCATCAGAGTCTCCAAAATACTTAAGCTTTATGTCTTCAAAACCATCCGTCCAGTCTCTCTTCCCTCTCTCAATTTCCTCTATGACTTCCTTGTGAAACTGCCTTATGATCTCCCACTTACGGCTACCAAGACGGTCAAACATCTCATAGCACAAGAGGTGGCGGAATTTGCGCTCACTGCGAGACATGTTCATTTCCAGCAACTGGAAGTATCCAAGCATGAAAAGGTCAAGGGTTAGGCTTTCGTAGCTCACAGGTGACCCGTTGATGTGTGGCAAGAAGTGCTCTGGCCAGTAGATCATCTGGGTGCGACTTAGCCTGCGGATCTGGCGTGTGGGCACTTGACTCATGATTGTCCTCCAGTGGCCAATCAGATTGCCTACTACCTGCTTTGACTTCATGAAAAGGAGGAGTTTGTCATCTTCACTCTGTATCTCCTCACCAATCTGTGCACTAAATTGGTTGTAGTCCTCCCAGCCAACATCTAAATGATTACCTCTCCTGCCTGAATATTTAGTCCGATAAGATTCAGAGATAGTGTACTTCCGCCAGTGTTCAAGGAACAGGAAAACAATTCTCTCTTTCCTCATTTCAATGCACTCCTGGACATAGCTTAGATCTGTCTGCACCTCCAAGCTTCTTGTTAGTTGTTCGTTATTTAAAATGGCATCTGCAGAAAGAATCTGATTGAACTGTTCAATGTTAGTTGAAGCCATTATCTCAGGGGGTGCATATGTCTGAGGAACATGAGATGCGATGATAACTGGTTCTTCAACAAGCGGTAAGACTGATTCCTCCACCAAAGGTACATTTCCATTGGTATTGGACTGAAGGATTGTAGCAGAGGAACAAGAAACATCTTCCTGAATTGTCTCTGGTGGGTAACTAGACTCACTTACCACAGGGAGTGACCTCTTACGTTTGTACACCCTATTCGTTTTGTTGTCTGCAGGCTCTGACTGACTCTGAATTTCATAATTGGCCTTGAGGTTCTTCACTGAAACTCCACACTGCTTTATTTCCTTCTCCACATCCTCTCTTGTTGAGAAGGACTGAGACCGTCCAATAAATCCACTGCCAGCTGATGCTGCTGTTTCAGACTGACCTGTGTTCACAGTCCTTGCCTCTTCCTGAGAATATCCAGGACATATAAGATCCAAGATGTCTATCTCTTTTCCCCCTAGGGTGGCAAGAAGAATAGCCATACTTTTGAGTAGGGTAGAAATCTTGCTGCACCAAGCTGGAAGATCTTCAGCTTGGCCATGTACCTGCTTTGGATTGACTGAGAAATGCCCTTGATTGAGGGCAGCAGAAACTGGTAGGAGCTGTTGAAGCTCACGCTCTAGTTCTCCCAGCTCCTTCTCGACTTCTGAGACCTTGTGCATGACCTGCAGGTTCTCAATTTGCTTCTCAATACGGTTTAGATCATCCTCTGTCATCAGTTCCCCAAATGGGCCCAAAATGGCATTGTGGACATGGGAGTAGTGCCATTCCTGAAGCTGGTAGTGTCCAGTTGCCGCAAACTAAATCAGAGGTCAAAGGAGACCAGAGGACAAGAAAAAAGGGGAGGAGGGGGGGGGGGATTCCTTCAGCTCGACGTTCCTGGTGTGAATACACGCTTCAGTGCAAATCCATTGTGACACACAGGTTTTACATGGATTTAGTGGTGCAATGGCACTGCCTCATTAAAAGCACAAAACTTTCTACTTCACTTTGAGTCAAAGAGAACAGAAACCTGTGTCCTTCTTGAATTAATTGGCAAATATTAATTAAACCATAAGTAATTCATAAGTTTACAATGTGTCTACTTTTGTGTTTTTCAGGCCTTTGACACTGACCAGAACTTTTACATCTGTATTCCTGTATTTGCTCAATCCCTCTTTACAGTTTTTCTCTCCCATTTTTGAGAGTCAGTTTTTTATGTTTTCTCTTAGTTTAAAGAGTGACTACACAAACACTGAGAAATCTGCTTTTACTGACATCCCGCAGTTGAAATTTTCATCTTGTTCTGGCTGCATCCCAAACATGACTGTTGGGCACAGGCACCAGTGCGGCATACAACAGTGATGGGAAACCACACTGGGTGTGGTTAAAGATGCAACAAAGTTGAAACTGTCAACTGTGGTCAGTGCAACAAAGGTTTTTCTGAGTAAGGGACTGGGTGTGGTATCACTCTTAGAGAGGTGTTGATCTGCTTTCCAAAAAAAGGAAAAAAAACAACTTTTTTTTTTTTGTTGTTTCTTTTTTTCCACTGGATGTACATTTTATTTGCCTTATTTTGAAACTTTAAAAGTAACATGCTATGCAATTGTAGTTAGTATTATTATTATTTTATGTACTTTTTAAAAATCAGTACTGGTTGACCTGTAGTGTGAATAGGCCTGACATCACACCACTGAATCAGCATGTAACAACTTGAAGCTGCAAAACTCCATCAAACACCAGCTCACACTGTGAATCTGTTAGTCAAGTGTGTTAATGCTGTGATGGGCACTGGAGCCAAGTATTCAGTTCACTGCAGTCCAAAAAGTCTATTGCTATTAAGAAAGACTATAAATATGGAAGAAAAACATGCATAAAGATGCCTAAAGAAAAAAAGAAGGAGCTAAAGTAGTGAGCACATGGATGTCTGGATTCAGAGCTATCTAGGTCCAATATTTCATGCAAGTACTAATAAGTCATTTTTCCTTTGTTATTTACAGGGAGAAATATATCATGAGAATACTTTATGTTCAGCTTAGTTTAATACAATTACACTGATAATCCCACTGCATCTCAACAAATAAACAAATACATGCCACATTCACTAAGGGACACTGGAAAGAAATTGCTACCTGCTGGATCATTTAAGAGTATAAGATTGCAAACCTTGATTGCAGATCAATTACATAAAGTCCTGCATGAATTACTCAGGACTAACAAGTGTTCAGATTGCTGCAGTGTGAATTACTAATTTATACCTTGTCTACATGAACATAATTGCACCACAGTATTAGAGCCAGTATTACATGCATGAATACTAAAAACACATTCATACAGCCTCTTTGCCAAAATCACAAAAATCCACACTCAAATCCAAGCGGCAGCTATCCCCTCTGTGGTGTTTAATTATTTGAAACTGAAGCCATATATTATCAAGTTTATAGAGTGTTTTAAGACCAGAAATGGGGATAGCTTAGACATGACAAAACTTCTGGACCTTTGTACATCCTTGCAACATCATGCCTACCTTGCGCTTGTGCTCCTCCTCCTCTTGCATCTTGACCTGAAGCTTTCGCACCATCACCTGCCTTTTCCACTCGGGTATCGCTTTTCCCTGTTCATCATGAGTGGGCACTAGAGCCTCCACGTCTGAAAGGCTAGTCTTCCTTCCCGACTCCGCTCCTGTCGTGCCACCGCCACTGTTCCCATTGATTACAGAGTTGGAGGGCAGTTGCTCGTAGCTCGCAGAGGTCGACATGGACCTGGCAGATCCAGAGCCAGTGGGACTGGGGCTGGGACTCGGGGTGGCAGGTGGGGAGGTGACGGATGTATTGGATGGTGGAGGGGATGTTGGTTTGGCTGGTGGGCTGGATGCGCGGGTCTCTGGTGGAGATGTAGTGTCTCCCTGGAGGAAAAATAAAGACACAGATGGATGGAGAACATGGGGCTCAACCAAACTGATAACTGGTGGAATTTTTTAACCAGCAAGCACGCTCTTAACCACATCCTTAAACAGATATAGCTAGAAGGCAGTAGAAAGCATTCTTGTGGAAATTTAATGTCACATGATGCAAAAGGCTTCTTTTATTATGACACATCACCTAGTTTCCCACTTTCCCAAGAGATGTGATCTTTCTTGTAGCCATCCTTTACTGAGCTAAACTCATGCTTAATGTGTATTAAGTTACTCATTAGCCTTAAGGTGGTAGTGGTATATGTGGTCTATCCATTGAAGTCAGAGAGCTATATATATATGTATATATATATATATACATATTGTTCCTTTTGATGGTTTATGATAATTTCCTTAATTTCTGTCTTTTGTGGATTCATTTAAATCAGTCAGCAAAAGCTGTAGCTAAATTCCTGCAATTAGGAATTTAAATGTATCATCAGAAGTGGAGAATGGCTGTGGACCTACATTGTTGCCTGTGGGCCCAGTGCTGGAAAAGACAGTGGTGTAGCCTTTACTGTGAGGGGTGGGCTTGAGGCTCTTTCCTGCTTTGATCTCTGCCAGCAGCTCGGAGTTGTCACCAGTGGGGGACATCATGTTGAAAGATTTTGTGCCTGCAGAGAAAAGGATGGAGCAGAAAAGTGAAACCGGGTAAAAGAAAGATGGAATAGAGGGAAAGAGAAACAGAGAGAGTGACAGAGAGAGATCCACTGAAGAAGAGGGATTGAAAGAGGGATTGGATGGCATTTCAGTGTTAAATATTTCATTCGATCAGGCGGGTAACAATGCTGAGCTGAGCGGGTTGGACAGCGAGGGGAGATCATTATGGTGTACTCAACCACTGCCTCTCATAGATAAACTTAATAAGTGTCTTTTTTGTTGTTGTTTGTTTATATCTTGTTTACTTACATATATTGGCATTTGCCTTTATACCTCTTAGGGTTCAGGGTTTGCTTAAGACATGTTTCTCTGAAATGCTTGACAGTATTTGGATTAATCAAATGGTCTACCAGCTACCAAACTGTTGCATTAGTCCACAGTTGCAGTGAGCTGGGGTAGATGGGGAGGAACAATTCCAAAATTATTTCACTACAGTGAACCCAAAGAGAGGAGGCACACACAATCTCTCTCAGAGCGTACATGTTAATATATCCAGCTAAGCTTCTGCTGAATGTTCATCTTTTTAAAAAGTAGGTCGATGGTGAAATGTATACATTCATCGTACACGGAACCTAATCTCCTTATAGTGAACAATGCAGCAAATTCAGATAGATTTCAACTATGACCTCTATTGGTAACGTGATTACAAAGGAACTATATTTTCATGGAGACAAAATTAAAGAAACTAAAAATGTCAATCCAGCAAAATACTGCTTACATGTGAGGCCACATTATTATTTTTAAAAACATCAACATTTCAAAATGCTGACGGTAATACATGATGAACCATAGACAGGTATATTCATACAGCAAACTGCAGTGCTGAATACATTATCTACACAACAATCTTCCAAGATGTATTGTAAAACTGAACTCTCAAATTCTTAACTCAAGCACCATAATGTAATGTACAACTACACTACACATATTTACAACATTTCAATTTCACATATTGTGGCCTGAATACACTACGAGCCAACTGCTGCCTCACCTGTTTTAGTGAATGTAAACCTCCAATGAATTGAGTTTCCTCAGTCCCTCACTGGTCACTCATTTTCTACTTGGAGAATGGAAAGACAGTCCTCCCGTAAAAATGTTCCCTGTTGAGGCGACCACAATGGGGTCGAGCTGGACACAGAGCTTCACTAGCCTGCCACCCCTCCTCACTCTCACTCTCTTGCTCTCCCTCTCTCCGTCTCTCTCCAAGGGAGGAGAGAGCGGCTTTCTATTAAAAACCCATCATCACAGTTGGGGGAAATCTAAAGGAATCACCAGTAACTGAAAGTGACAGCGAGCCATTGGCAAGCTGGCTAGGAATTAACACGCATGTGCACGCGCACACATGGACGGATGCAGTCAGGCGACACAAACACACACACACACACACACACACACACACACACACACACACACACAGAGTCACCGTCCAATCCCTAGCTCATTAGTCCTGCGTACCGGACCAATCCCCTCCGCAACAAACCTGGAACACAGTTCACTCACACACGCATTGATACAGTCTCACCTCACATTTACTGGATTACAAAGAGAGAGAGAAAGACAGACTAAGGACCATCATCCACACACAAGCCTTATACAGAGTGTGCTTCCACCCACTCTAACTGTTGCCTGTAAATAGTTTGTGGATACAGCAATCATATATAAATGTAATTCTTGTAACAATTTTCCTAGAATGTAACTGGATCAGTCACAAAAAAATACTAATACTGATAATAAAATTTCAAATTTTGGAAATATAAACAGCCTACCTTCACCCATACCCCTGACAAGCCCCTGAGCCCCTGAACAGTAGATCATCCACAGCCAGGTGTGTCAAAGGCAGAAAAATTATACCAGACAAGTTTCCAGTTGGTGCTGGAAATCTGTTTGAATACACCTTCGCATTTGTGTGTTTTGGAGTCAAAGGTTATGTATGTGTGTGAGTTAAATTCTGTTTAGGCTAGGGGTGTGGACTAAGCAGGTCTGCCAGGCTGAATGAAAAGGAGGGTGGAGCTGTGACAGGTGGAGAACATTTGACAAATAGCCTCTCATGATCGACATCATAGAACAAGGTTTTCTTCTCTGGGTCAGCTGCTGTATCTGTTAACATCTGTGCTGTTGTGAAGCACATCAGATAGAGGTGTGTCCTGTGTATGTCTTTTAAAAATAAAAGTAGGATCCTCTCTATCCCGTTAATCAATGCAAAACAATAGGGAACTTCCAACCGTTTACAATGTTGTGGCAGCACTTTAAATCAGCCACCTGGTGTGTTGCCATCGTTTCAATGAGTGCCTGAGCTGTAAACTCATCTTGAGCTCTCAGATGTGTTGGTGGTTAATTTTACGACCACCTAATTGCCTGTTTGTCGCCTGATTAACGCTGTAGCACAAATCATGCCATTAGTGAACATATAATACTCATGAGTGTTTTATTGCCGTCCTGCCATTAGGCAGCAGGTGGAGCATGAACTGATGAGACAATTGGATGTTTGGTGAACAAAGTGTTTAAATAAAATACATAGATTGTAAAAAGGTCCCAAATGAAGAATTGAATAGTTTACAGCTTAACTGATGTTGCTGTTTATGACTCAGCTGTAACCCGGAGCTGAGGCCATATTATACTGAAATCGTTCTTTCACTTAAACCTTTACTTAAGATAATGAGCTGACTCACATACTTGGTCCAAAACAAATATGCATCCCAACTATGTGTCTGCACCGTGTCTGGCTGTTTTACTGATTTATAAAAGTATGTTACAGGAAAAATATTTTGGGTAAATAAATAAACCTTTTTTAAAAGTTGAATTTGAAGTATATTCTCAAGCAAGTATACAGGAGAACAGCATTTTTTGGAGGTTTGGCTTTACTGTATCAAGAAGAAATGCCTCAGCTTGGTGACATTAATAAAAAGATTCAGCATATTCAGGAAAAAAACTAATTAATCTTTGAGAAAATAAAAATATTAATTATTTCTTACTGTAAATTAATTAAATGGAAATACTTTCTACTCTGAAGGTCATTTTTTGTACTGAAAAAAATGTAATAAAATAAATACAGAGTATCTTGGCGTGTAAAAGAAAATTGCTTCAGCTCAGGAATCAGATCGGTACTTGAACTTGTAATTTGCACTTTAAATTTGCAAACTTGTTGACTTAAGGGTGATACGGCTGCCTTCTGTAGATGTTGCTCCCTTGTCTGCAAAGCCATATCAGGTTATCTACGCAGTTCCATTTATTTTAAGAGGACTTTTTTCTCGTATTGGACCAACAACACACCACTTACTGTGAAACAGACACTGATTGCTTAGAACAACAACGATAAGCTGCATATACAGGTTCGGGTCACTGTTGTTTTGATATGTCGGCAACAGAGAGAGGCAAAATATTTCTATGAAAAGCCCAACATAATGATTTTAAGATCTTATCAGGAAAGTGCGAAGGCCTGTGGTGAAGCCTTGATGTGTTGTGTAATGAACTGATTTCGCTTTAGTCTGTACTTACTCTTTATCGGTCTTAGTGTCCCTCCCTCTGCTTGAGAGGCAGAGATTTCCCCAACTTGGCGGAGCAGCAGTGAGGACAGGCCATGGCAGGCAAAAAAACAAAAACAGAGCGAAACGGGAGGAAATGGAGTAGGTGACAGAAAAGAAGGAATATTTTAACAGTAATGTATATTAAATGGTTAATGAGGAGAAAAGGATTGTGTGATAGCAGAAGAAAAGGCTTGTCACAGAAATGAAGTAGAACATCAGTATAAAAGTCATTACCAAAGAGAAATATGTGTGTTTTATCTCTTGTTTTTCACTTTTTTTTTTGACAAATAAAGGTTACTTTGGGAAGTTTTCTTCATCTTCTCTGAGGTTGAAAAGTTACCAGTGCCTAACAGGCTGGGCTGAGCGATGTTGGGCTTAATTTGCTTCCAAGTTTGTCATTTATTTATTTAGTCGTGTAGTTGATCTTCATGCATTTTCAAGATTCATGGGAACCTTGGGCAGTTTTTACCACTTAAAAAACTCATCACACATTACACAGTTAAAATTTCCCTGTAACTAGAACAACGTGTACAGACAGCAGTATCCAGGGCAACAGGGCACTTAAGGAAATGGCTGAACACTAAACCAGTTCTCAGGGTAATCGTAGCCCAACATCATTAATTAATAATCTGTTATAGAGTCAGACTCAATTTATCTGTTGAGAGATTACATTGTACCCATAATGCAAGGGACTCTGCTTTCTAGGAATAATTTTACAATGATGTGTAAGCAAACCATTCATCAGAAAAAACGTGCATAAATGTGTTGCCTTTTTTTTTCAAGAACTCTGAACAGACGTCTAGTGCCACAAAAAGGTAGGAAATGAAGAGAAAGAAAACAAAAAATGAGAGGGTGTAGGAAGCAGGAGGAAAAAAGTTAGGGAGCACTCACTTCCTGATGAGGAAGATGGGCGTCGCTGGTTGGTGGAGGTGGAAGTGACATTATTCTGGGTGGTTGGCGTCTCTGGGGGCAAAGGAGGAGGTGGAGGGGGTGCTGGCATTGGGTTGCTTGGGGGAGGAGGGGGCGGAGGTGGTGGTGGGGGCGGGATTGATTCCTCCGTGGTGCCACTCTCAGAGCTGTGGGCGGGGCTGTTGGTAGGCTCCTCCAATAACACAGAGCCCTGGTGGGAGAAGAGGGGGAGGGACGTGACAGAATTCAATTAGCCTGTCATATTGTATACCCATTAACTTGTTGTGGTGACCCTGGTAGGATTTCTCCTAGCAACCACATTGTTGTATTGCTCTGTTGCCAATATTTGGTCACTGATAACAGGGATGAAACAGGTGGCCCATGTAGTGATGTTGTCCACTTCATTTTAAACACCACTTGAATGTTGGTGTTTAAAATCCCAAAGCTTTTTTTGCCTCTGGTAAATAGTGTGATTTCTGGATCCCACTTGCCAGAATTTATATTCTTAAAATATGTACAACAACAACAAAAATAAAAAAGGAATAAACATATTAAACATTTAACACATCTGCTTCTTCAAAATACATTTTTTTTTTTACTATCAAATAAAAACAATTGGCTTTTTCATTAAATTGAAAACAATTAATAAATCAACAGCGACAGTGAATTTGTTTTCCCTGCTTGCATTGGCATGCCAGTTGAAACTCCTGCTGGGCGGAGCAAGCATTGAATTCTTGTGCACAGGCCGTCGACAGTGACAGATGTCTGCAGCCTGAACAGAGGTGCCTTCCCTCTGCTTCCTGCCATCTTTAATCACCTCATAAAGACATAATACTCTATTGCGAATAACGGCGCTAACACGACCTAATCTCTTGGGGGAAACTCGGAGGGAAAACAGTGGGAAGAAGCCATCTGTCACTGCAAGTGATAGTGCTTTGACCCCCACACCCTGCACTCCCCCAGCACACACGCGTCTGACATGATCTGAAAGTGTGCCATAATTGACTGTGACATTTAACTCGACCCGCCCCTCCTTTATTCTTCAGACGCGTGCTCATCATTGTTGCCCCCTTTACTTTTCAGAACCCCCCTGAGAGTTGGAGGGTGGGGGGGTGGGGGGGGTTTCCCATGTCCAGATGGGTCTTTGCAGCACGTGCCATTGCTTCCGTTGATTAAGCGGTCCATCTGCTAGGGTGCCTCTGAGACCAGGAGGGGCCGCACTGAGACTTTAATTGGCTAAATGTGGATTATACCCCATATCACCCAGAAGACCCCCACCCCTGATACCCATGAAATTATAATCTCCTGGGACACTGATGAGAGTCTGACTCTCTTTATTCAGATGCCTGTGCAGGCATGTGGCAGCTAACAAGTGTTTTAACCAATAATCTTGGGGGAACACTTGGAGTCACAGAAATTTACCTTGATGAATATTTATAGGGCACATACAGAAGCAAATGTATTTTGCCTTGTAATCTAGCACTGACAAGAAAACAAACTGTTTTTTTATTGTTTTTTTTGTATAATAAGTAAATAATGTGTTGCTCATTATATCAACAGCAACCAGTGGCAGCTCAGACACACATCAACTCAAAAATGAGAAATGACAGTGTTCTTCTTACAACCTCCCCAGACTGAGCAACTGAAATGCCAATATCAAGCATTGAACCTAAATTAAAGATTAAACATTTCAGACAAAATGCATATTTTATTTATTCTGGATGATGAGCAGTACTCTATTTTGAAAATGTTTACAATTCAGAAAAATCTAAATAACAAGGTGCAACACATTTTACGTGTGAGCTTTTATTGCCAAAAGAAATCACAGCATTTGTGCTGATCGATTACTTTGAGAAAATGTGACTGTGGTGTAATACCTAAATGTCAGGCTTAAATTAACCTTTTACATCTTTATCCTTATTTGTTTACTGTGCTCTCACAGATTTGTTTGTAGCTTAACCTCCCCCCTCTCCCGATTTTAAAAAGAAAATAAAAAGCATTAATTAATACAATAAGAAACAAATCACCAGCTGTCACTAACATATGCTAATATATACAACATATCCTTGGCCATTGAAAAATACAAGATTTTAAGGGTATTCTCATCTGGTCATTGGTGACTTCCTGCTATGTGCTGTGTTATCTGGGACTGTCCTGAGTTTGTTCCATTGTTAGTTTACACAACAGGGTGGAGACTCAAGAGGCAATGGAAATTAGGGGGCAGTTTGCATCAGCTGACAAACAAAAGCTCAAGAGGACACAAGATTATGCAACATGCTGAGTGGCATAATGCACAGGCAAATGATGCAGGCAGTGTGGTAACCTAACGCCAACATGCCATCACCCAGCCAAACCTTATCCTGAAAAAGACCTTATAAGGAGCTGAGATGCTGAGATGCGCACAGTCCATCAAGGGCACCATATATTAAGCCTTTACAAACCATATCCCAGTATTCGTTGGAATTACAGCCCATATACTATTGTTTTGCAAACACTTTGCAGTGCATGCGTCGTTACATATCAATATATGTTAAAATGTAGTCATTTAAAACCCCAAATAATCCTGTTATCAGTACTTCTCTGAAATCAGCAGCTGATGATTTTTTAATACATTTTCTGAAACATAAGACAAGGACAAGACAGCAAAGGACTCATATTGGACATTAGACATGCACAAGCATATGTATCCATATACTTTATATAATGAACCAGATTCTGTGTGATGCTGCCACTGAACACATTAATGTTGCAATAAACAGCAGAGACCTTCACGTCTTACCTCCTCATTGGGCGCCATGACTTTGCTCCCGCGGGGCTCGGCCGAGTCACTGCCGAGGGTCTTATAGTAGTCCCCAGTGCTGGGCTGCTTGCTGAAGCTCCTTGACCTTCTGTTTGAATCCACGCGCCGCAATGTCTCGTGGTTTTCTCCAGTAGTGAGCTGCTTAAGAAATAAATCAGAGAAATATAATTACCTGTAAAAGGCTTTGGTTCCACCTAATGATTTTCCACCATAATGATGATTTACAGCAATCACTTGTCTTATGTGATAGTAACCTGAATTGAGTCAAAGAAAGTGAAAGTGATAAATTACGCTTCTTAAACAAAAGTTGCCGACATATGTATTTGGCTGACAAAGTAACAGAATCATGGTGCTTTATAAAATACTCAGTGGGAAACGGATTTATGTGGATAAACGGTGCTTTCGGAGTGAGCTTGTCGTGTGTGGCACACCACACTGTAAAATGTACAGGAGGTGTGCGACCAGATTAGCTCTCCCGTGTGACCAAAGCCGCTTTGTTTGAATAACAGAACAAGGCTTTAATTCAGTTCAAGTAAAACATAAGCATGTTTCATGTAAAGACCACAGGGCCACAGAAGGTAAGAACTCACATGCAGCTTTGAGTCCAGTGTAAGAATATCTTTCTGTCCACAGAGCAGGGTCAGAGGTCACTAACTTGGCCTTTTTAGTTGAGCACTCTCTCCTTCTGCTTTGACATCTATCTTTACCTGAAGCTGTCAAGGCAGGATTTCGAATTCATGTCATTTAGAAAGTCTTTGCTGTATGCTGCTGTTAGAATGTGGCCTATGTGGGTCAGACTGTACATAATTCAGAGTAAACGGACATTAGCGGGAATTAAGCTCACCCTGCATTTTGACCAGCCATTGTGACTAACATGCTTTTTCTGGTCAATCTGTGACCACATTTCCCTTATGCAAAAAGCCGTGCATTTGCATTTAGTACTCTTCTAAATAAACCTTGTGTTAAATCCTTTACTTGGAATTACTTTTTTCCAACAATGCATTTCACAAAAATGGTGTGTAAATGTGAAAACGTAAATCTCTTTTTACAGTATATTTCCAGAAATTAAGCTTCAAAGACGTCAACACGCCTCAGTCATCACAGCGAAATGCGACGTTACTTTGCCTGTCAAATCAGACTTGAATTGATTTACATTTCATTGCTTACCGTGGCCATGACTTCTCACGAAAGCCAAAGCCTCAGACGTCAAGCAGATGTCTGACGCTAATGTAAGCTGAAATAATTGACCCCTGACCTCTCCTCCTTTGTGGTGTCATGTTCTGAGCTCTTACAAGCCTGTTTCATTTTGTTGACTCATGTCTGCTGTCAAAGAAATGGTCCCTGAGCACTCATCAGGTCGGAGGGTAATGTGAGCAGGGGAGCGCTACAGATGGTTTGATTGTCATCCTCCAGGGAGGTGGGCCAACAATAGCAAATGTACAAAGCGTTTTAGCGGCACACCATCCCCTAACAGACGTATACACACACACACACACACACACACAGACAGCCTTTCTTCCTATTATATGGATGTGTCTGTCAGCATAAAGTCATTGTGATATATTTGTTCTTACAGTCTAATATTTTTGGATGCATTATGGAAGGCTGTTTAGCCTGCTGGCTGTTTCACATTGTTCAGTTTCATTTTCATGTGGTTTTGCAGACCCCAGATTACAAAAGGCCATATACTGGTAAACTGTGTGTGTCATTTAAAATGAGTAAAAACTTACACGCATGCTTTACAACAACCAATTAAAAAAGAAAACCAGAGGAAAGTCAACTGTTAAAACATGATGATGTTACACATTCAGTGTCCAACCATACAGCAGCTCAAACGCCTCCAGGAGCTGGAGATTAGCCAAACTAAACAAAGCACCTTGTAAAATGTTTCATCTGTACCCTGCGTCTTTGACATGACATCACTTTTGCCACTGCTAAAAACGAAGCTTTCTTATTCCTCTTAACACCTTACCTTAGCGTTAAAAATCCTCTCCTGCAGCACTCCTCCGGTCTGGACAGAGCCTTATCCACAAAGCTCAGCAAAGCACAGAGAGTAGCTGTCACCAGATCCACAGCGTTACCACCACTCTGCTCAGTGCTACACCTGTCACTCTACCTGCCCTCTCATTTTACCCACAGGCCTCATCAATAACCTATCAGGTCGTCCACAGCAGTGACAATGATGTCACCGCCAGCCCACAGACCAACCACTCCCCAACCCTGCCTCTTATGTAAAACACAAAGTCCCCGGTGCTGGCCTGCTCACCACGGTCGGCTGCACTCAGATCTCTCAAGATTTAGGATTATTAGAATATTCAAGCATTAAGTGCCTCAAATTAGCAGCAAGAATGGTGAACTTGGACTCCTAATCGTAGTGCAAGGGACTACAGTCGGTCTAAAAAGTAAAAAATGTTTAGCAAAGCAGTCATTTGCTTTGGCTGCGTCACATGACATTTGACTTCAGTCAAGGCAAATAGACAATTCAAGTGAGAATGAATAAGAGTAGGATTGTAAATTTTCTACACACAAAGCTTAATGTGTACAGGTTGAGATTGGTCCATGTGATTAGGTTACTGTTCCCTGTTACTATGTTGACCAAGGTAGATTGTTTTTCCCAATGTATATGATGCACACTGATCTTAATTGTGCGAGTTTGTGTGTGTGTGTGTGTGTGTGTGTGTGCACATGTGTACATGGGTTCCTTTTTGTTAAATTGTTAATGAGAGTGTGCCCGGGGCTGGTCACCTGGGTATAGAGAGGGGAGGGGGCAGCACTAATTAAAAACTCTCCCCCTCATGGCTGCTGGCGCATGTGTATATGCACAAAGACGAAGAGCTCAGCCTGGAGACACGACAGTACCTGTGGACTTTATAACAGCTAAGAGAAATTGACTATTGCATAACTGAACTATACATTCAGCCTCTGTCTTTCTGTCTGAACATTTGATTTTTCCTGTAAATCAGCTGATTCTGTCACTCCCGAACTTTCTACTATACTTCTGCTTTTAGATAAAATGGTAACCTTTAACTAGTCTGATTTAGACTAGTGTGATTTCACAGTTATTATGCAAATACTATACTATGCTGACACAAATTGTTTAGCAAAAATATATCTTTCACATCTCATCGCTTCTGTATCTCCTGTGGTGCTTGGTTGAAGCTAAAGCAATGACTGGAGAGACTCTTGCTATCATCGTACTGGAAGACGATCAGGATAAAACCACTGCATGAGGGGAAAGTGATTCCTTAGATTGGTCATCTGTCATATTCTCCCTGAACAACTGAACAACAATTCAATCAGAATTACAACTTCACAACCAGTTTTATTGTGCTTTACAGCAGCACTCAACCCTCAGAAGCAGCACTGAAACTATTGTTGTCAGTTTTAATTGCTCCTCCTTGTCAGCTCTTTACACACACTTCTGTGTGATCTGAGGCCAGATTAATTAGTGAAATTAAGATCAAACCCATCACAACAACCATTGTGTGTGCCAACCTAGAGGCCTGTCACATTAATGAGCATCTTTGTTAGCCTTGTTAGCCATGCTAACACAATAACATCATTGTGGGTATCCAGACAAGGCACATTGTTACACAAGAGCAACAGGCCAACTGATTAGACACAAGGGAAAATGGCCAATTTATCCCAAACATCCCACTCCTTCTGCTTGTTTAGGATTGTTCTATATCACTCAGGACAGAATTTAGGATATCTACAGTTATAGTAAACTAATGTATGCATATTTCACAATTACCTATAGCTATAGTGTACATCACCCCCTATAAGAAGGACTAGAAGTGACTACATTCTGTTTGCTCACTCTTTATACTACAAATAAGTCAGATGAGAGTCTGCTTAGTATTTCAGCGCAGTGCAACTGTTTGATGGACGTGCACCATCAATGACCACAAATCTCTTGAGCTCATGTGGGAGCTCATCACCACTGCCCTTACCCCCTTCTTGCAGGTGTTGCTTCCCACGTGCCGCAAGTTGCTTTTCACCTTCAGGAACTCGGCTGACGACGGCTCCTGAGGGGGCTGCGGTGCTGGGTAGGTCGGGGGTGGAGGGGGTGCCGGAGGAGACTGTGGGGGAGGTGGGGGTGGGTAGGTCGGTGGCGGCGGCGGGGGCTTGGAGGTGGCATCAGCCGGTGTGTCATTCTTCTTGGGCGTGTCAGAGCCAATGTCTGGGTTTAGCATGTCCATGTAGGCCTGCATGTCTGAAATGGCCGACTCTGATGCACCTGTCACAAAGACACGGTCCGTGTAGGCATGTTAAATGTAGACGTGACTGTCTGAGTTTCTTACAGGAACCCAAACATGGTGAACTGCTGATTTCGAATTAATAAGACTAAGCTTTAAGTAATTCTTTCAACACTTACTCCATTCCATTCTCTTAATACACCGTTCAAACATGAATGAGAAACATGAGCTACTCTACACCACTAGGGTGCAGCACCACTATATTATGCACCTGTGACCTGGAACAGCAAGAAGCAAACTGGTGCATGTTGTTGGCTCTACCTCAGTAAATAGTTGAGGTTTTCATCATTTCTAAAATGCAATATTTGGCTTGTAAAAGAAACAGCAGGATCGAGGATTTATGGCTAAATGATTGAAAACGGCAACGTTTCAGACCTGTGTGTGCAACTGTGTTCAGCTGAGCAGGCGGGCCTCGAGACGTTGTTAAGCTGCTCCTCTTCTCCCCGGTGCTGGACTGGCTGGAGGTGGCTGAGTCGTAGTTGGACAGGGAGCTGGATGGTGAACTGATGTCAAAGTGTGCCACCTGGCTAGCAGGGGGCATGGTGGTGTTTGGGGACGAGAGGCCCGAGTCCGGCTGCTTGTACTCGAGGTCCGTTGAGGGGTCCCGGGACAAAACACGGTGCTCAACACTCTGTCAGAGGATGCAGCTCATGAATACAAGCATTATTATATCTGTTTTTTGAAACATCCAACATGTGGAAATGATTTCCACAGTAGCAAAAACAACAAAACCATTATTCTATTTATTCTTAAATAACCGCTCATTCTAAAATCATGTCTGATTCTTTAAATTTAGATGCGAGGAAACAGCGTCATTATACAAGATGCAAAAATGACTTATCATTAATATCATCTTTTTCATTCATAATTTCCCATTCCACTACCTCTCAGCCCCTAATGAGTTACACGAGGAGAACAGCATTATGAGTTTAATTACTGCACACTAATGAAACATCTCACAGCTGATCAGAAAGCCTCTGGGGCCCTCTGCTTTTCCCACAGTGCAATCCCTCTTGGGAAGAATATGAGGGGGAGGTGTGTGTTTCCCGTACACCAGAGAAGAGTTGAGTGTGAAGGAGTTATTATTCCTCTAACCACTTGGGGATTTCAGTGGGTTGAAGCTATGGAGGCCACTGTACGTCAAGTGTTAATAGCTCTAGTAATTAGCTGAGAGAAACTGATGTCAGTCAAGGGACATGTTGGCTCAGTGACAACTACTTTTTTGCTGTATTGTGCACAGTCTTGTGTTTTTCAAGGTTGTACTTTTGTTCTCGGGCACAAACCAAGTTAGGATTCAAATGATGAATTATTAGAATATTTACATTTTTGATGTATATTATGCAGAATATGGACTACAGTTTGCATAGCAGATGCGGTAAACAGTAATTTCATCCAGAATAGGATGAAGTGGAGGCTGGGGTTGTGCTATTTGTGCTACTGATTCAACACACAAGGCAACACTTCACATGCCGTACTTGGTGAATGTTCTCTGTCTAGAACAAATACTGTATGTTCACTTGTTTTGACGAGTGAGAGTTAAGATCCCTCGGGACCAATTAGTATTAGAAAATGCAAAACACACCAGTAAGACATACAGTATGTCCCCACGTTTGGTGAGAACTAAAAGAAGTGGTTACCAGTCTTCTCGGCTTGTGACCTCTTCAAATGTGGCAGTCTACTAACGACTCTGTCATAGGTTATACCTTTACTATGAATTATGATCAGTTCAGCCCAGAACTGATTTTTTTCCCTTCTCAACGTGTCTCATTTGGGGAATTTTTAAAGCTCTGAAAAAGGTCAAATGTCAAAATTTGACAAAAAGTAAAGATTTTAGAAAAATTGTAAAGACTAAGCATAGTTTGTGTTTTTCTTAACTCTTTAACCATATGATCCCTCAGATTTGTCTTGGTTCCCCACTAGGGTTCCCAACCCTGAGCTGGGAACTACTGACCTAAAGGGTTACGGGTCAGTGGAATTTTTAATTAACAAGTAGCACATAATTCAGTGAAGTTTTAGGAAATCAGGAGTGAAAGATATTGTTTATGATTCAGAGATAATTAAATGTTATTGTTGATACTATTAGATTTAAAATTCCCTGAGAAACCTCCCAGTGATTTGATTAAAATCCTGCTAAAATCACAGATTTCTGTTTTGAAATGTGTATTGAGGCTAAATATCCAACTGTCCTAACTGTACAACTTACTTTCTTGAGTAGATAGAATAAACTTTGGATGTTTGTGTAGACAAAATGCTGATAACCCCCCCCCCCTCTGATTGAGCCTGTCCTCAGGCAGGTCAGAGGTCAGGATGCAGTAACTATATGCTGAGCATGGCTGTGTCTCTCACCATGTTCTCCACTGTGCGCAGATACTTGGCGCACTGGGAGTGGCCGTTGTATTCAGCCAGGTCTGCTGCTGTGAAGCCGTCCTGGTCCCTGATGCCCAAGTCCACACCATTGACCACAAGGATCTGACAGCACTGAAGAGTGATGTGACAGAGGAGACAGAAAGTCACTGCTCTGCTTCAGTTAGGATGGAAATAAATTGAATCTACACAAAACACCTGCAGATAATTACCTCTGTGGAAACTTTGTAAAAAAAAGTTGAAAGCATTGACTGGATAACTCAAATGTAGACCTTTTGTTGTTGGCAGGAATGTCCCTGGTCTAGCTTTTGGCAGTTTACACTGTCCATGGCAGTAAATATCAACCCTGCACATAGTCTGTGTCCTGCAATAATGATGACATGTCCAGCAAAGACACCGCACCCAACTTGAGGAATAATTAACTGTAGAGGAATACAGCTGTAAAATATCACCATTATCACTTTATTACAGTATAAAACGTATTTATATTTAAATTCTGATGATATATTTCTACTAATAATACCATCATTTTAAACTTAAAAATATTCCTTGCTAAATAATTGCACCCAGGGACGTTCTGGTTATAAAGTATGAGCATTAACCACGACATTTGAATGAGTCATCTCAACCTGATTCTTCACTGACCATCTCATTCACAGTCTTGCTCATAAATGACTGTAATAGGTAACAGCTAACTAAATATCCCTCCTAAAAGCAGATTGAGAATTTTGTTTGTTTGTTACGCTTTACTTCCATGGCTTATAAATTGTGGGTGAAACTTTCACCTTTTGTAACACAGAGTGTAGGTATTTGTAATCAGAAGGAACTTGGAAATAGTTAAAAGCATCTGTTTTGAAACCCCTCTGCAAAGTGCCAGGTGGAAGCCAGACTAAGCCTGTTGTTCTCACACTGAGCAACCTTTGTGTTTCCATATTGACTTGTGTTTCAATTAGCTTCTTAAAAATGTCCTCTCCAGTCCAAAACCTGGGCCAGCACCTTGTAAGTCAAGGTTTGGGTCAGTTTCCTTTGAGTTCAATTTTGTACTGCTTATGCAATGCAAAAATTATGTTTCTTTTACATTTAATACATTAAGCTTGTGATGAAACAGCTCGCTGACCAAATGTTGATACAACAAAGCCCTATTCAAAGTATTGGTCTGGAGTGGCAACACAACCACAAGCTAGAGGCCTTCCATTCAAAACATATGGTTAACCCTTGTGTGATGTTCATATTTTTGTTACTCAGCCAGTGTTGGCAGGTCTGGTGGACCCGCTGCATTTGTTGGGGTTTAATTCAACACAATCAAACAATTTTCTGTTAAAATACTTAACAGATGTTTACTTCATCCCAATTACAAGCAATATACAGTAAACAGCATATACTTGTATGGTTAATATAAAATGTGTAGGGGGGTGTACAATGTGTGGTCATTGAAAATGTGTTCTGATAAATATTCTTCACAGAAAATGAGCCAAGGCCAATGAGTCTGGGTTTGAAAAAATACTTAATCATATAATATTTCTTTTGATAAAAAATGAAAACGGGTCCCACAGACCCGAACACCACACAAGGGTTAAGTGTGAAACCCAGTATAGATATCTCAGAACCAAGAATCATATTGCTCCCACATAACTTACATGTATTCATAAATTAGTTAATTAGTAGTTTTTAAACTATGTCATTTTTGCCGTTGTTCGTGTTACCATTAAAATGTACAAACTGTATCAAACACCGGATGTCTCTGTAGAAAGCCTTGACATTCCAACATTAACTTGCTGCTATTATATTATTAAATTTCTACTTTTATTGTTACTGTTAATGTTCATTATTTAAGTTTTAAGGAATTGTTAAACTAATGAAAAAGCTAAAGAGATGAGATCTATACGGGATTCAAAGACCGGTTTAACTAAAAAACTAGCACCTTATAGTCACTTTATGATTTATCACACAGCACTTTCTCTGATGACATTTTTCAATGTCATCAGAGAAAGGAGCACACACACACACACACACACACACACACACACACACACACACACACACACACACACACACACACACACACACACAAACACACACCTCCAGTTCACCGTTCTCTGCCGCATCGTGAAGTGGGGTCCCTCCCCAGTTGTCAGTGACGATCTCTCCGCCGTGCAGCAGCAGCCAGCTGAGCACCTTAGCGTGGCCGCGGCTAGCTGCGAAGTGCATGGCCGTGGCCCCGTCACTATCCTTGTCCGTCAGGCCGATCTCTGTGAAACTCATCTAACAGACGGAGAATAATGACGCAAGTTAGTCGTGTTCAACAACAGTAGGAATTCTGCCCAATTTTAAATAAATGATGAATCAGTTCAGTTTTATACGTCAGTAGTTCTTCATAAAATTTAAATTAAGAGTTAAATCATGATGAAGCAACGTTGTTCTGGTGTTAATGAGAAGTCATTTTGGAAACAAAATACTTACTAGACTAGAACCAAGTATCCATTACATATCATTACATAACATCAATTACAATAACATTTTATGGATTCAATCAAATTACCCAACATTCATTTCCCTGATCATTGACATCCGTGAGTTCATTTACATTTTATCAGATTTAGTTAAAAAAAAAAAGAATAAAAACACATTAAGTATATTGAGTACGTACCCTCTCCTTAGAATAAATCAGTGCACTCTGTATTTGTTTACAATGGTGTCCTGACATCGCAACATACCAGCCAGACGATGACGGTGTTGTGGCCCATCTGGGCAGCAGCATGCAGTGGTGTCATCCCGTCATTGGCTCTGATGCTCGGATCCGCTCCGCAATCCTTGACCAGGTATTGGACGACCTCAAGATGGCCCTCCTGGCAGGCCAGGTAGAGCGGTGTGGCACCATTCTTAGTTTGGGAGTTGACAACGCTGCATGAAATGAAATGGGATGGTCAATAAAAAGACTTCTGTGATGTTGTTTGTGGCAGCCTATCTTCTCTTTGTCACTTACACCTGCAGTAACTGATTGGGCACAAACAGTACCTGTAGTAGCACAACAGCATACTCTGCATCAGATAAACCAGATTGGTGACATCCTATCTAAGAACTACTGACATCCAGAGATGGATAGTTACAATTGTGACTCTACAGTTTAATTGTGTGATGGTATCTTGGTACAAACAGGACTGACTGATGAAGGTGTAACTAATTCCATGTCCAGGCCCACAGGTGCAGTAGAACGTAAAACCTTTTGTTGAATATCTAAAACGACTTTTAACATTGAAGCAAATGAAGTGGTGAAAGTTTATAGTTAACAGTGTGTGCATCCAGTGTATGTACAGTATTTCTTTTTAACACAATGAAAACATGGATTGCTCGCAGCTACTGTATATTTTTTCTCAGGCCAAATGAACCAAGAAGGAAACCTGGGTTTCAAATGACAATGCAACATTTAAATTGAATGCAAAACCATTCCACAGTCTGACAAAAGAAACAAAACACCATTTTACTCCTGGTGTTGAGTCTACAAACAGTCATATTCACAAACTTTCCCATTATGTAACTTATACAGTTTGTTCTTATAATAAAGACTGAGCATTTTATTCTTAAATAGAACATTTTCATGCTTCAGTTCTTGATAGTAAAACTCTGTTGAGACCCAAACTGGAAAAAATATTTGCAGTTGGAAGGTTAAGGCAAGATTTAACAGATATCATAATCATAATCAACCAATACACAATTTACCATCAAATTATTGTTTATACACGTTTAGCTGTTCAACAGCAGAAACAGATATAGACTGTTTTACTCTGCACAGCTGGACTGTCTGTTTGGCATGAGTGAGTGCCACTCCTTACCAGCTGACGGCTATAATAGACACTTAGTTGTTGGCCAACTACAAGAGTACCTAGAAGAAATCCTGCCGTACAGAGTGGATAGAGGGGATGTAAAGTTTTATTTATTTATTTTTTACAAGCTACTGTGTTTTCACATTTATCTGAAAGTGTAGATGAAGAATGGAGGCGACAGGCTACTGTGACAGGAAAACACGCCTTCGCCAGTGTCAACATGCAACTATTTTGAGAGCAGACAGCGGTGATGCTGAGCCAAATCCTGCTCCCCATTATTTCCAAAGGCCCCTTAGTCCCGCCTCTAATGCAAACGCTCATCCAATGCCTGCTTTCCTCCTTGGCCCAGATCTTTTCAGTCACAGCGGGAGGTCAGGGAGTGAATGAGCGCTTCCCCACTAAGTCCAATAAGGTCGTGCTTTATTTGGACACTGACAAATGAGCAATGAGTCTCCTAAGAGGATTAGCACTCCACTAGCTTTGCCCGACTTGCTGTGTGCTTAACGAGGGTTTGCCAGGGCCCAGAACAGTGTGAGTAAGTGAAGAGGAGGAGTGGAGAAGGTGAGGAAAATGAGAGGCATGGCTTAAGTGGACGGGTGGATCCTGTAGACACAAACATGATCCTACCAAGCTTTCCCTCTGAGGGATGTGGCTCAAGCCAACACTACTGACAAAGGACCCTGCATTAAAACTACATGTGGATAATGATTTGTTCTTGTCCAAATCTAACATGCAGGTCTGCATCTGCTTATGATCAATGCGGTTTTATCCTGAACTAGAAATGGATAGGAAATCTTCTATGGAAAGTCCAGTGTACCAAATAAATTGAAGGGAAGAGTTACAAGTAAAAACAAACACATCTTAAATAAGAAGGGGAAGTAACCTGCAGTTCTGTCATCAGGAAGTGGGCATACAGGTAAATTATTCATGACTGTAACCAAAGTGGGCTGAAGTTTCACCTGTGCACTGGGGTCCGTGTAGGAGAGCTTACATTTGTCATTAATCCTAACCACAAACTCTGAGAGACACAAAGTTGAGAGTATCTGAGGGAGACGGAAACCATTGGAACCAAACACACACGGCTTCACTGCTTCGACGCAAAGAGTCTTGAACACTCTCTCCACTAAAGAGGTGCTTTTGGAGAACAGGTGTAGATTTCAAAGAGCTAAGAAAGAGGTTACCCTTGTGTGACAACACAGCTAGCAAGTGGCACAAGGGGTGCTGCCTTGTCAGTCAAAGGAAAAAAAAAACAGACTGTGAAGTAGCAGACATTTGATATATTTCCAGTTCAGCGCCGATAAGTAATTTACCTCAGTAATTGCCTGTACACTGTCCCCTCCCTTCCCCCCATGTACATGACAACAAAGACCGAGGTTATCTTCATTACTGACAAAGTAACTGATGTCACACTAATGGTCTTCTTACCTGATAAAGGCTTCTTACCTTCTCAATAGCTTTTCCTGTCTAAATAATGAAAAGTTTGAGGGAAAATGTTCATGTCTTGTTTAGAAATGTGACCTCAGTGTCTTGTGTATGATATCTTTTACATATTCCAACATGGATATTTATAGATTTCATAATACACACAGGTCTTGTCTGTGTTTTCTTCTGATGTTTTGTGTGGTCCTAAATGAGTAGAACACTTTTAGCTTCAGGTTATTTCTCAGTGAAGCTACACAGAATCAAAACTTGAGTGAATCGCACATCATCGACAAAATGCTCTTACAAAGCCTACAGTTGTAATACTGTGGGCCTTTTTCCCAAAAGCATCTGAAAATGGCATGTTAAACCTCCTGTTGTTAAGGAGAACAGAAAGAGGTTTTTTGTATCAAACTTGTAGCAAGAAGTTGAGACGCTTAAAGCTGAAGAAAATATGTGCAACTTGGCAAAAAAAGGCTGGATGAAAAACTCTTCTCCTACTCTATTTAGCCCTTTCTCTCTGTGCATCTAAGCCTTATGGTGAACAACTTAAGAACTTATTCCAGTAAGTCAAAGCCAGAGAGAGCACTAGTTGAGCATCTTAGTGGACTGCTACACAAAATAAGCATCAGTCCCACTTATCCACTTCAAACTCTGTCGTAATCGTAATAACATGAATGACTTTCAGAGATGAAGCAGAGAGAGCACGCCTATCCTGAGAAAATACTCCTGGTGTTTAACAGCCATCTTGATCACTTTCATTTGTCATCTTCAGTTCATCCATGCTGTCATTACCTCTCTGTGTTTTCTCCTTTGTGCTAACACCGGAGCTTTGCCTTCGATGCAGGGTGAACTCCTGCTTCACGTTCAAACTAAATCGTGATTTTGAGGGTGAGGAGATGAATATTTGTTATTATTTTATGTTTGGACTGATTGAACAATTTGAGTTACACATATTCAGCAACTGTTCTATAAACAATGGAAGTGCAAGAGAGGACTAATTAGCTGAAACTGATGAAGTCTTCCCCTGTGAGTCCACCTTGTGTGTTCAGGCAGATAACTTTCTAGAATATCCTAATGCAGAGTTCTAGCCTTGTTGGAATTATGGCTTGGACAAAGATTTTAATCTGCACTAATTGACTGATTAACCTGTCTGTAGTCCCACCCCCCCTCCCTCTCCCTCTCCCTCTCCCTCTCCCTCTCCCTCTCTTGTGTTCTTTTCCTCTCTCTCTCTGTCATTCATTCAGTCTTTTGTGTACCGAGGCTATCAGCAGCGACACAGCACATGAGCCTGTTGGTTTTGGGTCACTGGGATGAACGTGCGAACAACCATCCAATTCAGATGTGGCCTATAAATCTAACAAACACTAAAATATCACGACACACAGCCACATCTGTGTTCCCTCGATCTTGAAACAAAAAGACAGGGATTGCATAATGAGTAGAAGATTGCAGGCAGTTAAATGCTGCAGCAGTTTCATGATAAGGCGGCTCCACTGAGATGCCTGTCTGCAGTTCACACAGGACTTTTGTCTGCATTCAAAAGAAAACGCATTACTTGTGTCACATTTGTAACCCTTTCAATCGAAATACAATAAAAATACAATTTTAAATGCAGTCATCTCAGTGGGGGTTGCAGCCCTGGTCTTTCATCACATTTTGTACAGATGATGAATAGATATGGTAATTGTATTTTCATTAGTGAATTTTAGCTGTAGTTGTTTTAGTTGCTCTAAATGCTGTGTTGAACATAAAATTGAGGTTGTGCGGAGGTTTTTCAGTGTTAGGGTTAACGGTGTCAAATATAACTAGCAACAAAGGACTTGAAATGTAGTAGGTTTGTATGATTACTGTTTACTAACTATACTATTACCTCTTTGCAGCAACACTCTCATTATGTAGCGCCATCATTAGGCCACCAGTTACTAAAATGATGCTGTAACAGGGGGTCATGTTATCCTTGTGATTTTTCAAGTAGAGCAAACTCCATCCAATTACCTCTTAAAAGTCGCTGATAGAAATTTGTGGCTCGAAATAAACCGTGAAACAAGAATGCTATCTCACTGCTGCAAAGTTCCTTTCTAAACAAAGCTCGAGAGAAGTGACTAGAAAGCAGTCCGTCTATTCAAACGTTTTTGTTTTCCTCATTATCTTATCACTGGTTGGCGCTACTGTGTGTCGCCATGGAGATGGTGGTAAACAGCAACAGAGGGAGGGGTGGTGGAGAAGAGTGAATGGGAGCCAGCTATCAGGGAGCTACCATGTCCCTGAGACTCATTAAATTTTCAGCAACTATGCACCTGTCTGGGGTGCAACCACACAATATTGGACCTAGTGCCTGGACAAACTGCTCAAGTCACCGAGGTCAGCGAAGTCCGAACAGTTCAACACACAAGGCTGTTTAGCTTAAAGACTATAAGCTGTAAATGAATGACATTTCTATTTCTTGAGCAGGACACTGAACCCTACCTGTTCATTTACCATGTGTTTAAATAACATGGAGCATTTCACGAACAGCTAACACCTTCTGTCACAGTGGTTGAATTAGTACACATATACATATGTATACATATACGTATATGGTGCTGAGAGGGTTGTTGACCACAAATATCTGGCTAATTGTCAACTAATTAGCTCACTCACCTACCACACTTGTCAATGCCAAACACAAACCCGTGTGAATTTTTTTTTTTACAGAATGTATTCACGGTGATCTGATGATGATAATACACTATACATCAAAACTGCAGTTCACTTTGGTAGTGCAGCACATTTTCTCATATCACAGCTGGTGGCTCAGTGTGGCTGATGTGTAACAAATAACTAATCTGACTGAGGAGATTTTTCAGTTCAGTTTTTCTTTGAACCATACAGTTATACTAACTTCGAGGCACTTGGTCAAAGCCGTCTAACAACCATTTAATACTGGAGGCTGCCAAATCTGCACCTACATTGCTGCATCTCATGATGGTGTTTGTTGCAGAAGAAACCTACTGAGCTGACTGAAATGAGAGTGTGGTGACCCTAACACACACACACACACACACACACACACACACACACACACACACACTTTTTAGCAAATATTACCTGCAAATGACCTGACTGCTGCATATAATAAGTTTGTGGTGTGAGTTTATCCTGTGTGATCAGAGCTGCTTCCCAGAACAACAAAGACAACTCAGACCTCACCCGTGTCCATGGCGATCATATGGTCCATATGGGCGGGTGTTATCTCTGTAGTGCATGGGTGGGTCTGATACTGCACACTGCACTGATTAAGGATGATATTCATCAAGGGGTAATCACACACAAACACACACATATAAAACCACTATTAACATGCTGCATACATTAACCTATTGACACTCATTAATCTGTAATATTTGTTGGTCACAGGTTCTGAAATGTGAGAATTTGCTGGTTTTTTTTGGCCTTGCATTCTAGTACAGTTAACTGAACATTTTTGGGTTTTGGACCGTTTGGTTGACAAAACAAGACGATTAATAGTATTAGTTCTCTCGCATTATTGGGACAGTTAAACCACTGAGAGGCTGTTTTTTTTTTTCTAAATGGGATTTGAGCACAAAGTATTTTGACTGTTCCACAGGTATCACAAATCAAAGTTCAGGTTCAGGAACAAATACTTCCTACAGTATGAGCCAGAAGCTGATCCCCTGACTAAAACTCCGGCTGTTTCTGTATCTGAATTACTTGGTAAGCATCCGAAAAGAAATGAGAGTTGACTTATCAATGTGAGACTGCTACAGTGCCAACAGTCTGGAATCTGAATCTGAACTGTGGATCCAGTGCAACCTGTTCCAGTCGCAAACAGCGGGCAAAGACTAGGACACTAAAAAGAATTAAAATCGTCAAAGGCTTTTGAAATCAAATCTGTACAGCTGGCTTCAAGGCTGAAGGCAGTGTTGAAGGGGACCAGATCAAAGAGAGAGAGAGAGAGAAAAAGAAATGGTGGATGAGAGTGACGGATCTGGCATGAAAGTTGAGCTTTAAATCCAACTCTTGTAATGTACTTTCATATTGATTTGGGCTGTTGATCCTAATTTTGTCACGTCTGTTAAATGGTTTAAGATGACTTCAGATTTTCATTTCAATATTGGAATTTCGGAACCATAGAGGATGGGAATAACAAAAAGATGATACAAGAAAATAAGTTCTCAAGACAGATTTTTAGCACGGATCAGTTATAGGGATGCTCATCACCATGAAGTGACAAAACCATTGTATCCTGTGTATCACTAAATATCATGTCATTTTCCACATTTTTAAGTAAAACAGCAATTTGTATTGAATACTGTGTTTACACACAATGAAGCCCAGTCTGCTTTTAGAGGTGGTGTTAAGATCAACTAAAATTTATGATACCAATTCAAATCACTTTTAGTCAACAGCAAGAAGAAACCAACAGCTTGTACAGCTTACAGCACAGTGAACGGAGGCCTGCAGACCCCTTTAAAGACAAAACCATGTTGCTCTTACTTCGGGCTGTGCCCCAGTAACAGTCGGAGAGATGGCAGGTCTCCCTTGGCAGCTGCATAGTGAACAGGTAGGGCACCTGTGTCGGTGGAGGCCCCAGGGTCCACCTCACCGCTCTTTAGCAGCCAATCAGTGATCTCATAGTGACTGAAGCGGGATGCAAGATGGAGAACGGTGGCACCGGAACTGTCCCTGTCCTATAAATGAAACCAAAGAGCAACAGAGCTGAAATATGTAAAACATGAAAAACTTTATAACAACAATACTTTGACAGAATAACACCACGAGTTATATTATCAGACTGTGAATCAGCTGTACAGCATACTGCTCCTGTAGAGGTTTTCAGGAAGCAGTACCTACTAATCATATTCAAACAGAGACTTATTCATTATTGTACATGATTTTCTGAAATGTGTAAGAAACCATCACAACTACTACAAGCGTAGTGGGCATATTTGAGAAAGGACGCTTAGCTTGTGTATAATAGTGTACCTTCCACATCAAAACTGTCCACACACAACCCACGTTCTAATGAGCCTCTAACTTGCTGCATTTCCAAGCAGCATAGGCCAACAACTGCACTCAAACCTGGAAATAAGAAAAGCCAGAAAAGAGAATCTGAAAGAAGTCAGACATTAAAGCCACATACCCGTCAGGACTTGAGTGGTTACTAATTTCAAAAAAAATGATTTCAATTGTCATGGCTTTTCCAACTCTCTCCTCCAACCCTGACTGCAAAGAGACATGTTTTACAGCTGCCATGTTCCTTTTAAAACTGTTATTTACCCGCTGATTACTTTCATTCTTTGGATCAAGCGATGGACCAATAAGTAACTCAGAAAATAAAATAAACTATTGTAATTGCATGCTCTTTGGATAGATGTGTATGAATACTCAAGTCTTACTAAGAGAGAAGAAGAATGACTCAAATGAACATCATTAACTTCAGATGAAATCAGGATCCGAGTGGAGTAACACGAAGCAAAAGACACAATAGTGAAAAGTGGAAACAAGCGTTGACTACCATCAAGTAAACTGCTCTGCAACTGGTAATTGATAGGTTTTACTAAATGTCAGCCAAGTATCTTATCAGTTCTTGGCATGGGGTGCTCTTTGCCACTCTTATGTGCTCTGTCAGGCAGTCCTCAAAAGTAATGGAGACAGTATGGAGATAAAAGAGCTCTTATTACTCTGTGTTTCAAATTTAGAAACACAGATTACTACAGGTTAGATCAAGTGCCTGATTGACTCAGGTGTGGTGCTTCTGTTTCTGTCGCGTTAGTATAAATCATTTTTGAGTGAGAGAAAACATTATGGGTCAGCACGGTGGCTTAGCACTGTCGCCTCAGACCTCAGACAGTCTTGGTTAGGAATCTGGCCTGTCCCTCGTCTCCACATGTGTGCATGGCTTTCATTCCACAGTCACAAAGGTGAATTGGAAAATTGTAAGTGGCAACTAATTCTAAATGTTCTGTCTACCTGTATGTGATAGACTGGTGACCTGTTCAGAGAGTACTCTTCCTCGCACCTAAAGCACGCTAGGATAACCTGCATAGTGTGAGCAGATATTAAAAACGGATGGATGGATCGTATCTATTATTCTGTGTTTCTAAAGAGAAACACTGTATTGTAATTACAGTCACAACAGACTATAATGTCTGTATGAGTGCTGGGAAACTGAGTGGTGCATGAGCGTATATTTTGGAGAACAGTACACTCCTTCACGGTGCCTGCTGCATTCCTTCACTGGTGTGAATGCCTCGCATCTTACTACCAGCAGGGACATGGAAATGAGGTAACTGAGTCATAAGAGCTCATAAGGTTTTAATCTGTCATGTGAAGGTTTAACCATAGTACTTATGGTACCAAACATCTTTACCACCACTGATCAAACAACACTGTCATTATGTGTTTCTATTTTTGCTCTCTCGACGTCACAATACACACTGTATAAAGGAAATTAGATTTGCAAATCCAGTTTTGCATACTTCATTACCACTGGGACATGAGGTAGTGCAAACATAGTGGCTTTTAAACTAGAACTAAATGTCACAAATTACCAAAGAGATCTTGGAACATTGGACAGTAACTTACATGTACTGAAGTCTCATGTGTTCCATGAGATGTTTGTATTCATATCAGAGTGTTAGCATTTGCTGCCTTTAAATATGTCTTCTCAGAGCAGTAACACAACAGCATTCAGGCTCTTGTGAATGTCTGAGGATCTCTTCTTTTTGAAAGGGAGCAGTGTGTGTTTTTTAACCAGACCACTGTACACGCACCATGTTCTGATGTCTGGTTCGGTCTTATGCTACATCTGTTACTGGTGAATTTCTGCAGGCAGTTGCCATCTTAGATGAAGTTAACTTCATTCATCTCTGATAATTACCACTCAGGAGAAAACGACTGTGGTTTTACAGTTTCACACAGTTTCAGTTTGGGGACAAGAAGTGAATTCACAGTGTCCTTAGGTTTAGATCATAATTGTTATGGACACAGAGACACAGCACCCTGTAAAAGATGTAGAATGTATTTTGTCATTTAGCCACTTATGGATTTTATTAGTACGGGTTTAGTATCTGATGACGGTCTAAATATTATTTCAGACACTTTTTCGTTTTCAAACGCAAACTCTGTTCTGATACACCAAACATCTACTGTATGTTTTAGGCATGAAACTACACTGTCATTGGTCAGAGGACCCCATGTAGACCTCTCCAGCTCTAGTTGGAGAGGTCTAACTGAAAAGGGGTTGGATGTTGGAAAGGAACTGGGTGCGGGGGCATGGCACGTACGCTACACAACTCAGAAATGGCAGCCAAGCCAGAGGAAAGAGAGAATTAGGCTACTGTCTGCCACACTTCAACTGGTCCCGCTCAGGTCACTCACCGCAGGCTGACATCCACCCTGGGTCAGCAGCCACTGTAAGCAGGCCAGGTTGCCGGTGGCTGCAGCGTCATGCGCCGGGCTTGCTCCGTTGTTCGCCAGGCAGTTGCCCGGCAGTCCTGCCTCTTCCACTAGGAAACGCAGGCAGGTCAGTTTTCCGGCTCGGGCCGCGTGGTGGACCGGTGAAGCCCCCAGCACATCCTTGACGTCGGCAGTGAGCGCTTTTGCCGCTAATTGCACTTTCAGCTTCTGCACATCCCCTTGCCTTGCGGCGAGCAGCGTCCTGTCCCCCTCCACCACCATGACCGCTGCAGGTTGTACGTCTCCTTCCTTTGGTTGCGTGGGTTGAGCCCGATCAGTTCACCGTGTGGATGGGATCAACATTGTACTCACAAAGTTTCAGATATTTGCAAGCAGTCGGTTTTAGCAGGAAGGCTCAATTATCGCTCCACATCTCTCTACAGCCAAATGGTCAAAACAAGATCAGTTTCCTTTCACAGGCGACGCGTTTTACATGTTGTTATAAAGCTCAGTCCACTATTCTGTATCTGGGTGGTAAACTAACCTGCTTTCTATGTTTTGCCGGGCGATGTGGGCCAGTAATCCGCTTCTGTCCTGTCTGACGCCCGCAGGACGCTCAACACCTGTTGCACTAGTTTGTTGTTTGTGTTCCGATAAACATTTTTTATTTCTTTGTTTGCACTATTTGCTTCCGAATAACTAACGTGTATCATGTGCCTCGGAGAATATTCCGCCGTGTTTTTCTTCCTATAGCAGATGGCGACATGGGACTCTGCGCCTGTTAAATAATCCATCAGGGGGAGGATCGCTGAGCCTGTTACAGGTTGCTGCTTTCTGGAAATCGGCTCAGAAGTTAAAGGGGCAGTACGAGCAGGCTTCTTAAAACTCTGAGTATAGCCCGTCAGAGAAAGTTATACAACGGTGGTGGTGAGTGTCAGGCAGGTATAGACCCACGGCTACATAGTAATTCAGCGATGAGCTTTTGAACACATGCACAGTCTTGTTTGCATCCGTCCACATATGGCCCTGAAACCAGCATCACTGGCCACCCACAGTTTGCGGACAGTAGAGGTCCATCTGGTGGTCCCCGGTGAAACTGTAAGCTTCAAAATGATGATGATGATGATGATGATGATGATGATGATGATGATGATGATGATGATGATGATGATGATGATGATGATGATGATGATGATGATGATGGTGATGATGATCAGCGTTTCTCTGTAAAGTTAGGATGTGTACAAATTCAGTATCTATGTGACGTTGAAAACACAGGAGAGTAAAGCAGAGACTCTGGTAAAAAGCCGCTTTTCTTAAAGTAAGAAATCTCTTATTAAATTATATTAAATTATCGTTGTGATAGGTCATGGTGATGCATCAGTCATTTTCATGGTGATGCATCAGTCATTTTTGCAACAATCACTGTCTTGTGAGCCAGTGAGCCGCAGTATAATCAGATTGTTCTTGATTGATTGCAGAAGTTTAAATGTTCTGGTATTTAGAAACATTATTTGAGCTTCTGTAGAAGCTCTTTACTTTATAACTGTGTGAAGACTGAATCACTGATGCTCTGGTAGGGTCTACCAGGAGTTGAACAAGTTACCTCTGAGTAATGAATGGTTGATGATAAAATGAATAATAAATAACAAATAAATACAATAAGACTAGTCTAATAAAGGATTTATGAATGACTTGTAACTAGTAATAACTAATTTGTTAATACTTTATGAATCATTTATAAGCTGTTATAACACTAAAGATAAAAAGGGCAACAGTGACCTGTTGCTTGCCTGTACTGTTAATCCTCATGTCTCATTAGTTACTGAGTTTTCTTTGTTTTCTCCATCATCAGCGTTTGTAGCTGTCAGTTATTGGTGAACTGGTAAAAGGAGCCTTATTGTAAAGTGTAAGACACATCAACATTTATTAATGAGTTACTATAAGGCTCCTTTTACCAGTTATAAATGGCAGTAACTCATTAACTTGATCTTGCCATTAGTGAGCCTGCATCAATGTATGAAAACCGTGTTATAACTTGTTTATAATTGTTTATTTATGATTTATAAAGTGTTAACAACCGAATTAATAACCTCATTAGAAACCATTTATAAATCCTTTATAAGGGTAGTCTTATTGTAAAGGGGTACCGAAAATATTTTTAAATTTTTATTTATTATTTTATTCATATTTTTTATAAAGTTTTATTGTGATGTGTGCAGTGGTGGAACTGCAATTAATTGCAATTTTAAGTACTTGAGTATTTCCACTCTCTTCACTGCATTTCAGAGGGAAATAGTTGCCAACTATGTAGCCCACTGAGAATTAGGCTTATAGCATTAGTTACCACATAAGATTTTATGTACAATAGAGACATTAGCCTTTAAACACTATGCATAAGTCCATTTTGCATTTTTCTTTAAGTTACATTTAGTTACATTCTGAGAATAATAGGCCCTATACCTGTGCCATCCAAGCCTAAACACTCACCTGTTAAATAACTTAGAACACTGTTCACAGCTGAACCAACTGAAGTCTGCTCAGTTAAACATTTCTGTGGGCAGCTTTTACTTTCATTGCAGTGCCCCCATAAATACATGCTGTTAAATGTAGCCCCTCACCCCCTGCTCTCTGCTTTGAAAAGAAGGGGAAACATATTTTCAGTTTATGAATCCGCCGTTGTGGTGAACTGTTATACTTTTAACCACCAAACGGTGGCAGGAACGCTTCATATTCTGCCAGGTTCAGCAATGCCTGCAGAGGTGTGCAGGTGTGACGTCATCATTTTTTTATTGGCTTCATTAAGTCACTGTGAGCCGTCTTACTCACGTCAGGACGTTAACGTATCAGAGCAATGGTTAGGTTGATTGATTTTTCCGCTCAAGCGGCCTCTGCAGGATGTGGGTGTGTGCACTGCGGAGTAGGAGGGGGTTGCGGGCGAGGCTCGTGCTAGGCGCGTGCCTCCTCGGCCCATCTGTTGCACAAGTCCAACTGTAATAAACACCGGGCGCCAATGTGGGGTGGGGTGAGGTGGGGGATTCCCACGAGCATTTGGACTAATGGTACAATTCCCTAAAGGAAATGGACAATAAAAACTCTTCAACACGATTTAGGGGACACTTCATCAATGCCATTATAGCCTTAAATATCTTGCATAGGGCTATATTTCACATTAGGAATGATAATGATGGTATTTTTTGCAGATAAAAATAGGCCTATATGTAGGCCTATAATAAATGTAATATTTAGGGGGTTATAAATGACCTCCTTCAGGCATTTCATCTTAATATTAGGCTATATAGGTTAATGTAGGCAAATAGGCTAGGCTACTATTTGGTTGAATACTGCCCATTTATTGGTGTGTATGGGATATTGTATTTTCTTTATAATATAGGCTATGTATACCAGTACTTTTAGTTATCAATATAGTAAATTGAGTTGATGTATTGTGATTTTTTTTGGTCTATAGGAAAATATAAACCCACATTTTGTTTAAATATACCGACCCAGTTCCAACAACATAATGGCACAAATGGACTATTTACAGGATATGACGTTTGGATACCGATAGCCTATTTTTATATGAAATAGGGTATTGATTACTTAACGGTTGTCTTTTTGAAATTCTGTTTACTTGTCCTCATTTGTCTGTTGGTTCATAAGGCCCACACTTCAAACGACGTGTTGGCAGCAGCTGCAGCCTGTAGCTGCTCTGTATAATGATGGGTCTTACACAGGGTTTAATCATGTGTAGGTGAAATGGGGCCTTTTCCCAGGGTTCTCTAAAGACGCTCCCACAACTTCAAGCAATGAGTAGCTAAATCCCTATTGAACTGGAAAGGGGCTGCCAACGGTTTTCCTGGGAAGCCTGGGAAAGCTGGGATTCTCGTTGCACGCGTCAGACGTGCGACAGTTATTCAAATTGGATTCAATTATTCAGCGCGTGGGCCCCATCTATTGTGTCGTTACATCTGCTGCTGCGCGGGAACATTCAAATTAGGACATTATCTGCTCAAGTTCATGCTGCGTATAACGTAACAACCCACTGTCTGTTTGCAGCAATAAATGGCCTAAAAGTACCTTAAACAGAGGGGTACCATCAAGAGAGGAGTGCCACATTCTCTCGGCTTTTACTAAGTGAAGACTTGACCATTGTGCGCCTCAAACTCTTCATAGCAGTTCAAGCCTATAAGCTTATCAAAGATGGCCGTTAATTTCAAATTTACGGCCGACTCAGAACCCTCTTTATGAGAAGCCAACTCTCTGATGACTCAAATTTACTGTGCCGACTTTGTCCATGAAGTATGTTAATATTATATAATGATAATAATAATAATAATAATAATAAACAATGGTAATATGAATATGATTAATATGAATAATAATAATGTATTCTTTTTCATTACCATGTCAGGCGTCACAATTTCAAAATAAATTTTACACACTCTTATATCAAAATTAAAGCGTAGGCCTGCAGTTACATTGAGCAGCTCCACGCTCCATCTGCAGCGGCTCAGCTGTTTGGCGCGTGCCATAGACTAATTGCTTTCGCTTGCGCAAACGGGCGCGTGCAGGGAAGAGGCCTTCAGTCTATGTCGAACCACAGAGAGAAGCGTGTCTGTACCTTAATGTGTGATCTACAGTACTAATAACCTGCTACACATTTGTATAACAAAAGAAAAAAAGCACACAGTTGTTGTTCACCGTGATTGATAATAAGTATAATAAGTATAAGTACTGTTCATAAAAAAGACACCAGGCAAAATAAACTTTATTAAGCAGCTGAAAGAAGACCAACGCACACAGAGAGGATATTACTTTATTTATCTACTATCCCCAAACTTAAGCTTTCTTTCTTTCTTTCTCTCTCTCTCTCTCTCTCTCTCTCTCTCTCTCTCTCTCTCTCTCTCTCTCTCTCTCTTTCTCTTTCTTTCTTTCTTTCTTTCTTTCTCTGACTGTCTGTCATTCTTGCTGGAGCTGAAATGAATTTGTATCACATTTAAAACATCAGCGAAAAACATTATATTAAAGCAGTCTCTTGTGAAGCATTCTCTGCAGGAGGCATTCAAAAGTTGATGATTGCACATGTAAATCTAATTATAGCCTACATATAAATTTTGATATTTAAGCTTGATCATTTGAAATTTTACACACTTTGCCAACATTGCTTTAGCCCTGAAGACATGAATATGGAATCATTATAGGTCAATCTGTTCTTGAATGATGGTTGAATAAACACTGCAGCCATATTTCCTCAAAAAAAAATCAGGCTTTGTGCTGTAACCAGTGCTATAAGACTGATTTGACATTTAGGCTACTACTGTTTTTTCGAATGAAGCACAAAACATTCAGGAG